CTCTAGCGACTGACAATTAATGCACGAGGAGCGCACAAACTAGCCCACGCATACTCATCTGACACGCAGCTAAAACCTTAATTAGCAGATTCGATTTTGAACGTATCATCATGCAAAGACGTGTTTTGTGTGCAGCGGGTATGAAAAGTTGACTGTGTGTCGTGCTGTTGTGAATATGCTGGAGTTTATACGGGCTGCATGATGAATAGCTCGTGTCAGATGTTACCATGGGGATGATTACTTGAAAGCAGCCAAGGCACTATAAGCATTTGGGATTTCTAGCCAACCCTTCAAATGCTTGGCAGGCCATTTATTTTCGAATATAAAGGTAGTTTCAGGCGATCAGAATCTGTTTGTGTGTGTGTGTTTGTTGTGTGTTGTTGTTTTTCCGGGATGTAGACAAAAAGGAGACCACGCTGCATTTCAGTCAAACACTCTGCTCCCATTTAATTACAAACCTGCCGGTGACACATATCGCTGTCAACATCCGCGGCTCTGACCCCGTTAGCAGCTGGCTCGTCGCTGCTCTCAGCTCGGACGGCGAGGAGGTGCTTTTGTTCCTTGTGTGTCTCTCTCCCTCATCTTTGCAGTGAACTGTGAAGCCCTCCTCCGCATGTAGCGGTGAATCCCTGAAGCCGGCCGGCCGGCCTCTCTCACTCACAGCCTTGTTTCTGCCAACACGCTCCACAGGCCACAACAAAAGGGGGCCTGTGGAAACAACCCCTCAGAACTTTGACTGGTGCGATCCGCCCCGCTGCTCCGAACGGATACTTCTGCAGATTTAAGAAAGATAAGGAGTTAAGCTCAGAATCCACCGATCCCTTTGGTCTTCTTTTCTTCTCTTTGCCCAATTTGGGACATCTGCCCCGAGACCACAGCATAACCCCCCCCCCACACTATGTTTACTTAGAAGCCTAAAGCCTGACCCCCCCCCGGATCTTCCCTATTCGTGCCCCCCTCTGGTGAGGACTTGTCATTCAAACTGGGTTGAGAGACCCAAGCCCCTCTATCTCATCAGCAAACATACAAATGCATAATCTGTTCATTCTCTGGAGCCCATTCACGTGCGTGCCAATGATCTTTGTTGGTCCTTGTTTTCACCAAGAGCTCAGTGCTTTGGTGCTTTAAAGCTCACGCCGGCACTCAGATGTGGTCCTTTAGATGCTGCATCAGGCTGCATTTACTTTTTAGTGTGAAATGGAGAATGTCACAGTGTCTGTTTGTTTTTTTCACCTCATGGCAACGGTTACGAGAGCGTAGCAGAGCACGCGCAAAAACTCAGCTATGAAATGTCAACTATTCACTCTGAGTCACGGTGAAGAGCAGTTTGAGGTTTTATGAAATTAGTTTAATCTAAATGAGTTACCACAGGTATGTAGTCAGCGCAGCCAGTTAGCTTAGCTTAGCACAAAGACTGGTCACAAACAGCCTTTCCCCGAAAAACAGTAACTAAATCCGTCTCCATCTGAAATCTTAAATTTAATCTGTACAAAAAAACTAAAGTATTCAAACCAATAAAGGAATTTATATTCACTCAAGTAATGTACTAAAGTAAAGGTTTGAGGTTTTTAAAGGTACTTTATTTAAGCAAGTCAACGTTATGTATCAGAAGGAAATTTTTCTCATACTTGCAGATTATTTATAAAAAATATAATCAACAAATAAATAATGATATATTTGTATGGGTTAGGCTAATAAATAATCTCACTAAGATCAAAATGAGAACGGCATATTTTTCTACTCATGGAAAGCTTTTATTTGCGGCGCTCTCTGTGTGTCTTTTGAGTTGATATCAATGGGATTTTTAATGAGGTTTTGTTGCTTCGGGATCAGAAGGTCCTGGTTCCACTGTGGTTCTGTGTCTTTCAGTCAATTCCAAGGAGTTACAGGTCCCAGCCAAGGAATAGTATGGCGCATAAAACAACCAATTGTCATTTTAACAACATGGTTAGCTTTTGTTCAAGAGTTAAAAACGGCTGTTTCCTCCCTTTTTGGGGTATTTTTTTCTACGCCAACAGCTAACAATTTTTCTGATGCACAATATCCTCTCCCTCAAACCCAACAGAGTATACTGACACCCGTAAATCATTGTCCGGGGCTTCTAAGGCCCTTTATTGGATCACACACTGCAGAGAGGCGCGCGCACACACACACACACAAGGTGGTGGGTGAAGCCTCTCTGGGCACAAAGTGCACTGTCATGCTAATCACCAGGCCCTGCAACACTGAGGGCTTTCATGAGGAAAGTGCTGGGAGGTAAAGGCAAGCCATTATTTACCACCGCAGACCCGTGTGTGTGTGTGTGTGTGTGTGTGTGTGTGTGTGTGTGCCAGGGTGTTCCTGTGTTGCAGCTTTCTTAATTAAATGTGAACAAATCATTTGAGGGTAGAATTGAGTATCTCTGTAATGAGACGTTTTTCAGCTCCCCATTGATACTTTTCATTAGACACGATGCTGCTGCAAAGATTACAGATGCATTTAGTGTCATCTTTGCTGAAATTCTCAGATATAATACTTGAAGACCAGGGTTAGGGAGTAATGGATTATCTTTAACAAGATTAAAATAATCTGGTTATAAGAACTGGTAAATGTAATCCGTTAATTTGGATTAAAACAGAAGAATATATCATAATTTAGCTCTTTTACGAATATAGAGTAAATAATGGGGAAAATGGGAAATGATACACTGTTTTCTCAAAGGGCAATTAGTGTCTATAAATCAATCAATGACTTCAGTGGATTTAAGTGGGCAGGTTTCAGTTGCCAGGGTAAAGCACAGCTGAAATAGTTAATTTTGCATAACAGGAAGAGGCTGAGTTTCATGGAGATACATTTTCTACTTATTCCACATCTCTGATTCTGCTACATAATTGCAATGCTATCAACATTGATGAATAAAATCTGCTTATTTGGGATTCATGCACACTACTCTTTAGAGATAATACAATCAACGTCAAATATGGATGAACTCAAAACACTTCACCGTCAATGTCAAATCAAAGGTGATTTGAATAAAAATAGATCATAAAAATGTTTCCCTTTGAGTGTAGTGCAATGCACCGTGTCACATGTTATGTTACAGCATTACTGCAGCCAAGCTGTCGGTTTCCTTCATCTTTCAACCATCACTTTCTGCCACGCAGTATTTTAAAGTATATGTATTATAATTAAAATAGAGCATAAAATGATTACTGAAAAGGCTTTGATTTCATTTGTGCTTGCAGTGCAGAGATGCAGAAATTCCTCCACAGTGAGCGTGAAGAAGAGCCGGTACCAAGTTGTTAAAAAGACTCCATTTTTTTTTTTTTTTTGTGGTTCTCCTCACAGCTTCGGCTTAGTGCTGCATGCGCTTCACCACAAAGAGGGTAGCTTTCCATTGATGAGCCGGCACAGGCAGCTTCAGCACCACCAGCAGCAAATCACTACTCTGTTAAAAGGCCCTGATGCGTAGCAAACTCTCATGCCAAGCCTCCTCGCTCCAAATCTGCCTGCTTGCAGACCCCCCGTAATTGGAGGCATTAAACCTGCTTTGGACAGGATGGCAAATGAGCGCTTTGAGCTTGGAAGAGAACTGACTGGTGCATTCAAAAGGCAAGTAGATGCAGCTAAATCTGACAAATCACTGCCAATCCAGCAGATCTGTGTGCGAGATGTGTGTGCGTGTAAGTGTGTATCGTTATGCATTTTGTGCCTATGTGTCTTTTTTTGTGTGTGTGTGTGTCTTTTCTTGGCTGGTATTCGTGTGTGATTATGTACATCCAGTGTAACGGCGACGCTGTTAATCTCTCGGTAATCGTGGGGATCACCCGGGGGTAGCAGGGATTTGACGCAGATTGCCTGGTCGCTGACGGGCGTCCAGCAGCCATGGAATAAAAAGCGTCCGTCATTCTATCATCACTCCCTGCGTTTTTTCCCTCCACCGAGCGCACTCATTAAAACCTCTGCGGAGGACTGCCGCAGCTGATTTACCATCACTTAATGGCCTGCGATACAATAATGAGACATTTTCCTTTAGGTCCGGTGCCATTTTGCATCATTTTTAAGATGCAGCAGTGAAAAACATTGCAGCCGGCCCCGCTCAGATGGAGGCTTTCCTCTAGTGAGAAGCGAGCCACTGCAGCCTGCAAAGCTGGAGACGCTTCAAATGTTTAATGGTAAACAGGAGGAAAAATCTCACTGCTGACATTGTGTCAGATCTCAGATGCCACAAGTCACACGTTAAACGATGTGGTAGCTTCATTAAAAGCCGGTAGCACAACAATGTAGACAAATGGTTTAGAATGTCGACACTTTTTTTGCATTTATCGGCTATCTACCTTCAAAGCTTTGACACAAATGATAAAAGCCGGGCTTTGTGAGCTGCCCAGTGGAATAACACACAACGTCTGCAGTCGGTAAACTGCACATTTCGATCTGAGTGCTTCACAAGACCTTTGTGTTCACCATGTGTGTGTGTGTGTGTGTGTGTGTGTGTGTGTGTGTGTACGTGCACATCTTGCGAACAGCAGAGATGATTAGAGAACATGGAGAGAACACGACATTACCAGTCCCCCCCTTTGCAGCTGCTGTCTAAACATCGTGCCCCCCCCCCCTCAAAAGAACAGCTCCTTTTCAGTCAATAAACACAGAAGGTGACAGCTTCTCTCATCTGCACTGGAATGGAAAGAGACCCGGTTCTGTGTCCTGGGTGACAGATTAAAGCCAAACAACACTGACATTTGGTGCAAAGCCAGATTAACTTTGCCTCCTTGAAGCCTCTCCAGCAGAAACACAGACTGAAATCCCCGGAATAGTCCTGTGGTCTCGCTAATTGGCGAGCCGCGTGGACCGGCCTTTGATTAATCTTAAACCTTAATGAGTCCATCCCAAGCTGCTGTGATATTCCGACTGAGGAGGTAAAACACACTTGCTATTCCGTCTTTTCATCCCCCGGTCGGATCAGATGAGACCCGGAACTTAGCCTAGTGAACCCGCCAAGAAATCAAAGAGAATACCAGAGATCTGTTTAATAATTTATTTGCATATGATTATCGTAAAAATACTGAAAGAGAAATGCTTATTTTTTGTTGTAGTTTTCTTGATTTTTTTCTTCGCTTTTTTACAATCTAATACACCTTTAATTGCACAGGAAAAAGTCTGTCCTAACAGACACACAGTTTCTTCTTTCTTGGTGACATATAGTTTCAGATATGTAATGACCATTTAAACGGAAATTTCTCCAATCGTTTGCTCCTTTACAATAACCAAACAAGCATATAAACGAGGGTCATAGAGGCCAGCATCAGGTCAGATGGTTGTAAATACTGAGCTGGCTGGTCAAATAGAAATATAGTATTATATACAGGCAGTTGTTTTAGATAGGAACTGCACTGACAGCTTGCTGAAGAAAACACATTTCAGAAGAAATAAACCAATGAGTGATTTGTTCTACATTAGTGTTTGTAGGTCAGGTCAATATTAAGTCACAAAGATATAAACTGGATATTGAACTTTTTAATTCCCACTGATCTGCAACACATTAGCCAAATTAAAATATACAACACAACACTACCACAGGCGCTTATTCTGTCTGAGCAGAACATTTCACTTCTTAGTTTCACTCATTCATGTCTGTCTGGTTTGTTAACGTGTGAAAAAACAAGCATTGTAATAAAAAAGTTAAGCCCCGGTGCTTTAAAAAAAAGCAAAACACCTCTTTGCAATAATACGTAATAACTTAGCATTCAAACAATGCATATATGAGTCAAATAAGATTAGGAAAACATGGACGTTAAAGTCCACACAGCAAAATGCCACCAAAGCAACAGTTAATGTGGAACTTATTTGTACTTTTCTCATGAAGAAGTTTCCACTTTGGCATGCACATGACGTGTCCCGCATAGTGTCAGTTGCGTCTCTCCTCGGACAGAAAGACGGTGTGAAGACTCGGATGCTTTGTACAGATTTGTGACATGTATGTCCCCCAGTACATGTGGAAGACAGTATTTAAAAGGAAGCAGATGAAAAGTGTGTTTTCTTGGTTTCCCCCCCCACAAAAAAAAACATAAAAGAACAGGTTGGGTAAAAAAAAAAAGAAAAAGGTTGATTGTGTGATTGTATTGACGGTCTACAGATGTCGGGCAGTCTTAAGAGTTAGTGTAAAGCTTTATTTTGCTTTATCTTGGCACTGTTGTGTCATGTAGGCATTGATTCCCATCATCTGTGTGAGCTCTCCGGTCCTCAGTCTGAGGGGAATGAGAAGAAAAGACTGATTCCCAACCAGCAGAAAACACATGCAGACATGCAAACACAACCTGAGAGGGGGCAACAGGAAGTTTGGCTTTATGTCAATAGTCACAAAACCAAAAGTGTCAAGTAATGAACACACACACACACACGCACACACGCACACTTCAATGGACAGTTCTCTTTAAACGCACATTAAATCTCCAGTCGGAAAGAAATCTCCAAAACAGTCCTCTTTCTCCCTCTGTAGCTTCTTTTCTTTCCTTCTTTTTTTTATTTTACATCACGCTCTTCACATCAGAGTTTTTAGGTAGTTTTTATTCCCTCTGCGTCCTCCCGTTTGCAGCGGCTCACACTCTGATGGGGAGAGTTTGGCTCATCTGTTGCCGAGCTATTTCCTCACAGCTTTCCGGGCTCTTCCTGTTGTGTCCCGGCAGCGTCCCTCCGAGCCGCAGCAGGTCCCTGCCAACACACAGCCGCACAGGTCAGCAGCGGCTCCGCAGCCACTTCAAACCACGGATACGATCATTGTCACGCGCGCTTAAGTGCTCTCGCTGCAGGCGGACGAAAGGTGTAATCCGTCTTAGGGTCGGATGAATTCTGCGTCGTGCATATGCAGCGGAGATGTCACGCTTCTAAACAATGTAAGTGGAGCATCAGGAGCTGTCTTGATCAAGCTGATCTGGGCAGCCGTAAAAAGTCCATCTCCAAATGCCCAGCCAAATCTACGCATCAGCTTTAATAAAAACTCTACATTTTTCTTTGCTATCTTGGAAAGAGTGCAGCGAGCCCCTCTGTGTCTTTTGTTGCTCGGCCAGTGTCCTTGTTTTTAAGGCCCTCTGCGCTGGAGATACTCTGCAGATAGAGAAGGATATGAGATGCAGCGCTATCTGCTCCAACATCATTGAGCAGCCAATGGCAGGTGAGCAGGAGCGTGCGCCGAGACGCTCTCAAAGCCCCGCTCTGACAACATGATCCTTTCTCTCTCCTCCTGCTCCTCCGTCTATCTGTCTTGCTGCTGCATACAGATGAGGCCATAAATTAATCATCGGCGTGTCATCTACACACAGCGACACGTAGCATAACATGCACACGCGCACTCGCACATGCACGCGCTCGAAGACAAACAAACGACGCCGCGTGCGCACACACGCACACACATGCATCGCCCTCCCCTGATGCATTAAAAAGCTCATTAGCAACCTAATTAAACACATTCCTCTCTTTTAGCTTCTCCTCAATCTCCCTTATTACACACACTTCATCACCTCCTGCTTTTCCACATCAGCAGCTCAGGCTGCTGTCTGTCCTATCGCCGAAATTCCAGCATCCAGCCAAGAAAAGGGGGAATTAAACTGAGGTCAGCCATTACATTTCCACACACAATTAGCTTCGCTGAGCCCAAATCCTGGCATAGGAGCCGCCCTCGGGGCTTTGTGTTCGAGTGAGACTGCGAGCCAAGGAGCTGGCACATAACCTCAATACTGTATGTATGAATTCTGCCTTTTGTGGCTATCGCAAACAGGGAACTATAATAAAAAGTCAGAGCCAGAGCTTGATTTATTATACATAACTCCAGAGCTGAGGATCTAGCATCTAAACCAGTTCTAATTATATAATTGACTGGATGCCAGGCTAACAAAATTCAGAACAAAGGCATCAGTGAAAATGGCTGGAACTTTTGAAGCCCCGGCGCTGAGAGTTGAAAAACAACTTGTCATCATGAGGATGGCTACCTATGAATAAGTCAACATCTCAACTTCCAAGGGAATCGTCAAGAGAAGAAGAGCCCGACACTTAGAGTAATAGCCTCAAAGCTCAAAGAAATATCAACGCAAAAGATAAAACAAACCAAACCCAACGAGCATGAATCTCCATTTGCCTCTCTTTAGGATAGCCATATATATATATCTTATTCCAACGACCCAAAGCCACAGCTCCTCTCTGCACTGATAAGCCTTCACCGTGCACTTCACAGCCGCCAAAATACATGGAACAATTTCACACAAGTTGAAAGGGAGAGAATTGCATCCACCCGTTTTGTGTTTGCTCTATTCAGCTCAAACCTCAAAAGCATGAGGTGCCTATATGGGAATGTAGCTAGCTGAATATTACATATATTTTCAACAAAAAGTCTACTAAAGTCAGCCAACAGCACGACACATAACAAATCCAACATAGTGAACTTAATGATAGAAGCTCCTGTAAATATGTTGGCAAAAATTTCTACTTCCACTGTCCACATTTACTGCAACCTCTGGTTGCCGTTTCCATCCTTAAGACCGGTCAGCAGTTGGAAGTGTATTTTGCGTCTACTTGGTAAAACCTCCTATACGTAGGCTGGAAAACCAGCAAATTCAGCAAGCTCATCAGAAAAGTTGCCAAATTTCACAGCGAGCTTTCCAGTGTCGCTACAGTGAAGCGCTTTGCTCTTTGTTGACAGAGATTTCGAAAAACACTTCACATCCGTTTTGAAAGTTCTCTCCACTCCCTTCAAAGTAAGAGAAGCCACTTGACCAAACAATGCCGAAGGGATAAACCATGAAAAGACTCTTTCCCTACCGAAGAAGACTCTCTGTGGGGAAGCAACAGGAGTCTTCCTCTGCGTGTGCCGGACTCACCCTGAGTAGGTGCTGGTCACCACCTTTAGGCTGGCGGCGTTGCGGAGCAGCTTGTCCAGGGTGCTGACGATGCGGCAGAACTTAGGCCTCAGGTTCCTCTCCTTCATCCAGCACTCCAGCATCAGCTGGTGCAGCACCATGGGGCAGTCCATGGGCGGGGGCAGCCGGTAGTCCTGCTCCACTGCAGTCATCACCTGAAGGACGGGAGGTCATCCTGGTGAAGCTGTCCTTAGGCAGAGCAGTGAGCTCAGTGCTAAAACCAACGTGCTAACAAAGCGCTCCGTAACCGCGTCGACATGTTACTGTGTTCTTCAATCTTCATTTATCCTGTTGGCATGCACAAACATTTACAGCCGAGGTTGCAGGGGAGGTCCTAAATCTTGCAGGTATGTGGTCATTAAACACCATAATTGGAGAAATTGTACCTTGGTGTTTGTGCTTATTAGTTATTAGAATCATCAGAGTTATTAGAGCGTATCCTCGTAGGTAACAGTTTATTCCAAACCAGAACGTTTAACAATATTATTAAAGGAAAAGTCAAGAGATCACCCAGCTTATAACAATTCGTCCTGTGGGGTCCATGGATATCACTATTTTGTTATAGTTTAAGATTTAACTGATATGGCAGTAAAGTACAAATGATTTACCCAGAATATAGTATGTTTCATGTCGCTTCACAACAGAGTCTGGTTCTGACTCATTTATGTTATGATCACTCTTTTTAAGTGTGCTGGAAGAATAAAACCCAGTTACTGTATTATGTCCCACATTAGACAGTTTCTCAGCTCGTGCTGTCGTACATTACAATCTTCTCCTCAGCATCTTTATGAATCTCTGAACACTATGTTCTCAAGTATTCTCAAAGTTGTCACTTCAAAGCTGCCATGACTGATAGGAGAGACAATAAGTGGAGGATAAAACCGTTCACCCATTGATTGGATTTTGCCTAGCAACCACCGTTCCCTCCATGAGCTGTGTATGGGTTTTAAAACCCCCACAACAATAAAAAAAAAGCCATTTGGGAAAAATAAAACATTTCTTCAGCACCTCTCTTCTCCTGCTGCTTGTCCTTTGATTTTTATGTTGTGCTTCTAGCTGGCGAGTATTTCTGTTTATATCTCGCATTTGTTGACTCGGTTGCTTATTGAGCGATGACTGTGGCACAAAGGCTACTGGGAACAATAGAGGGCCTCCACTTTGATGCTTTCATTACTGCATGTGGGCTTTGTTATGAAAGTTATACATGCATTACTGGCATTTTTCCTTTCAGCCCATTATTTTTGTACCGTTACAACTGTCTTTTTAAAGCCCAACACAGCAGACATTCCCAGGAGAATAAAGTGGAGGTGTACACGGGCTTCAGTGCTTTGTTCATGGAGGAGGAACCAAGAGATTTCTCTTCCTTTCCTCAGAGCTCACTGGTGTAGTAACAATGTCTGTGGGGCGCAGATAGCCTACAGGTAACAACGCACAGAACCGCAAAAAAGGCTTTTCCTGAGTTCTCCTTTGTGTATGTGAGCGAGGCTTTGCAGTATGGATTTGTAGAGGGTGGGCAGGCCAGGGCTGTAAATAAGGTGCTGCAAAAAAAACACTACAACACAAACACACAGCAGCACCAGCAACTGCAATGCGTAGATAAAGCCAGCAGAACAGGCCCAGGTCCAAAGCGCCACGCTGGAGTTAAACTTAAAAGTCCCTGAATGTACATGTAGTCTATACATATATATATATATATTATATATATATATATTGTAATACGAGACTCAGTTGACTCACATCCTGGTTGCTCATGTCCCAGTATGGCCTCTCTCCATAGGACACCACCTCCCACATGACGATGCCGTAACTCCACACATCACTGGAAGAGGTGAACTTCCTGAATGCGATGGCCTCCGGTGCCGTCCAGCGGATGGGAATCTTCCCTCCCTGCGCACACGCACACACACACACACACACACACACACACACACACACACACACACACGGAAAGAGGGCATCAACACAGTGAGATACAAAGCACATTTCACTGAGATACGCAAATATATATATATATATATATATATATATATATATATATATATATATATATATATATATATATATATATATATATATGCATGCACCGTGAAAGAAGCGAATTAGATGAACGAGCTGAATTTAACATGCACAGAGTGTGCAAACACAGAGTCGGCAGACGTGATACTGACCAGGGAGCTCGTGTAAGTGGGGTCAGCAGAAGTGTCGTCCAGAAAGCGCGACAGGCCAAAGTCGGAGACCTTGCAGACCAAGTTGCTGTTGACCAGGATATTCCGGGCGGCGAGGTCTCGGTGAACATAGTTCATGTCTGACAGGTACTTCATCCCTGCAGCGATGCCACGCAGCATGCCGACCAGCTGTGTCATCGTGAAGCGCCCGTCGTTCAGCTGCGAAAGCACACCCGCACGCAGGTGGAGGAGGACGGGGGGTGGGGGGGGGCGAGAGCAGGGGAGGGGGAGACATTATATGGTCAAGATAGCTAAGAACACAGAAATGAATAAAGGACAAGGGAAAGCACGGGAGGAGACGATAGGGGAGAGCGCAGGAGATGGAGTGGAGGAGAAAGCACCAGAGAAAAGCAATCAGTCACCGAGGGCACACAAACATGACATCTGTCATAGTGCTTCACGGCGGCTCCTGACAGTCAGTGACGGCTGACCTTTTCACGCACGCCGTCCAATTACCTGATTAATTAGACCCTTTAATGTCGTACTGAAGATTAAGGCTCTATATTGACTCCACACAAAAAAACAGAAAGGAAGCTGAAACGCTGAAATCAAGAACAGACAACTGCAGGTATTTTGTTACATATTGCAACTGACGGACAAACTAGTACACAAAGCTTTGTTTGTGCATTTTTCCCCAAACGCAAACATTAAAGCGCAATTGTTTCTTTGACTGCATTCGAATGGCATGTTGCTCAAAGCTTGTTTGCCACACTTGAAAGTTCCTGATGTGCAGAATTCTGCCATTTAATGTTGAAATGAAAGAAGCATGAAACAAATCTGAGATTAGTGCTTCCAGGGTTTAATTTTCAATTCTCCACGCGTGCGAGGCGCGACATAGTGGGATCCACTCCAGATCATAACACATCAAGCCAACCTCCAACTCGCGGCGGCTCTTGACCCCCCCCCCCCGACGCGGGTGAATCGAAACGAACCCATTCAACGTCAATACACAATCATCCGATTTGTTTCTTTTTTTTTTTTTTTTTAAGGAACGGATGAAAAAAAAAAAAAAAACACTACGCCGCCAGCATTTCTATCATGAGCCCAAAACGTAACGCGAGTAGGAAAAGAAAAACAATTTCCGACATAATCAATCCCGCCTTCGACTCCACAGCGAGAGAGACAGCGCAGAAGCACAAGACACGACATGAGAAAACGATAAACATTCTGCTTTGTAGTCGGCACACTCCAGTGAAGTCTGACAGCTAAACCAGCCGGAATGGATGGATGTGTAAACAGCCGGGATTCATAGCAGGCCTTCGGAGCCGTGGCGCCGTGTACATATGTCCGTCTGTGAGTGGCTGTTATTGCTGTATATCGTTAAGGCCTCTACATGTGCATATGTCCTGTGTGTGTGTGTGTGTCTGTGTAAGTGTGTCCATGTCTCCAGGCACCGCGGAGAAAAGTCCCACGTGCGTCACAATGCATGGGCAGTTTGGGCGTGTGCGAGTTAACGCCACCACCGTCTCCTCGCGTGAAGCAGAACTCTGAGTCACTGCAGGCGGCGTGAGGATGGCGGGAAGCGGGAGGTGAGGACAGCGCGGGCCGTGCAGTTTATTGTGTTACTTGTGGGACAGCTGACTGAGAGGAGTGGGTGAGAAGGAGGAAAGAGGCTCCGGCTGGACGCTCAGATGCAGCTTTTCATTGTTGATAAATCATCTTTAAATAATAAGAGTCGTTTTTAATAGCCTAAAAAAAAAAAATTCACAAAATGAGTGGTGTCTATTACAATGTTCAGGAGCCCGAGGGGATGTTTCCAACGAAAAGTAATTGCCAGTTATCCGATAATTACTTTTCCGGGAAAAAAAATGAAAAACATTTGCTTCGGTGAGGATTTTTTTTTTTACTGCGCGTTGAAGTAAACAAGTCAGTTTGAGATCACTTCAGGGTCTTATTATCGACAACTGAGGAAGAAATATCGTTGCAGCTATTTCCAATGGCGTGTTGTGTCTGAGCAACAACACAAAGCCATACATTCATACATTTTGGAACTTGGCGACACAAACAATTTTGCTTGATGTTTTACATTATACAAATGGTTGGTTACAAACAGTAAGTATTACTACCAATATTCAGCATTCAAGACTCATTTATTTGTTCTTTATCATCTTCATCAATTTTGCCAATTTACACTGCACCTTCTTCAAATAAAGTTATTGTAAGGCGTTAAATCACATTATATTATGATATTGTAGAAGTTATAAATAAAACTACGGATTTTACTGGAAAAAATATTTCTATTCTATAAAGCATGATATATTTTAAGAAAAATAGGGCTGATTTTTCTAATAATTTTCCAGATTAATAAATCAATTGATAATTGACCAAAAAACTGTCAAAGAATTGTCAATGTTGTCCAAAGCCCAAAAAACTATCCTGTTTTTAAAAACTGGTTTTGGAAAAAACTAGTTTAAAAATGATAAAAAACTAAGAAGCTGAGTTTTCAATGTCCTATTAATAAATGAAGCCTCGGCATATTGAACGACAATGAATATTACACCTTGTTTGTCCATGTTTGTCTTTCCATGTCCAAGCAGACAGGAAGTAAGTACAACAAACTGTAAATGGTTCTCAGCCTGCATCAAACTACAGAAGTGTGGCTCCTGGGCATTAAGCCCACTAACATTAGCAAATATCAAACAAGACGGACAGTGTCAAGGCCCGTCTGCATCACGTATTCCTCCTTTATGCAAACAAGCAGCTGCACATCACTTAAAGATAAACTGCTTTTAAGACCAGCAGCGTAGCATCGATTGACCAGACGCATTAAGTAGCCTCCTCCAGCCGAGCAGTTACAGTAAGTAGACTTCTTCACGGCCCAGGCGTGCACGATAACACATTTTCAAGAATGTAAATGACATGTAATAGCCCCCCACGCAGCTGCAAATGTACAGCGTGACACCTCATTCCTTATCCCGCTATTGTTCAGCATTGTGTGTAGGTGGCGGCAGGTCTGAACATGAAACTCTGATCGGTAATGTATTCTTCTGTACAAAGAATCTCTAATGCACCGAGGCAACCCGAGCCAAAGGTCTGCTTTGTGACAGTTTTCCACCAGGACGTTTTTGCATCAGAAAGCCTGTCAGCATCAGTCAGTCCCGTCAAGCTGTCTCCAGGCGTTATATTGCACATTTAATCTCTATCACTCAGCAAGCGAGTGCCTCAGGGCGTTTCCACAGAGTCAAACACACCGATAACCCGCAGGTGTCGTGTGTGTGCGTGTGCGCGTGCGTGTGCGTGTTCCTCTCAGCTTTGATACAAACAGAAAGTCGTCTCCTTTGTCAGAGGTGTTTCGGCACGCGTCTCCCCGCCAGACTCACCCTGAGGAAGGAATCGAGCGCGCCGTTCTCCATGAACTCCGTGATGATGAGGACGGGGCAGCTCCGCGTCAGGACGCCCTCCAGACGGATCACGTTCGGGTGGTCGAACTGTCCCATGATGGAGGCCTCGGCGAGGAAGTCCCGCCTCTGGCACTCGGTGTAGCCGGCTTTCAGCGTCTTGATCGCCACGACCATCTCACGGCGTCCGGACTGCTTGAGCCGTCCGCGGCAGACCTCCCCAAACTCACCTGGATTGAAGGAACACGGTGGGGGAGGGGGTGAGGAGAAGAAGGGGGTGAGGGTGATGGTGAGCAGGAGTGGAAGGAAATGGGAAGTTGGGGAGGGGAGGTGGTGGGGGGGGTGCAGGAAGAGGGAACGTTACTGGTCGGATTCGGGAGTGAGGGAGCTGATTTGAAAGAGTTGAGGGTCGGCTTCAACTGTGGGAGGATTAGAGAAGAGAAGGAGAGAGGACAGGAGGTCAGGGGTCAAAGAGGTCGGGGAGAGAGGGAGTGGCCCATAGCGATTGTCTGTACGACCGTGGAGTGGTGAAGGGAGAGAGAGGACGGGCGAGGAACCTGGGGGTTTTGCATTTGGTTTCTGAGACCGAGTGTGTGTGGGGGAGAGAGAAAGAGAGAAAGAGAGAGAGAGAGAGGAGGAAGGTTCAACGAGCAGGAGCAGATTGTCATTTGAGTTTGAGACACAACATGCCGCCGGAGGGAGCAAAAAGAAAAAGAATCCTCCAATCCTTCCCACCCAGCAGCTCCCATGCAAACTCCATCCCAACACCTTCCTCCCAAAGAGGACTCTCGAGGCTCGGCGGCGTCCTGCTGCTCAAATGAATGATTAATAAACCAGAAACAAAAAGTACTTTGTTGTTTACCTGCACCGATGACTTCTTCTATTTTCACGCAGGATATGTCTATCTCTTTGGCAAACTCGTGGACGGCATCGTTGGGGTCTTCGTAGGTGAAAGGGTCGATGTACACTTTGACCCCTGGAGAAACTGGATAAAAAAAAAGTCACATTCTAGTCATATATGCCGTGGTAATGTAACTTGGTAATGAAAGTTCAATTAGAAGCTTGGTTTAGCAACAAATAGAGGGCCAAGTCTTCCCCTGAGCAAACAGGGAAATGGATCCCTGACTTAACCATGTGATCGGATAATTGATTGAATCAGCTGGATAACTGTACTGGCATGACCCCGAAAAAACACGAGGTTCTCAAGCTGAACACAAACTCACTGTATTGCTGCAATTTCTCGGTGTACTCGAGCTCTGAGCCGCTGCGCTGCTTCCTGTAAACAAGCGGAGGACAAACAAGGTCACACTCACACAATCAGTCTTGACCCTTCCCACTTTCAGAGAAGCAAACAAATATCTGACTCAGCGCCGTAATAAAAGGCAAAGGCTGCTGCGGGTCTTTTCTCTTCTGGAGATCCTTGTTAAAGCCAAAAGGATTACAAACCTTCTGAAAGTATGTTAAAATTTAATGAGCCGCTTTGTTCTCAGTGTAACCGACAAAGTGAAACATGTAGTTCAGGCTGCGAGTAATAAAAATCCATCACTTACTTAAGGCAAACCACAGCGATAACCACCAAGGCAACGATGACCACCAGACCCGCCGAGGCCGAGCCGATGATGAGGGGCAGCTGGTCCTGCACGGACTTCTGAGGGTTACCTGCAGCAAACACCCAACACGTACACGGACAAGTGAGCAACAGGACAAACACGCTTCAAGAGATTAAAGGGAGGCCTGTAATGAAAGTATAACTGCTACCAATTAAGGCCGCTATAAAACAAACAAGCTTGAACCATTATTAAGAAAACCGCGGCAGCAGATCACGGAGAAGTAACGGGGGAGTAACAGGGGGGGAGGCAGGTTGTCCGTACTGTGCAGGCTGGTGCTGAAGTCCATGGGGTTGCTGTAGCGTCCGTATCCGGCGACGGTGCGAGCTCTGACCTGCACCAGGTAGGACGTGGCGGCGCGCAGCCCTTCCACCTTGGCTGAGCTGTGCTGGGACGTGACGGTGTGGGACATGGCCTGGCCCTGAAGCCGAGCACAGGAGCGTTAAAGCAGTCGCAGAATTAGGAGGTTGTTGCTGCTGCATCTGGTATGAACCACAGCTTCTGGTTGCTAATGTAGCTTTTATTCCTCTTTTATCATTTATCATTAGCCTTTAATTGTCAGGTATATGAAAACAAAATGAAAAGTTTAATGGAAGAAATAAAACACACCTTTGCTCAATTACATGGACATGGAAATAGGATAAAGGCGTTACTGCAGTTTATCTTAATATAGCAAATGACCTTTAATTTCTGACAGCTAATGTTACGTTAATGTTACGTTAGCTAACACATCTTTTCTTCATTGTACTTCATCCTGTAATTGTTACTTGTAACAAAGGTTACACCAATTTAAAAGCCAGGCTTAAATACACAAATAATAAAAGACAAAAAGCAATTAGGATTTAGGATTTGAGTCTTTCTACATCAGTACATTGTACTTCGGTGTCGGTCACACATTGGTCCTGTATCTACGCGGTTTTACTACGGAATTTAATGAAACTAATACATTTTTATCAGTCTGCCTGGCGTAATCTCCGACAATAGACATTTCTAAACCTTCCCAGCCGATCCGCCCGCACACGATTCAATATTCAATTTTTCAGCATCCATAAAAATGCTTCTCTCTGCACGAGGCTGGAAAAGCAGATTTTCGGAGTCATTAAGAAAAAGCATTGTGAAGCACACGGGAGGCAGAGAAGCCAGCGCTCACCCTCTCGTGGTATTTAATCTCGTAGTCGAGGATGACCCCGTTGGGCTTCTCGGGCGGCAGCCAAGACAGGCTGAGCGCGTCGGAGGTGGAGCGCATCAGATGGACGGTGGGCACCGCTGAAGGAGCTGCGGTTCCAAAGAGGACAAAGGCACTTTCAGGCATTAGACTGTTACTTCACATTTTGGGGAAAAGGGGGGCGGCGGGGGGGGGGTCGGGCGAGGGTTCCGTTTTGTGACGAGTCACAAACCGTCACTGTAAGATCATTGTTATTCGAAATGCTTCAACCTTAACGGTTTAAGGAAAAAAACGGTGCACATTTCACCTCCTCGGTTTGGCAGCTTATTGATTGATGAGGCCTGAAAGTGACTCGATTGATGCTCATTGTCCATAAAGTCCATAAACTGCAGTGCGGTGGATTAAGTGCAGGTTAACTGGCAGAGTAATTTCAGCCTGTGAAAGGCGGCGAGCAGTTTGGTGGGATGATGACGGTGCAAATATTGAGTAGAAATGATGAAAGGTGACATTGTCAGTGATGTGAACGTTACGACGCCTGGTTGACCGAGTGCTGAATGCCGACAGTGAAGATACAAAGCGTAGCCCACTTAACCTTTTATCCCCCGTAACTGTAACTCCCTCAGCGGAGAGTCCGTCGCTCTCCCCGAGCGTGTTCAACAATGTTTACTGTTGGTGTTGATACGGCTCTGGAAACCAGAGCTCATTAGACAGTCATTGACATTGACTGAACTTAGGATCCACTCACGCGCCTGTTTCCTCCCGATGTTAAGTGGTATTGATCGCGAGGGGGGGGGGGGGGGGGTGGTCTCTATGAATTAACTTGTGCACACGTCCCACGTCACTGACGCATCGCGCTTCCACTAACCGGCTTGGTTGGTGGTGATGTTGACCGTGGAGTAGCTGGGGGAGGTGGGGTTTTTCCCAGAGACCCCGTTGACGGCCTGCACCTCGAAGCTGTAGCGGGTGTGAGCCTGCAGGTTTCGCACCACCACCTTCCTGGGCCTCAGGCCCAGCCTGCGAGGGGCGATGTCCACGTTGTCGTCGCAGCGCGTGCAGGGGCTGCGGTCCCGCAGGCATTTCTTGCACACCACGTTGTAGACGAGGTCGCTCCTCCCGCCCGTGTCCTCGGGGTCCTCCCACTCCAAGGACAGCGACGTCTCGTTCACGCTGGATATAACGTTCTGCGGCGCCGAGGGTATTGCTGCAGGAACACACACACACACACGCGCGTGCGCACACACGCACACGTAGGCGTTTGAGAAGGTGGGCAGGCAGAAAGGGAAGAACACACAGTTGAGGCTTTAGTCACGTTCCCTATGCACCGCTTACATTATCCTCCCTCAATGGGGAGGGAAATGTTTTAATATCGCTGAGCAGTAAAATGAAGAAGAGCACGCACAGAAATAAGAAAAGACAGTAATCCTTTTTCTTTCCTCCTTTCCTTTTTTTTTTTTTACAAATTCCTTTTACACAAATAAATGTGTTGCTTTACATGCCCCTAAACAAATATGAAGAAAAAAAATAACAATTGGGCAAGGTCCTGGAACAAATGAATAAATCAACATATTCAGAGACAGGAGGATAAATCCAACATGCGTGAGCAGAACGGCTGTTCATCGCTAAGTAATGCCGCTTTATGAAAAGCACGATCCTATAGAGCTGCACGCCGTCGCTCAGCAGCCATGCACAACCCCACCCGGTGCTCGTGCAACTTGGCTAATCCACCCTTGATGGAAATTCACGTTTAGCTACGAGTCCACCCCAGGGCCGCCACGGCTCAATAAGAAGGGCCGCATCTTGAGTGTTTCCAACCTGGAGAAAGTGTGATGACCACAGCGGGAGGCAACAAAGATCGCTTCGTGCTTTTCGTTCTCTTATGGAGAAAGAAGAGCAGGGCTTCCCCCCCTCCAAGCCCCCAGTAGCAAAGTCTAAAGTATCTCAAGCAGAAGAGAGAAAGGGAGAGAGAGGGAGAGAGAGGGGGGGGGGTTTGGAGATGCTCTCAGGCCAAGACTGCCTGCCGTCCGAGTTCAGCTGCTCAGCCGGCTCGCCTTGAGCAGCGTTTCCCTCGCCCTGTCCTCGCTAATTAGGCGCACACAGCTCAGAGTGGAGGCTCTTCTAATTGGACACCCCGTCTAAAACGCACGGCTGAGCCCAAGCTGCCGGCCGTTGACCGGCGCCCGAGCATCTCTTGTGCAACACGGCCCGGCTTACGATCAAGACAGCCGGGCCAGCTTGGCACGAGCTCCAACAGCCCCGCGGGACTGGTACTGTCAGGACCATAGAGTTAGGATGGTCTTTGGCGTGATTAGTCCGAGGTGGCGCTGGAATCTGGGCGCGCTAGTAAATGTCAGATTCCCCCAGTGTCCTGTGAAGAGGAGTCGGGGAAAGACAGCCCTACTGGTTTTTTTCCAGAAGGGGAGGAGGACCGGGGGGAGGGGGGGGGGGGTCACCGGTCAAGGCAGCACATGTCTCTCTCCATCAGTACCACTGCTAGGACTAATCTCAGAGGCCTCGCCATGCACGACGAGCGTGCACGGCGCGGTCGGCAACCGGAAACAGACCAGTTACCGCCAAACGGTTTGTAACGACACCCCAGGGAAATGTCTGTCTCTTTAGCTACTGAACACCGTCACAGTCGCTCTCTTTTTCGGTGTAACACGCTTTTTTCTAAACTGGAAACCACCAGGTCCATCGATACAAGCAACATCTCTTACAATGTTCTTCACAGGGCGCCAGAAGACGACTTACTGGTGCAGGCGGAGTCCGGCGGGTCGCTGTCGGCGCGGTAGAAACCACTCTGGCAGGGACAAATGTTGGCTCCCCGTGCGCTGGTGCGACTGTTGGGTGGGCAGGGAGTACAGGATCCCTCCCCGTATTTGGATTTGAAGGTCCCGGGGATGCAAGCTGGAGGGGCGGCGGAGAAAACAAAAAACATCAATAAGAACAAAAACAAAACAAAAGCATTCTGTGCTCGTCATTTATCTAAAAGAAAAGCAGCTGTCACATCTGTCACAGAAACAAACACGGCTGCTGTGAAGTACCTGCAAAGCTCCACATTTATGCAGGAAACGCTGATAGGCGGGTGAGAGAGGGGTGAGCGCGTAAGTATGAGGTCTTATCTGTCTATTTGCACGTGCTCTTTCATTTTCACTATCTACCAGGGGACATTAATCTCCCCAAAAAGAGAGTCGGGATGACAGCCAAGTTTCATGTTGAAGAGGAGGAAGAGGACGATGGAGATGAAGATAGACTGCTGGAAGGAGACTTCTGTTGTCAGACAAACAGGGATGGAGAATGCTTCTGAGAGAAGGGATCCACCCTAAACCCATCAATCAATGTCTGCCGTGTCTTCAGCCTCTCCAAACCGCACGGATGAATACAAACAAGGCCCCCGCACGCATGCACCAGAGCTCCATAATGATCTGGTAAATCGATGCGCGCGAAGGGACCAGAATCGTACGAGACTTAAAATTAGCCGAGGCGAGTTATCAGAAAAAACATACAAAATGCGGTAATCTTAAAGGCGATGTGTGCAAGCGATTAATTTAAATTCCAAAGTGTCACGCCGAAGGTTGGCTGATATCGAGTCTTAAGGATAAACCGGCGTAAGCCCACACTAAAAAAGGATTCAGATAAAGGGGATTAGCAGCAAAAGGTCTGGATTTATCAGCCCCCAGAGCCCCATATTTTACTGTTTGCCACATTCCTGACTGGTGGAGTAAAAGTGGGATCTCTGGAAAACATCTGTCCTCTCAGCGTGAGGGCTCGAGAAACCCAGCCGGTGAGAAAGAGTGTGATTAACTAGTTAACCTAAGTGGTCTTTCAGTTTGAACTCAAGTTCCACCCTAATTCTTAACGACGGCGCTGCGGCTCCAGAACCGTGCAATAAAAAGCCCCCGAAAAGATAAGATGAAAATGTACTTTCTCTCATAATTCACAGAGACCGTACGGCTCTACATTCTCCGGTCTGATTTATTTTTCCTCTATTACACGGCGCCTCATCATTTTCTTTTATTTGTTTGTTTTCCTCGCCTCTTTTTCGAGGGGGTGCTGAATCACCTCGCCGTCTTCCATCCATTAACCTCTTTGGAGGGCAAGATGATTCTCCCGTTTTTTTTTCTTCCGACACACTAATGTTTTCTTCTCCCTCTCCATTGTCTCTCCTCCTCCTCCTCGTCGTCGTCGTCGTCGTCTCTCCGCCTCATGCAGTTAGGCGGCCGGACCGAGGTAAGAAACCAAACGTCTGGGTGATTAATGTTGGCTCACGTTGGTTCTGAGCGGCGGTAATGAGTGTGGCCGCCCGTAGATTAACTGACGGCAGGCCGCGGAGGAAATTGCACTCCATCGCCACCGCTGGCTGAGGCTCTGGAGGGATTTCTATCAGACATCGGCGGCAAGCTTTTAACCTTGAGCCGCCAAATGGCAACGAATGAGCTCCCCGGCGCATGTTAGACACCCTTCCTCGCACCGAGGTGTGAAGAGGCTTCACTTGTCTGTCTTTGACTTCCTGCAGGCCCCCCTCCCTTTTCATCCTCCTCCTTTTGGCTGCTGTTACTATCCCATCTTTGGCAATTCACACCTTTTTAGCCACGCTGTCTGGCTTTCTCTGTAAATATCTCTTTTCCGTGGACTTGGGACGCCTTTCCCTTTATTATCTGCATTTCCCCTGCACTGATCTACGGGGCCTCTACTTGCATTCCCGCTATCCTTCTGTCCCTCCCGTCCTGCTCTCGCAATATTTGTATGCTGCTCCTCTCTGCAACACCTCATTAATTCATACTCTCCTCCACCCTCCTCCACCCCCCACCCTCCCTGCAGGAGCCGCAGAATAAATGCAGAGAAGAGGGCGCGGGCTGAGGTGGTGACTTGCTCGGAGCATATCAAGTCGCTTTGGTTAAATAAGAGTCCAAACGCCTGCTAAGCACGCTTACCTTGGCACTGAGTGCCGTCCGCAGAAGGTTCGAAGCCAGCGACGCAGGTGCACGAGCCGACGGGAACCATCCACTCGCCGTCCCCGTTGCAGTACAGCTTCAGGGGGACGGACACCTCCATGGCGTTGGTCACGCATGCCCCAGGAGCGATCACCAGAGAGGTGGCCTCCGCCCCCGTAGCGGTCTCGGGGAACACAGCGAAATTGGCGATGGTTGTGGAGCACTTCTTAAAGAAAACCCGGACCGAGATGAGAGACATGCAGGCGCCCAAGTCCTGGAACGCCAGGTAGAAGCCGGCCTTGGAGAGGGGGCCAAAGCTGCGCACTTTGGTGTTGATCCTGCCCGCCTCAAGCAGAGAGAAGCTCTCGTCCGGGGCAATAGTATCCACCTTCACGTAGGGGTTCTCCCTCCACAGGGGGCTGGCTTCTGTAGCAGTGTCCCCCTCCGACTCATAGTAAAAGAGGTTAAAGGTTTCTTTGCAGGAGCCGGGGATGTTGGGGATGCTCGCACAGTCACGGACGGAGAACTTGAGCTCTACGTAGACGCGCAGCACGCCCTTGCGGGGGATGAAGTCCGTCCTGAGCCAGTTGTTCTGGTTGGGCTGTCGGACGTTACACACCTGGTAGGTTCGGATTGGGCTCATGGAGTCGTCGTAGCCGCTGACCTCCTCCCACTGCGGAAATAACGGAGACATAAAGCGGAGAAGAGTAGGTTTGAGTCTACGATTTGACTGAATTGCATTTATTATCCAATGCTTTTTATTAATGCAGCGGCAGTACCACATGTCGTTCAGCAGCTACTGAGCTACGAGCAGAAACTTGTTTATCCAATATGTTGTTAATTAAAATTGAGCACTGTTAAAGGCGGTGCATCTTAATGCGGCGCATTGAGGCGTAGAGGGCATCCAAAACAGCAAAGTGACGTCTGCTATGAACAGAATGTAGAAATGCAACATAAGCACACGAAACACAGACATTCCCAGTGTGGCTGTGTACATGTGGCCTGTGAGGAATAATTTGCAGCTAAAATCCATCTAATTAAATGAATCATTCAGAAAATCATTACAGACTATTACATTTTTCAAACACATTTCTTGCCTCAGGGCCGTTTGACTAACTGTACGGATGCTGATCATGTGTTGTAGTTAAAGTGTGGAGACACATACCTTTATAAGCAGCGTTCATAACTAAAACTGGCGCAATCAAAAAAAGTCTGGAGAGAAGATTGGGTTTCTATCTCATATAAATATATATTATCTGTGCTAAGAGAGATGAGAGCGTGACATTGACACTTTGAATGGAAACTTTGCCCAAAGATCTATAATGCAAACAGTGAGTGATTTATTAAACTGGTCATCTAAATGCAGTGCTGTCAGTGTGATTGCACGGTGGGAGCCCTCCTGGGCACGATTACGCAAAAATATATATATATTTATATACACCTGATAGCATTTGCCTCTGTTGTGGTTAATATACCAGGTACTTTTTTTAAATTGTGTAACTTTGAAAATCACCCCTCTAGACATGGACAAAAGCTAGACATTAGCTTTTCATGTTATTAGCCCTCACTTTGTATATGTACCTAAATCTGACTAACATCACAGGTTTATGATAAATGGCCTCATTGATCAACTGATCAATTTAGTCTATTAGGAAATAACCTTGTGGGAAGTCAATCTTTTTTTGATTTTTTCCCTAATTCCCTCTTGGACAGAATCCTTCGTTTTCATTACAAATGAGCGTCCCAGAAATTGATTATTTCAACTGGGAGAAAATAATGCATAACTCATCTCACGTCTCTGAGCTCCGGTTGCAATTTATCCCCAAACGATGAGCCCAAGAGTCAGCATTAGATGTCGTAAATCACCAGCAACACGTTGATGCACTACCTGACAAATATGATAATTGCCGGCCCCCCCCCGAACGTATGGGCTTGTCAGGCGGAAGGAGAGGGGCTGCCTCGCCAGCCATGACACATGACTTCATGGACGCTGGGACATTCACAGCCGGCCCTCGTAGGGGGGAAAAAGGAAGGAGGAGGGCTGCCCGAAGATCGTTTCCATGGCAACCCAGCATTTCCATTGACTGACTTTGCGCTCACGTAGCGAAGACAAATTACGCTGGCTGGGAGTGGGGGGAGGTCTGTCGGGGCTCTTAGCCCCGGGGTCAAATTCATGTTGTTTTATTTTCTCACCATTCCTACAGGGGGTATCAGCTTAAAACTTTAATTTCTACCAGCAACGCGCTCTTGGGTCCGTATTATAAAAGACCCAGACACATGCTTTCAATTATCAAGCTCTCTATCCAGGGGAGACGTTCAAGGTAGAGCCGACCTACCAGAACTTACACACTGTGGGGATTAGCTCTGTGTATCCCAAGGTCTGCCATTTATTGTCGCCGTTTGCAGTACTTCATACAGAAAATCTTTTATTTCTCCCACACAATGTGTTTCCCATTTGCTTTTTAGTATCCTGGAAAGCAAACATACTCTGCAAAAACAAAGATATAAAACAGTAGGAGGTGTGCTGTTCAAGGCAGACTGGTCTCTATTAGCAAGCAAATGGAACAAATGTTGTTAAATTAAGAAAAAAAAAAACTTGCATGCTTAGTAACTCACCCCGCTCTCTGGGAACGTTGTCCATGCGAGCTCTGTGGTGGCCCACCGACTGTCAATAAGGGTTTCTGCAAATTAGGAGGAAGAGGAAGGTTGACAGGTAATGATAATGGTGTCCGTGCGGGAGAGAGGGAGGACAGAATTGTTCACAGCATTAAGGAGCACACACACACACACACACACACACACACACACACACACACACACACACACACACACACACACAAACACACACACACACACACAAACACACATACACATTCCTTCTGCTTGACAAAGGATTAAAGGTAAAACTTCCTTTCTTCGTCTTTCATAACGTCCACCCACACGCACTCAGATTTTGAAAGCGCCGTGACAATAAAGGCATATCTGTGATGCCGCCCAATTAGGCTCTCTCTCTCCCCGTGTGTCGCTGGCACCTGCAAATGTCTTCCTTTCAATATTCATTTGTAGAATTAAGAACAAAGCAGCATCCGAGATGCCTTGGGATGCGAAATATTCCATTAAACTAGCGCCGGCTCAGAGAGGTCCCGAGCAGGAAAATGGGTAGATCACACCAAAAAAAAAAAACCCACAGTAAGCATAACGAGTTCTCACGTGAAGCGGGCAGACGTCTTATGGCTCCTTTTTACGACTTTGCGAAGGCGGCGAGTGCCGGGCAGATGAATCGCAGGCCGAGAATAAAACAGCAGGATCAATGAGCGTTGTTGTCAGACTGTCAATCAGCCGTCACCTGATTGGTGCTGCCGAGTTCATTACACCTCCGAAGACCCGACGCCTCTCCGGCCTCTCAACACACAGCTGTGGCCGCGTCCACTCCCATTGTTCTGTTGCCGTTAGAACGTAATTACTGAAGCGATTATGCCCCTTTTTTTTTCCACGGAGACTCAGCGACACGACGCCTGCTGTGCACCATTTGCTTACAAGGCGTTGATTGTAGTTGCCGAAGGAGGGTGCGAGATGGCAAACAAATAGCGTGACCTGCGTGGAAATACGGCGGCACTCTTCCCAAGACACGTGGCTTTGTTCTGGAACCACGGCGTGGCCAGATGTTTTGCATTAAAGGCCACTTCCACTACAGTGTTGTCTTTGTCCCTGTCTGTCAATAACAGAAGCAGAGAGATCACTGGTCCGTCTGTGGCTGCCGAGCGGGAGATATGTGCCGTGTTTACAGTCCTCATTAGAGGGACCACAATGGCTCTTTTTCTTCTAAGAGGACGAGAGATAATGAATAGGAGAAACATGAGAGATTACATCTGTTTTAAACCAGTGCATCAGGTGGTCACATTCATACCGTGTTCCCAATAAAAGATCAAAGGCAAAAGTCTTCTTTGTTCTTACTTTCAATGCAAATGACCACGGGTCTGTGTGTGAACGGGGACTCAATTTCACCAGTGCTTTTTGGATGTGCAGTGCAGCGGGTCACTGTCCACCAAGCATGTTAACGTTTGCACATGACTACCAGTTCTCATTTGCACATCTTCATATTCCTCAGAACGGGTAGAGTTCTTTTTTCAAGACAAACAAACGCGTGACCCTGAGAACGGCTCTTTCTACGGAACTAAGCTCCAGCTAATTCGGTGGCATATGAATTAAGAGAATGAAGCATCATTGATTTAACGACCACTAAATGATGATGCATAAAAAATTAACTAATCACATGAACCCGTAGTGACTTTATAATTTCTTAATGGTGGGTAAGCACAGGATTCATAACCAGAATACTTCCATGTGCAGAAAGCGGTGTTTTAGGGAGTGAAACGTTTTAATAATCACTTCAGCAGTGCTTCAATGTGAAAAGTAATTACATACAAAGGGCTTGCAAGTCGCTGCCTTCTTCTCTGTTGGAAATGGAGATGACGTTTACCTCTGTGTTAAATTGAATAAGCAGCATTTACAGCCCAAAGAAAATGTGACATTTACCGAAAGAACTTTACATACAAGAAAACTCCCTCTCGCTCACTTATAAACGCATTCTCGGGCCTTCCATACAGAGTTAGGGCATTATCTGCAAAGCCCAGATATAGCACACCGAATAAGGTTCTTCTGCCGATTAGCAAGACGAGCGGCTGCTATCTCCGCTCGCAGCGCGGCCCCTCTGACTGGATGCTCTCGGCCTACATGCTGCTGATCCGGCTCGTCCCTTGGGGGGGTCCGATCCCCCCCCCCCATCGCCGGTTACCCGCGGGCGGTATGGTGACGATCACAATCGATGAGAGGTGGAGAGGAGCAGAAAGTTGCCCACTCTACGACTGTACGAAGCTCGCTCCTTTTCGAGCGCGATGCTGAATCCCCGGCACATTGAGACGTCATCTTCTATCAGAACATGACCCTTGACCTCCCAGCGAAGCAAGAGACCAGCCGAGTTCTGCACTTATAAAGAGTTATAAAATCATGGTGCTTCCAACAGCAACTATTATTAGCTGGCTGGAAATGGTCGACACTGTACGTCCCCCAGCTCAGCGTCTGAGCCCGAGTGTGTCGCTCCCTGTGAATCCGGCCATCGTTCAGCAGCAACTGACGCCACTAGTGCGTCAACTCACTAAATCTTAGAAAAACGGTTATATTGAAAAGAAAAGCTCCCATTTGTTCCCCAGTTCTCCTCCTCCCTGTTAAATTTACAACGCCTTGGAGATTCCCCTCCCGTTATAACTCAAATTTAGAACCCCCCCCCCCTCCCCCTCCATCTCCCATAAAACTACAGCAGCGGTGGATTCATTCTGCCCCTGGGGTACGAAAACAATGCTGCAGTGGGAACTTTAGAGCACCCCCCCCCCCCCTCCCATGCCGTTTTTAACGTTTATTTTATTTATTTATTTTCTTGATCGCCTGCCGGAGCCCGAACGCCAGGCAGCTGCGTTCCCGGGGGCGCGTCGGGTGCTCACACATGCTAATGTTTTATTCGCTTTGAGAGAGCGGGCGCGTCATGAAAGGGAGGCCTCGCCTCGTACAACACTGACTCTCACTGCCAACACGCAAACAAATATTAAACATTAACGCCATCGTGGGGATCAAACGTATGGCTGTGAATAGGTGCGGACTGAAGACACCCCCCCCTCCCCCGGGTTTCAGCTCTGGGAAGTCTTCTAAGAAACGGCTCATTTGTGTTTTAGTGTGCGTGTTTCTCTCCACACAATCTCAATGATTACAGTCGAGCGCGTCGCTCAGTTTGACGCTTGATAAGCACTTTCTGAACAAGTCAAGCCGACCTAATTCCACATCCCCTCAGGGCGGCTTGCACCTGCTATTGCAGCTCAACAAATAATTATTCCTGTTGCTGTTTTATGTATAGGAAGCAGCATCAATGCGAATATGCATTTTCATACAATCCCAAGCAGACACACTGCGGATTAGACCTTGTAGAACGCTTCCCCATTGGTCATCCATCTAGTTTATGAGCTTTAAAAGGAGTACAGCCGAGGCGGACTGTGAATACAACATGAGAATGTCACAGTTGCTGAGGCTCCTACCGCAGTCTGTTGGTGTGAATTGGAGAGAAGTCGTCACTGTAGCTTGTCTAAATAAGCACACACTTTAATTTGAAATCCAGCTCGCATTATCCAAGGGAAAAAGAAAAAACTTGCCAATGGGGAGAAAAAGAGAAAAAACTAATTCCACTTTCAATCCATGTGTAGAAATCCTCTGGAGTTGGCAGCTAAATAAACAACATTGAAACTAAGTGAAAAATACCCCCCCCCCTCTCATTTAAACCCATCCGGTGATCTGCCCTTCATCTTTATCCTCAGAGGACAAACATTAGTCAACCCAGGAGCTTTGAGTAACCGTCAGTGGTCCGGTTGGGGAAACGGGGCCGATCATCACAGAGTCCGAGCCCGCTGGGACTTGGAGGGCTGCTGCCGCTGCATTGATTTACTTGCCGACACCAGAATTGATGAAGGATCAGGCTTGGCTGTGGTCCAGGAGAGGCAGATGGGACAAGGGGGGGGGGGTGCATGGCAGTGAAATGTGGCTACACCTCAGAGAAGAGTCGCAGGGTGATGGAGAGAGCCTCCGAATGGGGCTGCAGCCTGCTTGTTAAGCCATTGACCTTTAATTCACACTACTCATCCAACGTGTTTCACATGCGTGTCCCCGAGGTGCTCCGGAGGACCACATTGATCCGCTGTGGTCGGACCCACTTCAGCGTCCACAGAGCCCTGATTGGTGGGTGGATGCAAACGGCGGGTTTACCGCACATCACTTGGGCAGTGAGAGGGGAAAGAGGGACGCCCCCTCCGTACTGTACCGGGCGCTCTGGGGGGGACAGGTGGGCTCAGCTTGTGTCGGGTGTGACACAACAACAGGGACAATAGCAACAGGGCAGTTCTTCAGCCGCAATGGGAACACTGGGATGTCACTACACACACACACACACACACACACACACACACACACACACACACACACACACACACAGGGGGAACGGGGCGTGCTGATACATGTGTAGATTGGATTACAATCGCAGAGCAAATTGATACTCAGCGGATACGCATTCTATTAAGAGCTTTAATTATTCTAAATATGAACGAAGAGTCTTGCTTACAGATGTGATTGCGCCTTCCGCCGGTACAGTAACAGCAAGAATGACTGATATAGTATTTAAATGGGATATCAATCAAATTATAAGGAAAAAACACCCTAAATGTGTTTGTTTTTTCTTGGTCTTTTGTATTATTATTTTTTTCTTCCAATGACAATAATGTGTTTCGTTGCCAAATTCGACATGCATCCCAACACTCCATTGTTCATCCACGCGACAAAAGTGGTGTAAAAAGCGTGAAGCCACGTACCTTCTACAGCCAGCACGGCGGGCACGACGAGGCTGCACAGCCACAGCAAGTAATCCATTGTCACAAAACAGGCTTCTCCCACATGAAGAACAAGGCGCGCGGACTGGACCCTTCGCGGGGGGATGGAGCCTCTGCAGCTCAGCTCTGTGTTCCTCTCCCGATTCTCATGCCTTCACTTGTGATGAAGGCTCGCGCCGCCCCATTTTGCCACCCCCCCAAAAAAAACAAAATAAATATATATATTTTTTAAAATGGGAATTGTTGCACTCTATCTCGTCTGGGTGTCTGGGTGCGGGACGCCGCGGGGAGCGCTACGCTGCGCCGTCCGCCTGCCGCTGTCTCTTCATCGGACTTTACCGACACCGAACCTGAGCTCGAGGAGGGGGAGCGGGTGAGAGAGGGGGGAGGGAGGGGGGGGGTGCGTGTCTCTGCTACTGCCCGGGACTTTTTTTTTTGGGGGGGGGTTGCAGGGTGGAAGCCGTCTCTGTCCAACGGGGGGAAATCCGTGTAGTCCACTTTGGCCCCACTCCGCCTAGCTGTTGCTTCTCTGTGAGGGACGTGCGTCGGAATGGCAATTACTGGGACAGAGACACAGTGAGAGGGGGGGGGGGGGGGGGGGGGGGGGGTGCTGGATGCACCAAAGCACACATGAGGAATAGCAAGCTTCCGGTCATTGTTTTTCAAAATAAAAGCTGCCGATATGCTGTGGATTAGCCTGCTTAGTTTATTCATTCCGGACCACACGCTTCACTTTGCCACAATGTGATGTAACATGTTTCACTACCGACATGTTAGTTCACTTCTGCTGATGGTTTTTGATGCTATTCGTCTTTTTCTTATCGTTAGCGTTTTATTTATTTTTGTTTGTTTATTCATCTATTTCATTATTAATTCAGTACGTTTTGGGGAAATCCGCCTTTCCTTATAATTTTGTATTTCTATGTTTGATGTTAAGGCTACTTTATATTTATTTATACACGATAGGTCTGCATTAGTATTCTCTGCACTTTCCATCGTCTATCCTCCAGTTTTTCTAAAACAACTAAATAGTCACCATCACATCTGGTACAGCTGCAGTCATTCATCATTCATCATCATTTCCCTGCATTACAGGATTTTTTTTTTAAGGATAAACCCCACTAGACCAGAGAACCTCTTCACAATAACATCCGCAGTCTGTGGTCACAGTGTTTCGTACATCAAAAAAATATAAATTAAGTGTGTCCGGCAAGCTGAGTCACGCGGGTAACCGCAGCCGTCGTGCTTCGTCACCGGACATGATGACATCATCCTAACCAGTGATGTCATAGCAGCTTTAAATCACCTGTCACTGCTCTGACATCACCTGTAGGCGACGAGCCCCGTCGATCTTTTATTGTTTCACGTGATTTTTCTTACGCTTTTACTATGAAGTGAAAAGAGCTACACTTCCGGGTTTCTCGTGGATCCGTCTGCAGCGATTGACGGTGCAGGCTGGCGGCGTGGGGGGGCAAGGAGGTGGGAGGAGAAGCAGGAGGACCGGGCTGGTCGCTTGACTAAAGTGTTTGTCCGTCCTGGACGGCGTGCACGACGCGCGCGCACGCCGCCGCGTAAAAGCGTCCGATACCGGCTTCGCGCGGACTCCGGTCTTCGGTTGGACGTGAGCTCCGGTGACCGCGGGGAGACAGCGCCTCCCGCGGGCTGCCGACAGTCTTTCTTTAGGCTGAGAGCCCCCCCACTGCCCCCCCGCATAACACACTGTGTGATCCGAGTTATGCACATCACATCCAAAAGATACCCATGGGTGTGTTTTTATATTTACTCTTGTATCACAATAACGTACATCCGCATGTGGACCGATGACACAGAAAACAGGACAGAGAAACGTTTACTGCTCCACCATTTTACAGTAAGAAGATACAAGTGATTTCTCCAGTAGAAAGGCTTCCTCATTAGTTCATGTCACGCTTTGACCTTTTTTTAGGTCCCTTTCCACCACGCCCACCCGGCCCTTTTGTCCCTTGGCAGGTTCCAGCAGAGAGGGAGAGAGGGAGTGTGGTGGTTGGTAGAAGAATGGCTGCACGGGGACAAGGCTCCCCTTCACACCGCTAATTCATCCCTCTGTGGCCCCCCCACACCCGCTGCTGCAATCCCCTCCCCTCAGAACACACACATACAAAGTGTTTCCACCAAAGTCCCTCTGAGCTACAGGCTCAAGACCCCCCTCACACACACACATCCAAGCAGCTCCCCAATCACCTCCACCCCAAAGTTTCTTTTGTCCCGCGGGCTTTGTGCGCTAATTAACTACAGTTCAATTCCCAGCAGGATGGGGTCAGCCTGCACAGTGATGGACGGCTCTCTTTAACCAGCTAAATTCAAACTAAAGACTCCCCATAAAGACAGATTGCGTCCTTAATGGCAGCAATGGAACCGTCATCGCGAGCGGGTCATGCTGCTGCGCCTCTTAATTGTTAAACATCCCTCAGTGTTTTGGACAAATTGTGTTACAAATCATCTCTGAAACAGTCCTTGAATTCCCTTGGAACACACCAGAAAACAAAAAATCATTGAATAATTACTAATGGATTAAAATTAAAGCATCCAATAAAAGTGCCTGTTATCTTTCCACCGAGCCACTTATGCTTGTTGTCTTTGTGTGGAGAAAAAAAAGCTTTGCAGATGGTATCGCTTTGAAAGGGGGGGTGGGGGGGGGGGACTCGTGCTGTGATGCCTTCCGTTTCCTCCGTACAGGTGTTGTTCCAGCGTAACCTTCCCCCTCCTCAGACATGATGGACTGCCAGTTAAATCCAACCCCCCCCCCCTCACCCCCCAAGCTGCTGACTGGACCGGGATGGTGTGGTGCTTCATTCGTTGCCCCGACAGGTGGAATAAAGGATCGCTGCTCTGGAGGCTCTTTCCGTCCTGCTGCTGATGAGAAATCTCTTCTCGGCTGCCGGGGAAAAAATTCCCCGTTCCACGAGCATGCGAGAGACGCGAGGAGCCGAGTGTGAGGCGGAGGGAAGGAAAACGACCTCTGTGGGACAGCGAGTGTGGAGCCGACAAGTACAAATGCAGTTTCTTACAGATGTTTTTGGCTCATGGTCTAAACATAAACACTTAGAAGACATCATTCATGGAGTTCGCGTTGGTCCTATAGATGCACAAATAACAATAATTTAGTAGGAGCAGAGATGAAATGGCTTTTGTAAGATAAGTGCAGGAACCTTTTCAATATGTTTAAGTTCCATCAATCAAACAATATCTATGCATTATGGGTTTCTAGGTAATTGGAAAAGGTCATCTATTTTATTGGAATCTACATAATGAAAATGACCTTGAGCAATCTCACTGTTATGGAGCTTTCTGTCACGCTGGAGGAAGTTTGCTAACAATCCTTTTCCATGTAAAACAAAGCTTGTGTTTGTCGCACAACTTTAGCCGAAACGTGACAAAGCTGCTACAAAAATCTGGCCATTAAAATCGGACACTATTAACTCGATTTACAGCAACAGACACAGGTAGTCTTTTCCTCATGGCCGCTGATGTGAGACAACTGGCAAATGACCCGTCAAACAACGGGGGACATCGCTGTCCGATAATGAGGGAAAAAACAACCAGGAGAAGACTTCGCCCAAAGAACCCCCCCCCCCTCCCCCCCCAATAATTCTACATGGATTTAAACATCTGTCACTGCCCTGTGTGAGCTGCTTGTTTGCTAACAAGGCCGAAATGAAGAGCTCGGCGTCCTTGTGAGCGCCGCTGGAGCACCACACAAAACAGCGCGGGAGTGACGCTTTGCTCCATTGATTGGAGACGTAATGATACGTGATTATGCCCAGGCGGGGGGGCGGGTGCTGTTTAGCCCGCTGCTTAAAGGCCCGAGCACCGCTGGGCCTTTCAAAAGTGACTGCCGTCCCCAGTGTGCTTCTGTGCAGCGCTGATTGATGGGATGCTTGAATTGGTTGTTGGTTTTTGAGGGCGAGCTGGTTGGGTTCGTATTCGCGAGAAAAAAACTCCCCGGGAGTGGACTCACCTCGCGGAGCCGTCAGTGTAAACCGCAGCTCCGAACAAAACAACATAAGCTGCACTTCGTCCGACTCCCAAACTTCACAGCTAATCGGTGGGAAGCCGTCACTTACGTTACCAGGGGCCTGCGTGACGCAGGACATCGTCTCGGGCGATCTTAAGTGAGACGAGTGGAAAGCTCGCTTGTGAAATAATGAGCGCTCGTCCGCAGCGTGGAGGCGAAAATTAATTAAGAACAATTCCATTTCAGCGGGCACAGACAGTTTCAGAAGAAGTCTTTTTCTTTTCAGAATTATTCACAGGAGGCGTTATTGATGATTCGCCACATTCTGCAATTTTCCCACCATTCTCCTCCTCCATTATTCATCCACCTCTACTTTTTAATCTCCTGTGAGCTGACTCAGAACTCCACTTCCATTTGCAGACTGTTCCTCCTCTACGCTCAGGTCTGTAGCATTGATTAAATGGACCCCGGTGGGCCGGGGATTACATCGGGCTCTATTTGAAATGGCATTTCTACAGTGTTTTTCCATTACTGAGCATACTATTGGAATTTAGATAAACTCGGTCGGGGTAGTCTTTGTTGATTTCTGCAATGATTCCTCTGGGTCACACGGGGTCCATTTGTTGCAATTTAACAATTACTATCTCTGGTGCGGTTGCTGATTCTCATGTGTTCACATCCCTTACCAGCCGCCCCGTCTCCCCCAGGAGGGCGGAGGAGAGGAGGAGGGAATAGTGGAGGTGGAAAATGAATGTTGAAGGTTGTTTTTCATCAGCTGAGATGGATCAGGGACACGATGGAACAGAACTGAGACAAATTAGATAACAGAGGACCAGAGCGAGAGACAAGCACGCCCGTTGTTCCCGTTGCGGAGTCTGACTTGTAAACATACTTGTGGTTTCGACTGTGAGCTCAGCGCTGGTTGTCAATAAACAGCTGGACCCCTTTTCTCTCCGAGCGGTGAAACGGTCTCACTCGTTGCATCCGCAGCAGGTCAGAGTGAAGAACCATGTGATCATTAAATGTGCGTTTGAGCACTCTGTTTACTCACTGAATGAAAATGGGTCCATGCTTTCCGTCATTTCATTTTCTGGCTTCAACTCCGACTCCATTGCACACAGATGTTGACATGCAGAGGTTTTTCTACATCCATTATTAACGCCAGCGATCGTTCAGTAACGACAAAGCCTGCAGGCTTTTGACCTTCTCCTCGCACTGTGATATTCTCCAACAAGTGGCCACTACTGCACTGTCCAACAGCTTCTCCTCTTCTCCCCACAGGTGGAGTAGAATGTGTGTCAGGCTGTTTTGCTTCTAACACTTCTCTTTTGCAGCTAATAAAAACTGTCCGGTGCCGCTTAAATTATGCAGTCATTGTAGCCGCAGATCTCCACTTCAACAAAGGATTTCCTGGACCTGCAAAACGTGCAAAATTGATTTTTTTTTTTTGTCAGGCAGCAGAATTTTCCTCTTCATGTTTTTCTAAAGCACAGAAATGATCTTGCAGACTGTTGCACACAACTAGTTCAACAACCAATTACCCCGACCTGTCATGTGGACCAATTTAAAAGATTTCATAATTGTGCAGAAGAGGCGTGAGGCAGGTGATTAAACACTAGTAAGAAAGTGATTAAACACTAATGCTAATCGTTCAACCTTTAATTTAAAGTTGAACTAAAATAACCCATTGAAAGCAAAACTCAGTCATTCAAAATGTTGAAAATCCAATTCAATTCGATTAATTTTATTTTGCTCAAAATCGCAAATTACAAATTTGCCTCAGAGGGTTTTAGAGTCTGCGCGCATGCGACATCCTCTGTCCCAAAACCATCGGCACAGGAAAAACTCCCCAAAAAATGAAAACCCTTCCATGGGGTAAAAAGGGAAGAAATCTTAGGGAGAACGTCAGAGGAGGGATCCCTCTCCCCGGGATGGACAGACTACAATGGATGTCATGTGTAAAAAATGAACAATGTAAAATATGTACAATACATTCAATTCCTACAACAGAGATGAGTCAAATAATTGCGGGTAGTAAGCAGGTCACCACCGTCAGAGAGAAGTAGCAGTTAAGTGTAGCTCAAACTGGCCTTGATGAAGCCGGCTGGAGGAGCACGCACCTGTTACGAAGGACGCTCCCGCACCGCCTCCCTCTCGCCATCGGAGGGACCCCTCTCCCGAGTACTAACTGGTTTCGAACTCCATCTCCCATCATGCTTCACACCTGGGACTGATTCCACAACACCACTGATGACACACACACCTGCACCTCATTGACACACACACCTGCACCTCATTGACACACACACAAAAGCCACTGACACCCACACACTCACTGCGAAGTCTTGATTCTGCCCCGGCTGTCATTTCTGAGCGTTTTCTCCTAGTCTTGATCCCTGTTTAGTGACCCCGGACCGTACTGCTGATTGCTCTCTGCCTGCCCCGACCCCTGCCTGCCCGCTGACTACGATCCTGTCTGCTCTACGTTGCCCTGTCTGCTGTCATTGACTCTGCCTGTCTGATGCTCTAATAAAAACCTGCGAATGGATCCCTCCGAATCCGGCGTCTCCTTACAGCACCAGAGGATGAGGTAATCACACATTGCCGTATATTAAGACTCGTTCTTCCACCAGCAGCGTCAAACAGAAACTACCTTCTCCTGGAGACTCGCTGAGCGTGACCTCCTGAGCCCCAGCTCGCAGAAAAAAGCAGAGGAGTCAATCTGTGCTTCGAAGGCTCTGCAAAACCTTTTCATAATGAGGTCAGTGTGAAGCCGTGTGCCATGTGTGTGTGTGTGTGTGTGTTTTGTTTGTGTATGTGTGTGTGTGTGTGTGTATGAGTCAACCGCCTTGAGAACGGTTTGTTTCATGTTTGAGCGGATTAGCAGGACCAACCCCCCCCCGGAGGATTGCAGGCTGCACCAGAAGTGACTCCACAGTTACATTTAAAAAGTGATGACGAACAGCACTTGTGAGTGTGTTGCCCCCTCCCCCCTCTCCGAGCCCTCCTCTCCTCCGCATTCTCGCGACAGGTGACACAGAGCGAGGAGCCTCAGCCGTCAACTGACATTTGGGATGCAGATTTCATCTGGCACGAGGACAGTGGATGTGTTACATTGTGATGCAACCAACTGCATGTTTCAGATACATTCCTTATGTTTTCAGTGGTCATTCACTGACGGAACACGAGCACCTCCCAGTGTCAGGAAGGAGAAGTGGAGTATGTCAACTCCACACCGTCGGTCTGACCAGGGACGGAAAAAACTAAATCATATGTAAGTGTTCTCAGAAAAGAGAGTTTGCACGGTAAATTAACTTGAACTCCTTGAAGGTGCTCTTCATGTTAAACTGTTTTCCCACATTTCTTAATTAGAATGTAACATGCACACACACAAATAACATTTTAGTTCCAAGCCATGTTTGACAAATAAATACTATATAATTAAACAAAAATGAATTGTTCACTATGAAGTCTGGTTGCTGTGTGGTACAGACCAGCTACAGCCAGCAGACTGTAAGCGTTGCTTTGTTCAATGACACAATGGATGACAGAATGTTTGAGTTTGTTAAGACACAAAGTTACACAAAGTCAGCCACAAACTCAAAACAGAGCCTGCAGTAACTTGTAAACAGAGCTGGAAGGTCATTGTCAACTTCTTATATGGTAGTAATAAAATAGTACAGTGTCCAAACAGCACCAGCCGCGTCTTCTGAAAGTCCTTCTTTCTCACAGTCGAGCCAACAGAATGATGGACATGTACTCCAGTCTTCCGCCCAAGAGACTTTCTTCCATTCTGTTGATATACATCCTCAATCAAGAGCCCTCGGTTCTTAAGTATTTCCCACATAGGAGAAATTTATTATTATTTATATCTGAAGAATGTCCTTTAGTAACTATCCTCATGTTGTTTGAAGTGAGCCAATGTCACTGGCACTTCATACTGAAAACCCTTGTGTAAACTTTAGCTAGATCTAAAAAAAGCCTGCACCCAAATTAGGAGAGAATGTTGTCACTGCTGTCCTCTCCTTAAAGTCAGTGGCAGTGACACAAAGTCGAACAACCTCTGCAAAAGAGGGGATAACCATAATTATGGATTAGACAAATTTGTACTGGAGAGGAGAAGAGATGCTGAAGTGCACGGCACCACCCGCATGCTGCGCTGCTAAGAACTCAGCTGCAGCACATCCTCTACTGCACGCCTGCTGCACAGTGTCAGTCTGCACGACACAAGATATATATATATATATATATATATATATATATAAAAACTCATGCCCAGCCTCGGGGTATACATCCTGTAATAGTGCATTTTTTCAGAAACCAAGACAAGCATATTGTTTTTATGTTAAGTAAGACAAGGAGTAATGCTTGTGATATGCGTTCAATATATGTCAAGTCAATAATAATGCCCAATGTCCTGAATAAGAAATTGTCTTTATTCAACTGATGTAGTGTGTTCAGAATAAAAATACAAAAACTATTTATATAAAACAATGACAAAATGCTACATGGAATGTTCCACTGGTCGATGGGCAGGATATTCTCCTCTTGTACAAATACACAGGTGTCACCATTAGACTTATTGTAAAGACCAGCGCAGTAGAGCGGCTCGGGCGAACGAACAAAAAAACAGGACCGAAAATGGACACCGAAGGAAACATGCACACAATTTCTTTCTGTTTTCTTTCTCTAAAGAAAAGGCATAATAAAAAGAAAACCAGTTAGCTTTTTTCAAGTAATCTATTCATTATGATTTAAATTGCTGGTTTATTCTCATAAGTCGGTCAGACCGCTGCTGGCAGATTTCTAACGAGAAGCAAAAGAGCTCAGCAAATCTCTGCTCTCATGTCTTTACATTGGCTTCCAGAACAGAGCCTGCACACAATAAGCCCGCTGCCAATAGACCTTAATTAAAAGAGGTGAGGAACTCTTTTTAAAGACAATGAACCGAATAGGTTATGACGGAGAACAGACGCAGACACATACTGCCAGTTGGGAGGCCTGTATGCCGCCAAGCACAGCTTCAAACAGTTTAAATGAACCCTCCTTATATCTGCTCTGATGTGACTCTGCAGCATGAGGGAAACGTCCCAAGTCCAAAAGCCTTCTCATGGCCTCGCCTCACGGGTTGCATGTGTCAATGACCAGTTTCATTTAGTTTAAACAGAATTTGTATTACTCGAGAGACAGTTTAGCCTCAATCCGAATGCAATGGAATTTCCTGTTTGAAGAACTAAAAATAAAATCCCTCCACATTGGGAAGTAGCTCAAGAGGAACTGCTTGAGAGGCAAATCCAACTTTAAAATCGGCTTCGTTAGACTTCCTAGGGGAAGTGAACTGTTTTTGTATTGATATGGGAAAAGTTACCCATGGTTGTGTCGCAGTGTCAATGTCATCATTTTGGAAATGGACAAAACATCAGTAAACTTCATCATAACTTTTGGGAAAAATTGCATCAATCAAGCACTTCAATGAGCTCCAATAAAAACATGATTAGTGATTATTTTCATAAAATATTGACAATGTCATTTTTTTTTTGTCATGAGTAAAATTAGCCTGTTATTGATGTATTATTCATGCATGAGTGGGATTCATCACTTGTTCAATTTTGGCGAGCATGCTAGTTTTCCAAGTGGAGAATAACTTGTCTCAAAGCCAACTTTTGTAGCTCCCCGCTGCATGCTGCATGGGACCCATATTGATTCCTCTGTTTTGTTACATAAAAGCGTGTGCAGCCGACCGAAGCTGTCACATTTTCAGGCCTCTGACGAAAGCTCCGTCACCTCTGATGATGATTTATTGCACACTTATTCACAATCATCTAGTAGCTGAGGATTCATCAGCATGTCAAATATTTACGTAGCTCTGCTTTGTACATGTACGTAAATATATGGAGGATTCTATTCTGTTTTGGGCTTTTGGTTTGCTGACAATGAGGTTCAAACACAACAGTAAGACAATGTACTGAATGATTTTGAATCACTTGAAATCAAAGTAACTTGTTACACATTGAGGTAACGACAACCTGAGGCGGGCCAATCATGCAGAGACAGGAGAGAGAGAGAGAGAGAGAGAGGGGTGGGGTGCTCAAATACTGGAAGTCGTGGCACCGAAGCACCAAAGCAGTCAAGACAAAGCACCGAGAAAAACTAAATCCAAGATGTTGAGAAATTTGATGATCACACTTTCATTTCTTCAACTCATTTTCATCTCAATCCCTCATCGAACGCACAAACTGCAGGTAAGGTTGTTTTTTTGTGTTCAAGATGCATCTCAATACCTGTGTTGTGCATGTTGAATGGATGGAGAAATCTCTCGTGGTAGTTCACACTGCATTAGAGTATGCTGCGTATGAATTTCAAATGACAAAATGACACCACTCTTAATCTTAATCTGGATTTAAGATATATAAGTAGGTTTGGAAATTCTCTTTCTATCAAACCATCTCAACGGAAGAACAATATATTTCACTTCGTTTTTGGGCTATTTAGCTTCTATAACATGTTTCATGTGGGAAAAACATCCAGTTATCATCTGCATATTTAAAACTTTAAAACAAAATCACTTCAACGAGAAATACTTTTAAAACCACATATCTTTAACTTCTGAGCCACCATCCAGTTCCATTCATATTAAAACCCTGCAGGGTTTCACACTTGTTCATATCATTGCTATCCTGATTTATTTGAAATGCCAGGCAGCGGTTTTATTTTATTAAGATAATATTTCTGGGCATTCACAACTCATTTGCAAATTTAAATATGCAAAACATTACTGAAAAAATAACTAAAATACAAAAATTATTGATGTCTTAGCTGGGGAAGTTTCATGGGGGAGTCTTTTAGTGGAATCCTTTTTGACCCGTAGCGTCTTTAATCATCGCTAAAGGGATGATTACATAACATTTTTCATTACAATGATCACACTTCCCACAATGCAGTTGAAAAGCACCTTTCGCAAGATGGTCTTTGACCGCCAAATGCCTCCTTAAAACTCCTGTCGGTTTGCAACAGTTTGCAAAGCCCCCTTTTCTCCTCTCTCCGTTAGGTCTGCAACCCAAGCGACCTCCATGCCAGTCGTCAACATGTCCGAGCTTAACTGCTCCTTCGCTGCTCTTTTCCCGATCGGTGCGGCGGTTTTTAATGACGTCGCCTGCCCCGAGGCGGCTCTGATGTGCGGGATGAACATCTCCAGCGTGTTGGCCAACGCCACAGCACAAGATTTGGACGACATGTGCATGAGCGAGGCCGACTACCTGGCCATGTACCTGGGGCCTCCGAGGTCCCCCGTGTTCCTTCCCGTCTGTGTCACCTACCTGATCATCTTCGCGGTGGGCGTACTGGGCAATTACCTGACCTGCGCTGTCATCTTGCGCCACAGGGTGATGCAGACGCCCACCAACTACTACCTGCTGAGCCTGGCGGCGTCTGACCTGGCGGTGCTGCTGATGGGCATGCCGCTAGAGATCTACGAGCTGTGGCAGAACTACCCCTTCCTGCTCGGAGAGGGGGGCTGCTACTTTAAAACCTTTCTGTTTGAAACCGTCTGCTTCGCCTCCATCCTCAACGTGACGGCGCTCAGCGTGGAGCGCTACGTGGCGGTGGTGCACCCCCTCAAAGTCAAACAAATCACCACACACGCTCACGTCAAGCGGGTGATCCTGATGCTGTGGGCGCTGTCCATGCTGTGCGCCGTGCCGAACACCAGTCTGCATGGGATCGTGACGCTGCCTCCAAAGTTCGGACGTCAGTTTCCCCGATCTGCAATCTGCTGTGTGTATATATACTTTTTATTTTAGAATTTATTTTAGCCATGTCAAGAGTCTGCAGCAATGCTCACACTGACAACATCTTCTGTGTTTGCCACTATAGTTTAGCGTGTAAGCGTGCAAGCACACCCGCGATCGGGATCTAATCTATTGCGTTCATCTCCATCCTCAGGTGTGATTCAGCCGCCCCGCATCTACAGCTGGATCGTCCTGATTTCTACGTTGGCCTTCTTCCTGCTTCCCATGCTGATAATAAAGCATTCTCTACCTGCTCATTGGCTTGAGGCTGAAAAGTGAGAAGATGAACGCCAGCCTGGTGGACACCAGCTTCGGACCGGAAAGACGATCCTACCAGCAGAAACTGAGCAAACGCAACCTGCAAGTCACCAAAATGCTGTGTGCGTGTCATTTCATTCATGTTGAGGAGCAGATACCGCACACACACACGCACACACACATTTAGAAGGACTTTATATGTATAACATGTCTTTGTGTCGTCGTCCATCCTTTTGTCTGTCCTAAACTGTCCTTCTGTCCCGCGCAGGTGTGCTGGTGCTTGTGTTCGGCCTTTGCTGGGCTCCGTTCCACGCCGACCGCTTGATGTGGAGCTACATCGAGCTGTCGTCCGAGTGGCACCACCAGCTCTTTGAGCTGGTCCACGTGGTGTCGGGAGTCTGCTTCTACCTGAGCTCTGCCATAAACCCCATCCTCTACAACCTCATGTCCACAAGGTTCAGAGAGATGTACAGACGCAGCGCTTGCTATCCTCAGAGCAGGCCGGCGAACGGATCCGACGTACAGACGAACCGACGCAGCACCTTCAGCGAGAGAATCGCCAATAGCACAAAATCATCAACTTAGTCTGGCCCAAAGGTCCACGGATATCATGCAACAGTTGATGTTGAATTACAGTAGCCATATAGTAGCCAAATATGTCCCATCGAACACTTTTTATGGCGTGTTTGTGGCCCCCGTAGAAGCAGTTAACGCTACAAAATAGTTCTGGGTTGGATTCTTCTCTGTGCGTAGTTGCCTGACGGGGTTTAGCTAATGAACGCAGGGTCGTTCGCTTGAAATGAATGCACTACGGCTCGTGTTTGAAAGGAGGAACATTGGTCTCAATGAAAATAAGGCCGTGGTTTGTTTGTGAGGGTCATGACAAGTTTGTTTTTTTATTACTCTTTTGTGCATTTACTGTACCTGTGATGTAAAATGTTTCTAATTCTATCTGAATGGATCTTCCACACTGTACATACACTTTAGTGGGTTTTTGTCTTTGTCTCTTGTAGCAGATGGGACTACGAACAACATTTTTCTGTGGAGCCCTGTTGAACAAGGACAGAAAATAAACCTCAAAATGTGAATTAACAAAAGTATCGCCGGGTTAAAAAGATCACTTGTGTTTATCGCTCTCCAAAGTGTTATTGTTATCTCATGTGTTGAATTGCTTTGGAATTTTGCAAATTGTATTGAAAAAGATCGTGTGGATATTCATCAAGTCCTTTATCAATGTACAAGACCTTGTGCAGTTTTTCTGTACTGTTTAATAAAAAGCAGGCATGGTTTTCTCAGCATATAACCACCAAAATGCTTTTAAATGTCGGTGCTGCTGGTGAGATATTCTTGTGTGTGTGCTTATAATTAATCTTTACACTTTTGGTGTTCAGACCCCGACACAGCAACCAGCTGCAGGACTTCTGTGTAAACATTATGTCTAAACTGCTGCCCAACAAAACAAATTGTTGTTGGCCGAGGGGCCAACAGAGCCTTTTCCACTCAGCCGTCTCCTCTCATGTTACTGTGACACACAGTGCGAGGTGGAAAATACGTTCAACAAATGAGGCCGAGAAAAAAGGAAATGATGTTTGCAGCAAAGCAGGAGGGCAGAACACAAAGACGAGCTAGCAGATGGATAACGACGGACCAGGTAGTAACGTCACAGTGTCATCAGTGTGCCTCATCAACGCTGATGATCAGCAATCTGCCCACAACCTGCATCCCCACGGCAGAATACACTGTTCAAGTGTTTTCCTCTGTTTAATAAACTCAACCCACAGTAGATGGAATTTTGTAATTCATTTGTTGCCTCATGAACTAGCAACATTTGATTTAATCTTCCTTTCCTTCAACCCGTCCGGCTGTCTAGATTGGTTTGGCTCGAGCTGCCTGTTTTGGGAGATATTGTTGTGTAAATGTACGCCTCCTCTACAATATAATGGAACTATGTGGCATTGCGCTTGCGGTGCTTAAAGCACCCCGAAAATAGCTCCTATCATTGCAAACGCCGTATGTCCACCGCCCATTCGAAGGCTTTCACACGGATCGACCGTGAGCAGTGAACGATAATGTGAGCGAAGACACTTTCCCTGCATCCTTTGTGTAAATTGCTTGTAGAGACCAGGAGTGTCCTGGGTTTTTATTGTCCCGCGTCCCTTAATCGACAAATTTCCCTTTTAGACACGAGCCGGTGTGCATTCATCTGTCGAGGCAGGAGAAGAACATCTAATATGGACGATACGCTTGTACGTATCAAACTATTCTCCATAAGCAAGAATGTATTGCTGGACATTGCTATCAATATTGTTTATTGATCCATTGTTAGTAAGTTATTTTCATTGTATATACAGCGTTTGGGGTTTACGCAACAAAAGCAGCACGTGAAAGCAAATGCTCAGTTTATAAACTATTCAGAACCATATAATTGCTCAGGGCCTGAAAACAGAAAATACAGTAAACTATCCCACTGTCATAATTTTATTCCCTGTAACCAGAACTGGTTTTAGCTAAATAGCAGGAAGCACAAGAGTGCGAGGTGTAAATATCTTTCCAGTGAAATTAACTAACGCAGGTCAGAGGGGGAAGGTTCTGTATCATGGACGGCAGCATGCTGTAATCTGTGATACGTTCTTGCGTGATTACCTTAATTATGTTGGGCAGAATTACGTGAGATCTCAGTAAAAATATGCATGCAACACAACTGTGATGTAACCCACTCCCAGCAAAAATGTAATGCGGCACAAATGATTTTGTGTGGATGTGGATTGAAGAACATTTTTAATCAAAAAGGTTTTAGTTTTCACTTTCCTTTGTTGACAACAAAGTTCAAAGTGTGTCCAAGCTACGCTTAGTAATGAATGAAATGTTAATGCAATCAGTTGAAAGCGATCTTTAGACTGGCGAATAATCAAACGAGTCCGTTAAAGGTTAGATATGCTGGATTTACAGATACAGACATTTTAATGGGTAAAGGAACTGATGAGAACAGAAAAGAGTTTGGTGTGAAAATATGGTTTTTAAGAAAGGATTCCATCCACGAGAGATGCTCTAAAAAGAACATCAAGTGTCGTAGACATCGGATGTTGCAACACTTAAATCAAACAAGGCATTATTTGCTTAAAAAAAAACACTAAAATAAAAGTAACATAAAACAAAGCAAATATTTTGCTCTTTCTTAATTAGGCGTTGACACCACTGATCATTTTAAAAGTGATCTATGTCAGCAAAGTAAAGAGGAAAGAGGCCTCCATCAACACGGCATTTAGCACCTTTTAGGAACCAGTTTTGGACCAAACAAGCAGTGAAGAACAACACATCTCGCAAGAATGCCCGTAAAAACCTCCCTGAGGTAAAGACGCCAGGGATTCAAGCCATCAGCGTTGTGTTCCCGTCCCTCCAGATATTTCAGGCTTCAGTGGCTCTTGGGACGGTACTTTCTCTCGAACGCGGCCACGTCAAACTTCCGCAGGCAGCCTTTGTAGTTCATGTAGCGGATCTTCCCGAAAACCTCTCTCTCTTTCCAGCCCTGGTCATGGATGCCACAAATGGACCACATGCAACCTGCAGCAGGGATACGCAGTGGGGAGAAGCACGAATGTGTGAGTCCGAGAACATTGAATGAGCGCCTCAAAGTGAGGATGTGACGCACGTCCTCACCGACGAAGCCATTGGGATCCTGGCCATCCAGAGAGTAGCGATCGTTTAGGTACAGAGCGATTGAGAGCGCTTCCTCCGGTGAGGACGTCCACTCGAGGATCTTTTTGGCCCAGTACATCCTCAAGAAACCGTGCATCTTCCCCTCAGTGACCATCTGGTACTAATGGGAGATGGAGCGACGTAAAATGGTGAGAAAGGCTTCCGCGTAACACGGCCTGGCGAGCAACGTCCATGTGAATGAGAAGGTACCTGAGCACCGTTCCACAGCTTGTCGTGCGTCTCGGCTTTCTCCAGCCGCTCGCGCGCGTAGAGGTACGGCCTCTCGTCTTTAGCGTGGTCTTTCAACGTCTTTTGAGCCCACTCGTACGCACCTGGGCAACACAAACACATGTACGGTTTGTGTAAAGCAAAGGGTAGAATGGGGCAACAGGAGGTAAATCACATCAAACGGACTCTGCAAGATATCAATTTAGGAATGCAAACCGGACCCTGGATGCTGTCATATTTCTTGTTGTAGAAGCAGAAGTTGTCAGTCAGCTCTCTGCGCACCACCAGCTCCTCGATGAAGGAGGCGACGGAGTGACCTGCAGACTTCCCACTGCTCTGAACTTGCGTCGCCACACGCTGGGCTGACAGGTGGCCTGATGAAGAATGAAAAAAGGAAGGAAACAATAAAAGAGGCGGACAAAGTAACCAGAGAAACACAAGATTGTCCGTTAACCACCGATTCCAGGATTTTAGTAAAGCAAACACAAAAGTGAATACAGAGTTGCTGTAGATTAGCAGGAAAACATTTATCCCTTCCAAGACATGCATTGAATTCACACTTCTGCTCATAGTACTACTGACCAAAGCGGATCCAGGGGGACAACTGGCTGAGGGCAGCGGCGTTTGGGTCGTTGCGTTTGGTGTCAAACAGTTTCAGGCGAACATCAATGAAGGACTCCAACATGGCCAACCCCCCCTTGGTGCCTGGCTGGGCCCACTCAGTGTCTCCTACTGCTCGGTCCACCTGCAGCGAGGCCAGGGTTTTGTCCCAATCTACTGGCTGTGAGGTTGAAGGAGATAGAAAACGGAAAGAACGAATCATCAGCGGTCACAGTCCTTTGCCTTTGCTTACGTTACAGGAGGCTCAAACTAGTGGACGCCATATCGATCACTGAATTGCGGTGGAAGCGCGGCTTCCTGCAGCTTCAACACCCGGTGATGGGATCAACTGAATATGTGCAGAGGCCTGCAGAGGGTTGAAAGGAAATGCTTTACTGCAGCGATCCGCCATCGAAACTCTCAAAAATCAATGAGCTCACCAACAGCTTTACTTTACTACTATTGATCTTCAAAGACCTTCTGAAAAAAATATATATTTTCATGAAAAGACAAATCATTACCCTGCCGACCAATTCCAACCGAAGGCCAAACGACTTTGTACTTTCTCTTAACAAAAGGCATGTTAACTTGTATTCAGAACAATTTTGATGTGCCGTTGACTAACTGCAGCACGTACTTTGGCAGTTGTTGTAGCTGCGTAGGAGTGTTTCTCTACCAGAGGAAACTCTGTGAGAAACTCTGGCAACAGCTTTGTGATTTTCCCTCTGATCGTCCTGGCGGCATACTCGAGCTTGGGTGATGTGACCCAGCAGGGGACAATATTATGTGCATCAACCTGAAAAAAAAAAAAAAGGGAGAATGAGGTATTTTACACGTATAACACATCATGAAGAAATACTGATAAAAAAAAGGGTGGGAAAGGTGAAGTAAATAATAAAAGGTTCAACACTCTGGCTGTATTAAAAGTCAAAGGTTGTACCTGTATAAGGGGGATTTCGCTTGGGAGAGTCGCTTTAACCTCCTCCAACCACTGCAAAGGCTCTCGGAGGGGGGAGAAGTCTGTCACCACTGCTCCCAGGCTGTGCTCAGCAACAAAGCCCGGCAGAACCTCCCCGGCCGAACCATGCAGCAGGTGGAACTGGATGTCCAAAGCTTTGCATTCCTGTTTGGGTCATAGGCAGAACAGCAACGTTTAATAGACCTGGCCGTGGGTAAAGGTGTCAGTCCAAAAGGCCTGTGATAACTAGTGAAAGTTACGTCTCCAAATTAATCAATTGTTTTAAATCGGGTTGATACAAATGCAAGTGAACATAGACAAACAGGTCATATGCAGGAATGCAAATTACTGCTGTACTTGGTGCATTCAAAAAGCACGACTTAAATACCTTTGCCACTTCTTCCAGGCCTTTCAACATGAAGCTGTAATGTCTCAGAGTGGACAGTTCGGATTGTGGGACAAGCAGGCAGACACAGACGTGCAGAGGAAGCTTCTCCCTCAAGGCAAGCTGCTGGGCATGGACCATCGCCCAATTATCTGCAACAGGGAGGGAAGCACACCCCGAAACATGTCAAACGAACCAGGCTGTCTCTTGTTGCATTGCAGTTTGTTGTTGTTGTTGTTGTGAGTGTTTACCTTGTACCCGGTGGTCTCTCAGCATCCAGTACAGGACACCCTCGGAGCCCTGCTTCATCGATTTAGCGTCAGATATAAAGCGGAGGCGTTTTTGGTTGAATTTCATGTCCTTGTTGTCCTTTCGGAGCTGCTTCAGGTGGTCCTTCAGCCAGCCCGCAGCTCCAGCGCCCTCGTGGTTCTTCTCTCCCTTCTTCTTCTGCTGCTTGGCGGCGGGCTCGGTGGCGGCGGCCGACGTCGCCTTGCGTTTTACCGCCGACATGACGACTCGACGGGAGAGCGGTGAAGCGGGTCCGCGAGCACCGGGGACAGCGAGCCCCAACAACCGCCTCGCGTCAGACGAGAGAGTTGCGCTGAAAAGGTAAACAAACCCCCGGTAGAAAGAGGAGGAGGGCGGTAAAATGTCAACAGAGATAACGCGCAAAAAAAAATCAATTAAGAAACACTAAATCCGTATTAAACAGTAGGTAAAGGCCAGCGACACAACGATGACGCTCGGCTACAGAAGCACATCAATCCATGCAGATAATTTACCTCCTGCAAACCCAGAGCAGCATGCGATGAACACTGAAGGAAACTTGAAGTAACGTGAACGGTTCACGTTACGTCTGACCGCGTTGTTTCAAAGCTAACGTTAGCTAACGGAAGGATACGGCGGGCGACTTTTCCGTGTTCGGGAGAAACACGCTAACGTGCGTCGGATTTCCCTTTATGCAAACAGTTCCACGAGGTTTTTATAACACACATTTCGTTGTATTTCACTACATTTCCCACAATGCAAACGGTGGACCATCTCCACAGCGCATGCGCGGCGCCGTTTACGTTCGGTTGTGACGTGTGTGTACGTTGTAGCGTAAGTTAGCCTTAAAAGGGACGGACCGGCAGCGCCCCTTGCTACCTGCGTGTGTTCGTTGTGCTTTAAAGTATGAACAAAGGGGTTTTTACAGCAGCTCGGGGGAGGAGACCAGCGGTTCCCGACAAAGTGGACATGTCCTTAGGTAAGGTCCTCGGCAGCGAACAATAACGGCACTGGAGTAACGTTACTACAGTCAGCTAATGTTAAGCTAACGTTGCTTGCGAGTGGGAGGCACAGCCATGTTGGGAGGTTGTCTGTTGCCAGGTGGCTAAATATATCTGCTGTGAGCACTCGAGATGCCTCTTTGTTTTAACGTTGCTCGCGTAAAACACTTAACAGATGACATCATTCGGTTGAACAAAAAAGAGCAACAGTCAAAAAGGAGACAGGCCCCTGCGAACCGTCGACCGGTGAAGAGGACGGGCCGTTTCCCCCAAGCGAGGGGAGTCGCGTCAAGACCCGCCGGAGCGGTCCAGCGAGGTGCGTGCGTGCTCCTGGTTGTAACCTTTTTCTCTCCGTAACATGACACGTGTAATGAATGTCGCCGAAAATGGTCTTCAGCAGGTGGAGGCGTCCCTCGAGGAGGAGCAGCAGCAGCTAAATTGAGAATCCGGAGAGTCCCTCCCCCGCCGGGGCGACGACGGGGTCAAGGGGTCATCACGGGACTGGCGGCGAGGCGGCCCGCTGCCCTCCTGAAGCGACTCGGGACAATTAACAGAGCAGGGGTCGGCCAGGTAACGGAGGACATGCTGCAGTGGACACTAAGATTGGGGACATGCTACTTATAAGCCGATCTGTGATGTACGGTGGCTTTGGAAGAGGATTTTAATAAGCATATCATATCTGTCTTTCAGTATGCATATTAAGAAGGAAGTCCTAAAATGTGCCGGAGACACTGTTTCCTAAATATAAAGTATACTACAGCAAATGTCGTGGCATTAAATGTTTAGCATTAGTGAGGTTGACATACAGCCGCTGTAATAAAAGGTCTAAAACATAACGTATCTTTAAACTAACAGAAGCTGAACCTGAAAGCGACGGACATCACAATTGAGTATCCAAAAATAGAAAACTCCCCTCATATAAATCCTGTTGTCTTCATCAGAGAACCACAGAACGCTCCACTTCGCTCCCCATCGTTTTAGGACGGTTATCTATTTAAGGCCTAAAGGGCTCAGACTTTGTTTAGTTTTTCTCTCCTATTCTGTTAACCGTGTGCAAGTTTTGTTTTACTTACTGTATATTCAGTTTAGTCGTGCCACTTGGAGATGCTTTACTTTTTCCTCATTCTAATCTAAATTCCAAATATATCTGAGTACATACGTTTATTAAAACTCAATCTCGTACACGCTGCTGACATTCTAAAGATAAATGCAGACGCTGATTGGGTGGATTGTCCCACATTACTTTCAAGTTTTTTGTATCAAGCTCAATCACACTTGATTTCAGGCTGTAATTCATAGATTCAGCAAGGTGTAATTTGTATCAAATTGAGTTGTATGACTCAAACATATTAGTTACTCATGAAAAAGGACCTTATATTTCTGATTGGCTTATTACACTACAATACCGTGAACAAAAAGTGTCGTCTCTTGCTGCATGTTTTAGAAGCGCTGCAGCTTTTCTAAAGTTGTACCTTTTTTTTTTGGTTATACTGATGTACTTCCCGGCGTTTCCCTTTTCAGAAAACTAGACCAAAAACAAAGCCGTTCATTCAGCGCGGCGAGGCCCCGTACAGGAAGCAAGAGGCACAGCGGCGGCCCTACGGGCAGCCGGATCCTCCGAGCGGTCACAACGCCACAGCGGTCAGGAGACCGTTTCAGCTGCGGCGCCGGTGAGAACACCTTTCTCAAACACGCAAGATTCCGCTTGAAGATTTTAATGTCAAATGGGCGAAGTGGAATGAAGACTCGTGTGAATGAGACGGATGATGTGGTTTACTGTGTATGCAGCATCGCACACAGGGCAGCCGTATTTCAATTCTGTTTTGTCGTGGCACTCGTGCAGGCCAATGCCGCCAGTCCAGCAGACTCGGAGGGAAGCGCGCCAGGCGATATTTCTTTTTCACAGAGGACTCAAGGTACATGATGGGTTACGAGTGACATGGAGAGTCCTAATCCAAATCCAGGCATTCTACTTTGTTTATTCCTCGTGTCCATTGGTCCATGTTACAGGTACAGGCCCAGGTGCAAAAGTCCAATCCTCACATTCCTCCAGTCCGAACTCGGCAGTGAGTATTGTTCGAGCTTGGTCTAATTTTGCTCAATTTTGTTAAAATGCCTAATTACCCTCATGAGTCACAGGCAAGTGTGACATTAAGCAAATTACACTGCTATCCATCATTTGGGGTGGGGAAAAGACAGATCTTTGCCATTTCGTGGTCTGTGATGCTAAACAACTGTTCGGTTATTCCCCCAGGTGGCGCTCATCAGCAACCAGTGAGGGGATCTTGACCGTTTCCATTGACAACCCCACAGCCAGGACTCAGCCAGAGTAAATATCTGAATCCCTACACTACACACAGGATTTAGACATTTCTCATTTATTCCTAAAGAAGTGTAGCTATACTGTATGTTTACTGGTATATTGTGTAACGCACACTAACAAGTACTTTTGGAAATATGCGTGTGTGTTAGGACTTTCACACCCAAGACCACCGACTGACTTGACTTGTTCGCAGGCCGCCCTCCGCTTGGACCCTGCACCCCCCAGCAGCCGTCCCTGCTACGGTGAAGATGGAAGTAGTGGAGAAGAAAATCCCCAAAGGAGTGCCACTGCAATTTGACATCAACAGTGTTGGGAAACCGGTGAGCTCTTTTTAATAGACACGTACATTCCTCGCACGGCCTCAAAGATTACTCCATAAAGTGTTTCAGCAACTCTCTTGTGTACTTTTCTTTCCACAGCAAACATCAATCACTCTAAATGAGCGATTCCGCGTCCTTAAAGATCAGCGCGCCACCACTGCACAAAGTGGCAAGGGCAGCCGGTTCGTCACCGTTGGTTAGCCGCCAAGAAAAGCCCGACGAGTAATACTCAAGGCGCCCGTTTGTTCTGCTTGGAGCCACTGTGAGCCACACCTTTCTGATGGGATGTGCTGACCCACCTTACTTACGGGAGGATGACAGCGGGGCACCAGCACAACATGCACAATTGTGAATTGAGTCCCAATTCACTTCCATGTTATTTTACTCCACTGTTTATATCGTGGACGTCCTTTACTGTGCAAGGACCATGACCCCCCCCCCCCCCCAGGACATGGGACTGTTGATGCACCATGAAGACTGCTCAAAAGTATTGTTTCAGAGGAACGCTATGCATTTGTTTTAGGTGGCACATATGGTTTAAAGACATAGGAATTGTTTTTATGTTTGTTCAATAAATGAGTTTCTCCTTTTTAAAGCTTCAGTTTAGTTTGACGCTAAAGTCTTGTCTGGTCCGACAAACTAAATATATCACAACTTAACTTTCTGTGGGTTATGAATGGTTGAAGAAAGGGGATCCAATACTTTCACGAGGACAATTCAAGCTTCCGGAAGTTTGCACAGTGAATGGTAAAATGTGAGGATTAGACCATATGTTATGTACACAACTTTATAAAAAAAAATGCAATTTGGAATCTGGATATTGCTTTTATTTAAATACATTAAAATTTGCAATGTAACAAAACTATTGGCATATGAAATTCAAACACCATTTAATGAACAAACATGGCTCACTTCATTTTTCTGGGACTAGTGTCAGTAACACTAGGTTATTTTTCTCTGCGTCTCATCATTTCACCCCATTTACACTGTTCACAGACTATCTTACAATAAGAGTGCTGAATAAAAATGAGGTAAGAAAGTGGTTTGAAGATTAGATCATGCAGAACAGCAACAAAATATTGTGAAGGAAGTAACAAAACAAAGAAAATACATGTGTGCATTTAAAAATGATCAATTTACACAACTTTGCATCTTTGGTTACAAAGTAGCTTGAATGATTTCACAGCTTTTCCTTCCCAATTCCCCCTCAGGAATAACAGTGGGAGAAAAGAAAAATAAAAAGGGAGGTGATGGCAATACTAATTCACTTTTAGGTAAAACTACCACCAGAATTTAATCTTCAAATAAATTCTGTAGGCTCACATTAAGATTTGATGTCGACGGGCGACATGTCGCCCATCAAGGCTCTTAATACTTTATATAATACAAAGGAAAAAAAGTACATTCATACTGGATTTTGACTCATGAATTGGCAATTGCAGCGTATAGTTTGAGTTAGTGTTGAGCAGGTCAGATTTGATGGGTTCTAGTTTAACAACAAGCGTTGCTCTTGGGACGTATGACGAATCTGTTGAAACACTGTAGGAGAGGAAACAAGCCACTGGGCTCCGATTAGACTGGTTCTGTGAAATTGTTCATTTATGAGAATAGCAGCCCGGTAATAAATAAAACACTCGACAGTAGAACTCAAAAGACTGATGAAGAGTTGGAGTTGATTACAACGTAACGGCAGCAGTGTGGCGCTCTGAAAATCAGACTTTCTCCCACTTACTTTACAACATGAAACAGCAAGGCTAACAAATAACCCCCCTTACCCACTCAATTATCTCCTTTCAAAATAATCATCGCTTTTTTGACAATCACTGCCTTTGCCCCTCATGTGAGCCGAAGCCCCTCCCTCCCAATGACACCCTCGGGTTTGAGCGGGTCTGGGGGTCAGGTCGTGAACCCGTCCGGCTCGGCCTGGTCCAAGAAAAAGACATCCTGTCCACGAGCTCGGACGCAGCAGTAAGCCGCTCCGGGAACACAGCCAAGATGAAAACAAACAGCCCGACCTTCCCCGACGCTTCTTCCCCTCACACACGGTCTCTGTCCCAGTCAGTCTCGCTCTTGATGATTGCATTAACACTGGAAAGGCCCACAGTACAGGACGCATACACACAGCCACTCCAACACCAACTCACACTTACTTGCTAACTCACTCTGACACACACGCATACATGCACACACACGCGCACACACACACAGACTGTACTGTGCGGTCAAGCTGGTGGCTAAGAAGACACGTTTAATTTCACATAGACTATTTGTAATAAATTGTAGAGAAGCTGATGGGTTTTTTTTCTTCTTCTTTTTCTGCCATATGCCAAGCCGGGCAGATGCACTTCAAGCGGAGGTGACGTTGGGTTGCATTTGTTGTTGGCTGGGATCGAGCGGAGTCTGGGGATGCTGCTGGAGCTGAAGCGGCGGCTGGGCCTGTAGCTGAGGCTGGAGCTGAAGCGGCGGCTGGGCCTGTAGCGGAGGCTGGAGCTGAAGCGGCGGCTGGGCCTGTAGCTGAGGCTGAGGCTGAAGCGGGGGCTGGGCCTGTAGCTGAGGCTGGAGCTGAAGCGGCGGCTGGGCCTGTAGCTGAGGCTGAGGCTGAGGCGGGGGCTGGGCCTGTAGCTGAGGCTGGAGCTGAAGCGGCGGCTGGGCCTGTAGCTGAGGCTGAGGCTGAGGCGGGGGCTGGGCCTGTAGCTGAGGCTGAAGCAGGGGCTGGGTCTGTAGCTGAGGCTGAAGCGGGGGCTGGGCCTGTAGCTGAGGCTGAAGTTGAAGCTGAAGCGGCTGGGCCTGTAGTTGAAGTTGAAGCGGAGGCTGAAGTTGATGCGGCGGCTGGGCCTGTAGCTGAGGCTGAAGTTGAAGCTGAGGCTGGCCAAGTCCTTGCTGGGGGGGCGAGGTGCCGGAGCTGGCGGCCGACTGGGCGGGCAGCTGAGACAGCTGCTCGCTGTTGGCGAGAGATTTCAACACAGCGTTCTCCCTCTCCAGCACAGAGTTCCTCTCAAACAGCTCCTTGATCTGCTCCTTTAAGACCTCCACCTCCTCGCGCACCGCATACATCAGATGGCTCTTCACCAGGTCCTGCGAGAGACAGAATATATGCAACCGGATAAAGAACATAAAAACAGACCGATTTTATTTAACACTGACATCAGGGCCACGTTTGTTCGTGTTCAGTAATAAAGAAGTTGAAATAACGAATAATAAAGTTGAATATTAAAGACCCGTTCTATTAAAACACCACGACAGTAAATCAAGACAAGGACGAGAGTTGCTAGTTGGTGCAACCAAAGCTACGAAGAGGAAAGGTCAAAACAAATGAATTGTAGAGGACACGTGAATAGATTCTGCTCTGTGGTGCTGCAGTCTTACGCGTAGCTATGCCTACTTCCTATATTTAAAAAGTCAAAACCATAAACTGTACAAACCATGGTTAAGGATTACTTACCATTGCCTGTTCAATCTTATTATCAATGGCAGCAACATTGGATCCAGACGCCCTGTGAGAAAAGAAGACATAATGTTCTGTTAAAATCAATCTCCCAAATTCAAAACTTCCTGGAGAGTCATATTTCAACTCCGCACATTTTTCTTTTACAGCTTTCTTATCGTATCCCCAACTGATGGCAGAGGTAGGCAATAAAAACAAAGACCGTCAACAGCAAACCTAAAACAAATGACCGCTCAACTTATCCAACCATGCGCTATTAGACAGATCATTTAGAATGACCCGTCACCTCTTGTGCATACCAAAGAATTTACAACTCCATTAAAGATTAGGTCACGGCGTTTACAGTAGAAGAAAAAAAGCAGCGTAGCTGCGGGCAACGCAACATTTGCTCCTGCAAATTTTGCATAATTTTGAAGCGCTGCTGCAAAGGCTTCACTAAATAGGGGGCTGTGGTCCAAAGGTAGCACCACAATCAACCAACTTTAATTAATCCAGTCAGAGATGGTTAGATCAACAGATAAATTCTTAATGAAACTTCATTTTTGACACACGCTTTTAGGCCTGCAACAACGCATTGATCAAATTTATGTAAAATGATAAAATTATCAAAAGATTCATTGTGTGTTCAGGAGAGGATTCACACGAGTGTTTCTGGAGGTTGACAACAAGAGGGCAACGCACCACCAAACCATAGTTGTGATTAAAACGTATCTCTGAGTAGGGAAATTTGACATTGAATAGATGATTCTGATTATTACCTTATTGTGTGGACGATATCAGAAAGTTGACATAAACGAGGAAAACAATTTCCACAAATGGAATTTAATCCTTTCAAATTGCGATAGTGGCGCTTTGTTGCTGAATGACCTCACTGCCACTGAAGCAGGAGGAGTGAAGCACTTCTCCAGCTGGCTTCAGTTGAGGCAACATTGAGGTGGATGAGATCAAACCGGGGAACAAAACAAGAGGAAAACTCAAAAACCACCCAAATGTACTGGCGGCGGGACATGTGACAAACTAGTGATGAGGTTGTAACCATGGAGAGGCAAAAAACAACAAGGCAAAACTACTTCTCAACCAGTGAGGGAGATTTCCACGGTGAAGGAGCTCTGCTCCCCGGCTGCAAAGTGGCTGAAGAGGAGTTTGATAAGTCGCGATGGTTTGGGTGGCCGCTCGGTACCTCACTTACACGGACGCCAGCGGGCATAGCGACCCCTGTCAAAACCATATTAGGACACCATCTGGTGCTCAACGTAGAACTTCTTTGAACAACCGGCACCGGGGGGGGGGGGGGAGATTGTGGAAACCAGTTGAGAGTTGCGATGAGTGAGTGTAGTTAAAGCAGCGATCCTGACACGCACCCACGCATGTTTAAGCTTCTACGTCTCATGTCAAAGCAAAGAATAAAACCGGTTTAAAAGAATGGTGAAGCTTCCTCCTCCTTTGTTTGTCCAGCGTTATGAAGCGAGCGCTGCATAACTCCTGATGTTAGTGAGGTCAAGCGCCGCAGACCAAAGGGCACGGCTAATGGGCCGCGACAGAACGCTACGGTTTGATCAATGCACCCCCCCCCAAAACTCCTCCGTGAACGTTTACAAGCTCCGGGTAGAGTTTGGTGCTTCCCCGAGCAGTGTGAGCTGTGATTTAGGAATGTCAATAAAGGAGCCATTAGCGACAGAAAGGTTTACGCTCATACGGAGCGCGGGCGAGCGGAGCGGCGGGGGCACGTAGCTCATCGAACAGTTGTAGCATCTTGCCTCAGGCTTATTTGAGAACAGTAAATTTGCCCCCCAGCCACACATAGGAAACCAAGCAAAGGGAGTTTTACTGGGCTTGAGACGTGAGCGGACAAGTTTTCAGAGCTGGAGAGGGCCGATCACGTTGCCAAGGACAACAGGTGCAAGTCAATCGTACAAGTTCAACATTTTGGATTAATTCATAGCTCATTCGGGTGAAATTAGCCTTTGAATTCTGGCCAAAAATGTCTTTGTCGGGTCAAAGTGACCGTGACCTTTTACCACCAAAACGTAATCAGTTCCTCCAGGAGTCGAGTACGCTCAGGCCAAACTCTCGGGCCTTCCCAGGATTTACTGAATCAGAGCATTCAAAAAAAATATTAGACAAATTTACCGCCAATCCAAACGAAGACATGATCAAATGATTGAGGGTCAACGCCGTGTCAAAGACGGGGCCACCGTTGCTCTCATGGAAACGAGAAGCCGGTCCACAATAACAACAGACACAAAGAAAGGTGGTGAAGCACGGGGCTCATGAATACTATCTAATATATTTGGCCTTCTGTCGAACGTATTATGAGAGTAAATTGGTAAAAATGAAGGTAGCAAAAGTAAGAATGTATCGAGTCTTTAAGTAATAACATCGAATCTTATGTTTGATATTGCACAATAATCGATTCACCGGTTCTTCTGCCTTTAAACTAAAATAAATGCAGTTGAGGCAGCAAATGGATCTGTGTGTGTGTGTGTGTGTGGGGGGGGGGGGCAGTTCCTCAATGGCTGGTGTGTCAGATCTGTATTTCTCTATAAAAAAAAAATTAAAAAAAGAGAAAGTTTCATTTCCTGTCACTCCGATCTAGTTTCATGTGCTTCACTTTTCATTTTTGTAAGAAAAAAAGAAAAGAAAAGAAAAAAAAAGGCCTCATAGTGTATTATTTTTTATGAGCCGAGTCAAAAGATCACCCGTGCATCTCTTCTCTTGCATGAAACTCTTCGATAACTCAATGATGGATGTCCGATGTCTCTTGTGATTAAAAGGTCATGGGACCTTTTGACGGACACATTGACACGGTGCTGCACTACAAACTGGGGCTGAGCTCCGGCTGTTTATTTGGCTCCCGTGTTACAGTTAGCACACGCACACGTCAACCTCACTTTAGCCACTTTGAGAGCGACATGTTTAGGATGTTAACATCTTATATTTATTCTCTGGCAGTTGAAACTGTAAATCATTCTGGAGCCACACAATCAGTTTGACGTCAGGGATGCAAACGTGCAGCTGGTTCCAGATCACTGACTGGGAAGTCAAAACTCTTGTGAGCGGCAACGTTACCAACTGCCCTGTCGAAAATATCTAGACTGCTGCTCTGCTTCCTGCGTCGACTTTGATCATTTCATCTGTGAATTGAGATGATCAGGTTTTCAGTTTTCCGAACTACTTTGATTAGATGATTGTCCTGAAAGGTTCTTTATAATATATGCCAAAAAAAATTCCCCTTATGCAATTTGTTTGTCATATATCTGCAAACAGACTCATAGCTGCTACTGGCTGACATATATTGGCCTACTCAAGTAACTGAGCTAAATCAGACTAAATGATCCATCCCTTATTTGAGAAAAAGCTGAATTGTTGATTAGCAGTTGCCGTCGCACTTTGATTTTACTTATATAAGTAAAACGTACATTGGACCATACAGATGGTGGCCAAACCTGTGGAACACCCAGGCAGTAAACAAAGCAGAGTGTTTAACTTACAGACAATAGCGTTGCACACAGTCGATGAAAGCCCCAGAGGCAAATCACACAGAAGTGGTTTGGGAAAGTCTCTTGTCCAATCCGCGCTCTCGCCTTTGGGCTCCGTTTCCAAACTCAACCCATGCACGTGGAGAAAGCAGAGCCCTCTCCAGCAGAACACTGCACACACACACACGTTGTTACCCTACTGCAGGCCTATCCAGTTCAATCCAGTATAGTACTGTACCTATCACTGTGGGCCTTTGAGTCCCTTATTCTGCTGCCAGACTGGAAGGCCTGGTAGAAAGCCTTGGAGGGGTTCCTGTGTCAACCACATTCATGGAGAGAAGAGAGAAAAAGACAAGAGATAGGGGAGAGTTGAAACACAGAGAATAAGACAGAAGTCCCACAAATCTTTCCTTATGCAACTATGCAAGGTGTGCAACTTATCCGGAGAAAACGCCTCTCGGCTTTGGGACATTTGAACGGAGCAAAGCAAAAAGAGGCTGCGGAAAGGGAGCTCTGACCTCAATGCAGGAATGTGCGCTCAAAAGTGGGAACAGCTTCTCAAACTTTTAAAGGCACCCCCCGCCCCTCGGGCCTCCCCCCTCTCACACACTAGGTCGGGCAATCACTCACACTGCGGCCGTTTTCCTCAACCAAAAAAATCCACCAGTACAAATGTAAATCCTTCTCCGCTGTCAGAAGGTTTGGATAGCTGACTATGTGGCTGGTCAGTAGCGGCGGGGACACGGTGTTCCGTGCCACGGGAGGAATATTCGTGGGAGGGAAAGGAAATACCCCCTCTGACCCCTAACACACAATCACACATGCTGGCACACACGGACACACTCATTTAATCTACTCCAGGCCTTTAGAAACCAACTGCTTGTGCACACATGAGGAACCAGGAGTTGTTTTACAGCGTGTGTGAGAGTGTGTTACAGCGGCCAAGTCTCTTTTCCTAGAAGTCCCTCGCGCACACACACACACACACACACACACACACACATTACCTCATGTCTAAACACTGACAAAACTCCCCCTATGCCTCTGCTTAATTTTACTTACTGGAGGAGAAATCTCCACACACACACACACACACCTCAGATAGGTCTGTCTTTATTTATCTTTGTCAGAGCTACAGCTATCGTTTGACCTCATCAAGGTCAGATGACTTGGTGTACAGCAACCCCTTTCGGGAGCGAGGTTATGGACTGGAGGCGGAGAGGGGGGTGTGGGGGGGTCATCCTTCCTTGTTTTCAATTAGCAAACACTCGGCGCTCAATGGCTCTCTTTGTATATCCGAAATATAACATGTCAATATCCATTTATGAAAGCCCCCCTTTGTAAACAGACCCTGTTGAGCAGTGGGGCAGCCCCCCTCCCTCCCTCCCCTCTTACGTATGGTGTGTGTGTGTGTGTGTGTGTGTGTCTAAGAGAGGAGGACAGAAACTGTGTGTCCAAATCAGTCAATAATAAGTATTTTCTTTTAAAACCACCCTTTCAAAAAGGACCAAACCAAAAGGAAGGCTGCTCCGGCTTCGCCCGACGCCGACCTGGCAGCAGACTAAAATAACCTTTTGAGTGCATTCTTGCTTGTTGATGTAACACATGTAGCTTGAGCGCGTCACATGGTCCTTCCTTCAGTACGCTCGCTGCAGGCCAGTGCGCTCATCAAAAAGGTTAAATACAGCACGATTCAACCTCTTAATAAGCCTGCCAACTCATTGAGCGCAGAAAAAGTTGCATTGCAGCGGCGTAGGGCCCCCCCCCCCGAGAGGTGTGATTGGTCGGTTAGGGGCCGTTTCGCCAGTGCAAAAGAAACAGTGAGCGGTCTCGGCTATTTCCAGCACAAACCCTCCTATGAAGCTCTGTCAAGTGAGCCGCTGTGTTAGCGCACAGGGAAGACGGGCTGACAACGTCCGGGGTGGCAGCGGACAAACGGCTAGTCAGAGGGAGGGGGGATTCAAAGAGGTTAGAGCCCTTATTTTCAGCATCAAAAGCATTTGGATTTTTACTCAGTGAAAATAGAACAAAAGCGAAGCAGCAACACTACAAAACAAACGAGAAACTGGGTGGGAAGGACGGGAGTTAGTTGCAAATGGCTTCATTGAAGCAATGCATTTAAAAAGGGGAACTCCATATATCTGTGTGTGTGTGTGTGTGTGTGGGGGGGGTGGGGGGAACTTATGTTGGGGAAAGTTGTATAAAGCCTTTAAGTCACATGGAATCAGATAAAGGGACTAGATGAATAGTTGACACAATAACTGAGAGCGCAGACCTTTAAGAAGTGAATGAGAAAAAAGGTGATAATCATGAAAGATCGACAAATAATTTAGTATGAAAATTATTTTTTGCCTCTTGGTGATGAAAAGCCAGGGAGGTGCAACACGGCTGAAAAGAGAGTCCCTGCAATGCTTCATGTTACTTGAGTACCACTTTCCAAAAACAAGATAACCAGTATATTCTCAGCTGAGCTTATCTGCAGCACATCCTCAGAGGGACGGGCCCCTGAAGCCTCGGACCCGTCCGCCACCTTCTTCTGTGTCAGAACGACGCAGGGCCCCCGACCTGGGGCGGGGGTGGCTGGCGCAAAGACTAGTCTTTGAGCAGGTTTGTGTCGTAGACTAGGGGGATGGAATACAGTTTTACACGGTTACTGCTCCCCTGCGGATGCCGTGCGGTTTTACAGCGCGAGTGATGGCAGCCGGGTCGGGAACGCGGGATACTGGGGTGATTATTTGGGGTGCAAGCGGGGGAAAAAAAAAAAAAAAAAAGGTGGAGAGCAACGCGGGGGCCTCGGACTAAAAACAGGATACGGCAGTAGACCAGAGGTCACATGGGGAGGGGAACGAGTGGCACATGTTGCTTCTCAGTGTCACACATACACCCACACACAAAAAAAGTGAGCTGGTAATGTCCCTGTTTGTCAAAAGTATTGCGTCAGCACTGCCCCCTCTACCTTTCGCCAGGGTATTGTGCCACATAAGCAAACCATCCCTTTAGAACACCCCTCATCCACCCACACAGACACAGGCTCTCCATTCACGTTAGCAGTAACTGCTCCTCTACGGCCCTCCAAGTCCAATTTTATATAAGCTACCATTACGCAAGGACAATAATAAATCCGCCCCCGCCCGGGCTTATGAAGGCTCAGACCACAGAAGAAATACTTTCAACCCGCTAAATAAGAAAGCCACTTCTCCGCGAGGGCAATAAAGACATCATAACGCCTTCAGTTGTTGGAGCCATCTGGGAAACATCACGCGGAGGAAATCATATTCTTAAATAGGAGGACATCTGCAATCTGTGGTCTATATCTTCAATGCTTTGTTCAGTCAGTTAGTTAGTTAGACGTGTAGATTAAGATACACTACAGAGTGCGGAGGTGGCGGCGGGGGCAGACGATAGATCTCGCTACCAAGTAGTAGTAGTTTGTGAGGTGGGCAGAGCCGAAGAGCAGAAATACTCCAGGCGGCACGTAGAAATTAAGAAAGACCCAAAAAAAAAACTGAAGGAGTGGAGGGGATGAACCCAGCATAGTTCAAATGCCGGGTGGAGAGCGGCAAAGCAAGTATCGCTTTGCCGCTTCCCCCGCCGCTTTGAACATACCACAGTTGCTGCAGCAAACAAATGTCATTCAGCACTTCCTCTGCACAGAAACAACTGCCGTGCCTGTCAGCCGGTCCCCGGGGCGGTAGGTACGCCGCGCCGGTCGTACGACACCAAGACGAAGCCGCTCGGCCTCCAAACCATCGGCCCGCAGCTCGAGAAGAGAGAGGGGGGGGGGGCGCATGTGGATTTAAACCACGCTCCAAAAAAAAATTTGAAAAAATAAAAAACACCCTCACACCCTACTTCAGCTCGCATCGTAGTGCAAAAGAAAAAAGGGCCAAACGAGCACAGTTGGTTGACCCACCCCACTGTCACGTCGCTTATCTGCAGAACAGGGGCACAGTGGAAAGACTACTGCGCAGTGTCTGATAGGGCTCAGCGGTCGTAGGAGGCTCCTGCTCTTATCAGCCTGGGAGCCGGCTCCTCTCGCAGGCAAAACACCGGCCCGTCCGAATAACACGGCCCGAGTTGGCTTTTGCGTTGTCCCAAACCAATAGTAGAGGATTTTAAATGTGAGGTAAACGGGGCAGTGTCACACTTATGTGACATCCATTTCGCTTGTTGGTTAAAGGCACGATCACATCATACTAGGTGTGTGTGCCTGTGCGTGACCAAAGTAGCTTTATTTAAGTTTGTTTGCAGACTTTATAGAAATGTCCCTTAAGAACACGGCACACTCAACAAGTTTAAAACATGGTGTAAGAAATGTTCCCTCTATGAGAAGTGTTCTGGAATGTGAATATTTAGTCTGGTCTGCATACTGCTATATCTTTAAGACTGTAAATGAAAAAAAAAAAAGATTTAAGGCTCGGTATGATTTCCGCCCATGTGTGCAATCGATTACGGGTGAAACTTAGCGCTAAAACACAGGAATTAAGAGATTACTTGAGGAAAGGAAGTGAATTCCACGATTTATAATAAGATTATGCCAAAAGAATAATGCCACATTTCAATCTAAACCCCGATGGATTGTAGTGTTTTGTATCTCAATATTCAGTGTCCCACAATTTTAGGGGATAGAATTTTTCTGCTCGGACAGAAAAAGAACTTGCCTGAAAGAATAATCATGTTTAGCGAGTGGCTAGAGGCGAATAGAAGGCAGAGCAGCGAGTGGAAACACAGGATATTTTCAGCTAAGGCCACTGTTCTGGAGCTGGATAGAGGAAGAGAAATACGCCACTAAAAACCTCCAGGACGAAAACACAAATTCACTGTGCACGTTCAACGAGGTGTCCACCTCTAGTGTGCCACACTGCACTTACCTCTTTAGCGCCTAATGAGAAAGAACAGACATTACATGTCCTTCCTGGGCCACTGTTCTCTTCCTACTACACTGCCCTCCATACCTCCCCGGAAAACAAAACAAAAAAAAAAGGGGGGGGGGGGGGGTACCTGTTGATCTAACAAACCAAATGACTGACTACCTGCTTGTGATCCCGACCCGTGTCTGCTTAAACAATCGCCTAATGTGCATCACCTGAATGGGGATTGTTCAATTTTGTGTGTATTATGGACAAAGTTTTACAAGCGGCGCTCAACAGGGACGATACTTTTAACAGAACAAAAACACCCGCACACACTTTACGTAAACATCTAAAGACGGTTACCTGTCCGCGTCCCCGTCGACAGGTATGTGGATTCCAAACAAGCTGTTGACAGTGGGAGTGGCGAGGTGCAGGCTCTCGGGCATGAAGGGCTTCATCGGTTCCTTCCCAGAGACAAGAGGAGAATGTGCATCGACGAGTCCCTCAAACTTCCCGCCGCCGCCGCCTCCCTCCACATTTCCAAATACAGTTGCTGGGAGGCCCTGCATCCCTAAAGCCATGAGAGTCCTGCTTTGGGGCGCCTGACCTGGAGGCAAACTTGAAGTTGTCACATTTGGCAAGGCTGCACTGGAGGCACTGGAGTTCACCGCGACGCCAGGCACGTTTTGTACTCCGGAGGACGTAGGGTGCAGGCCGTGGGGTTGAGGCTGCCCGGCGGCCGTGTACTGACTCACAATCTGCTGCTGCAAAGCGGATCCACCGACCGGCACGGAGGCCTCAGTGGCCCCCATTCCTCCGGTCTGCTGCGGCAAGAGGCCGGGAGACGGCTGCCCGGTAGTTACATCTCCTGCGACATCTCCCGCGAGACTCGGCACAGAGGAGACTCCGGTGGCTGGAAGCAAGACCGGAGGGTGCCCCTGTCCCACAGGCTGCGGCCCCGTCGAGACGCTGGACGCTGGGATGGACTGGCCAGTGGGATGCTGCTGCTGCTGATAGTACTCTGTATGGTTCTGTAGCATTCCAGAGGACTGTCTGGTCAGGTGGTGGCTCATCGCGTGCTGCTGCGTAGGGTAAGCAGCAGGCTGGGCCGAAGGAGGCATGAGGGCAACCGCTTGAGGCAGGCCGTTCTGTCCGACGGGCAACGCGCTCTGGGGGCCGGAAGGCTGGATACCGCTGGTGAAAGCGGTGTAGTTTTGATGGTGGATTTGTGGCGGCTGCTGCTGCTGCATCTCCACTGAATGCATGCGGGAAGAGGAGAGCGAAGCATCCGCCCCGGAGCCCTGACCTGAGTGAGTTGCTGGGGCAACTGCGGAGCCTCCCGTGTGCCCGAGCCCACTGTCTCGGTCCGCAGCAGGGTCCAGTGTTGTTGCACCGGCATGCCTAATGCCATCTGCAGTCCTAGAGTTATCGGAGTCCTTATCGTAAAATTCTGTACAAGTCCACCTGCCCCTTCGAAAGGGTTCTCCGGTACCATGGTCGAGTTTGATGACCCTGAAGCGCGAGGTGTAGCTCACCGTGGAGGGGGCGGGTGAGGCCGCCGAACTGGCCGGCGACGCGTTCACGGACACACCGCCTGAGGCCCGTGGGCCGATCGCCGACGCTCCCCCCGGCCGAAAGTCCCCGACGAGGTTGCCCGACTGGCCGGCTTGAGGTATGTGTGGTGGCGCCAGAACCCCGAGCGCCTCGGGCTCCGCGGCATTATTCAGGGCTTCTTCGGAGGAACTCCTGCCGCACGCAGGCTCGTACTCTGCCCGCGACATGTCGTATATCTCCGACGACACGTCTCCAGCCAGAGACTCGTCGGGGTCCTCCAGACTCTCCGTGTCGTCGACGGCCCCCGGAGGCCCCAGCTGAGCCTGAGTCACACTTGTGATCTGAAAACAGCTCTTTTTCTTGGCCGGCATTTTCGACATATTTGACAGCCTGATTCCAAGTCCGGTACGGCTACGTTTATCCTCCTTCGTCAAAGAAAGAGCTGGATCCAGCTTCTATTTGCGTAGATCGCATTAAACAGCCAGCTTGCGTTTATTTTACACGTCCTAGCGAACGATAAGTTTAACCAAATTTGAATCTACGCCATCTCTCTTCCTCTCTCGGTCTCCTGTTGCGTCTCACGAGCCCATAACGCAACGCGTCGTGTCGTCCAGTCCGGCAATGCGGCTCGACACACCGATAACCAGCAGCCCGCGGGGCGCTCGATCCGGAGCTTTCCGTCGGTACGGATCGGCCAACGAACGTCCCGGCTGTGCGGTTGTCTAACGGCGGTTGTCACAGGAGTGTATCGCCCAGCGGCGGGACCTACTTTCGGCTGGGGTGGGCCCGCAGCACTCTTTCTTCGAGCTAGCTAGCAAGTCGAGCCCAACTGGCTGCCGCACAGCCCCCTACGTCGGAACAAGTATGCGAGACATCTTCCAGGAAGGAGTCCTTCGTATCCACTCACCTCACCGGCGTAAAGTCATTCGGTGGGGACACCTACGTTGAAGAAAACGGCAAGCGAGAGAGGAAAAGACTTTTAAATTCCAGCTTTAAAACAAAATGTGAATCTAAGCAGCGGCCACAGTTGCCTTGCTCTCTCAGTCACTCTTGACAAGATGGCTATGTTGTATGAGAAACCGCGCTGCATTGTGGGTAGGTAGTGTACGTAAGGATGTTTGCGTACGACGCGATTGAGAATTCCCCCTCGTGGTGAGTTCAGGACCGCGTCGGAAAATAAAGTGTTGGACTTGCAATGAGCACGCAGGTCATTATTTCAATCAATCCAAACGTGAATATTTTCTGAAATAGTGGGTGGCACGATCATACCACCATTCACACCACTAGAATACACGTTTTCATCCCAGATAATCTCATTCCACTTAAATCATATTGATCAAATATACTATCTCCAGCTGAAAGCTGTGTGACAATTGGACAAGAGAGCTGCTGATATGGGTCTTGAAACAAACAGTTGATTAATTAGTGAATATTTAATCAATTATATTAATTGCCATTCATTTTTTAACCAAAGCGCCAAATATTTTCTGGTTCAAGCTACACTATTCTAAGTACTTTTCTGCTTTTATTTTATTGTCAATTAAATACAAAAACATAAATACCAAACCTTTGGGACCTGAATAATATTTTACATCTAATATCTATTTCTTACATCTCAGATCTCCTTCCCTGTCTTTTTTATGCTGGAATGGTATATGTTGGCAAATTTGCTGTGTGATTATTTGATTAATTTATTGAATTATTTTGGAAATAAGAACCTAACGCCTCTAACAAGTCTCTTCCTTTTGTCCTTGATTGATTACATTTGAAAAACTGGACTGAATAATTCATCACTATCATGTATGCACATTCTGCTTGAGTGATTGATGTCATTGATGTTGTCAAGTTGTAATGCAGTTTTTAAAAACATTAGTGACAAGACACTGATCTATGGTAGCGACATCTTCCTTCAACTGGGCCGCTCTAATTCTAAAATACAGCAGATATCAGAATACTATAATAGAATACTACTTTATTGCATATTGTTTCATTTGCCTAATTTCTTGTTTCCCCTGACAAATATGTTATTTCTTTGAAAAATAAATGTCAGACTGTATTCAAATGCACTTGAATGCACCATCTCTCTCTCTGGTCTCTCTCTCTCTCTCTCTCTCTCTCTCTCTCTCTCTCTCTAGGAATTTGTATGCGTCAGCTGATATCATCAGAATTATCCTATAAATGCACGTAGATGTTTTACAGTAGTTTCATAAAAATATATTTCATCAACATATTGTTCTCGTTTTGTGAAGCTGATTTATTACAAGTTGGTTGATAAAAAGCTATTCATAGTTCACTCGACGTTTAACACAGCTTTAAAATGTAGAATAAATTCATCTCCCAGAATGTTTTCAGATTTACAAAACAAAGATTAGTTCTTTGATGTTTTGTAGCTCTGACAGTTGTGAGTATACAACCCATAGAGAACACGGCCTCTGGTGGATAAGAAGATAAAGTTTTACTTTCAAAGGGGAATATTTATTTTTTTATTTTTTGGTTATCTTTATTTGAACTCCACCATCTAAACTGATCCAACAGTACCATACTGTGGTTACGATAAATACAGCATAATTTTAGCAAATTAACCCACCAACTTGTCATAAAATGAACTGACAGGTTATAGGCTTCCTTTGGATATTTTACTTTGAATAATGGAGGTTACATGGCTATAATATAACTATTTCAAGTTTCTATTGAAATTACAGATTCTGCGCCCCAGGAAATATAGAACATCTTAACAATGTACCATATATTAGAATAAATGTTTCTTCAGGAATCTATCACTTAATTGGTTCATTGAGGGATCATTTGTTTCTCAACTTGAACATTTTAACATATACTTACTGTATTGGCTGATGATGCTGCTTCTGGTATCAACAAGCCATTTCACACAAATAAGTAGTATTGACTCAAATCAATTTAAACTTTATTCTAATATTAGAAAAAAATCATCAGTTAAACGATAAAGTGACTCTTTTTTTAACCATGTTCAGACATCAGCTCTACCAAAATATTGTTTTTCACTTGTGTATTTGGCTGTCAAATTGTAAATTGGGATTTAAAAACTGGCCAAAATGCATTTGAATTATTGAATACATGTATTCAAAGTTAAATGCTTAGGGGCGATGATCGTTTGCTACTAACAGTGATTGCAAATGTGAAGAAAGTGATTAATGTGCATAAAGTATTGTTATTCCACTAAATAAGTAAATTGTATGCTTCGCATAATGGCTAAGTATGATCTAATCCGATTTTATTTTGTTTGCATCTAGATGTTATGCTACAACCTGACCTAAAACAGTTCTCCACCATGTCATCAGTTTTAATTTATGCATGGAAGTGAATCTGATACAGTAAGCAACAGTTTTAGCATTTTAATGTTGCTGAGATACAATGTTGACTGACACAGCATAACTTTAAATCTGTCTGAAATACGCAATTTACTCAAATAGGATAAAAATTGTGGCCTGTGAGTGTCATTCGCCATTAGTGTGTAACCTCCAACCGGGCTCTTGAATTTAAACATTTTATATTATTTTTCAAATAATATTATGAAAGTTAGAAGACAACTTTGGAATCAATCAGGCATGTAAGCAGATCGGACCGTGTTGTTCCCATGTGTACGGACGGTACCATCCAGCTACACTAACTATCTGACGTAACGGTCTGTCCTTGTCATTGGGTCTTTGAAAAGGAGAAAGAAAACCTTAATGAATGAAAGACTGTTTGACTCGACGAGTCAACCAGTAAACCCTAATGTGTCCACTCGTGTACCCCGCCATTCCCTCAGACAGAGGACTCTTGGACTGAGCAGATTAGTCATGTTTTATTCCGCCGCCTGCTGCCATAAAAGCGCCGGCATCTCATTGTGCGGAGGGATCTGATACGGACTACACCCAGCCGCCGCATCACTACCCTGGCTTTCTTTTGCTGCCCTAGCCTTGGCGTTGGTTAACGTCGGAGTGTGGGTTGGATTGGAGACTCCCAAATTCGTATTTTGGTTTTCCTCCGGTTTAGGTGTGTCCCGCTTGGCAACCGTACCTCCGAAGCTCTAGGGATTTTTTTATATATAGCATCGATTTCTTTAAAAAATGTCTTGGCAAAGCTACGTGGATAACCTGATGGCCGATGGCAGCTGTCAGGATAGCGCCATTGTTGGATATACGGACGCCAAATATGTTTGGGCAGGACATGCCGGTGGTACATTCAACAATATTACGGTAAGAGGTCGAAATTTAGGTGGACCGTTACACGCGTGGGTGCGGGGTTTCGTCTGACAGCGTTGTTTGCGCTCGCGCAGGTGCTCGCCAGACGCGCTGGAACCGTTACCTCGCAGGGTCTGAATCCCCAGCGCGGCGCTAGCTCCGCGCTAGCCCCGCGCTAGCCAGTTTATCGGTGGCCTGTCTCGTTTATTTCCTCCCAAAGGAAACGTTGCCGGATTAGACCTCGTGGCTAGCACATACGACTACCCTCGTTGTGGCAAGCGCCCACTTTAAACGCCCCCCCTCGCTGTTGTTTTCGTGAAAAGAGGCCAATTTAAAATAATAAAATACCGTCATATTATCCCGAACGCTAATTTTACAGCCAGCAAGTAGACGGTGTCTGACTTAAGAAAGCGGGCATGCTTTTGTGTGCACGGCCGCCTTGATTAGCTAACGTTAAGCTGCTGCTTTGCCGGCTACCTGCCGGATAATTAGCCAGCCGACGATAAACCTTTCATTATTATAAACGCGAGAGATCCAGATGCATATTCGTGCATTAATAGTTTAATTTTTATTCTTGGGGGGGGATCTAAGTAAAATTTATAACGGTCTGTATTTTAATGCATTGTGAGACTAGATGGCATGAGAGCTGGACCGGTGCATAGACGTCACTCAACTTCCGCCAATCAATGCATACATGCGATGTGGTCAGTGGAGGAATTGAGTTTTAAGTTCTGTTAATTATCCGCATATTTTAATATTACGCTGGTCGCACAATTGGTTTTAAACATATTGCTCGTGCCAGGATAGTGGATTCTCTCTCGATATATCAAAGTAGAACGTTCACTTAAATTAACAATAGGATATATAATACAAGGTTTTACGGGTAAACGACAATACACAATGTTCAAAAGCAAATGGAGGGTAATACAATTGCGTCTTTTGGATTTATTTAATGTACTGTCACCAAAGGCTTTCTGTATATTGTTACTGTGTAGCTACTATAATTTTTATTTTTGTAATCCTTTTTGGGGAATTCATCTTTCTTACTAACGTTAATTGTGTTTGTCATTCAGATTCCCATACAGAAGCAAAAATGTACAAATCCTGTGTTTCTCTTTTCCCCTCAGTCCCAAGAAATAGACATCCTTATCGGTAAGGACAGGGAGACCTTTTACACCAGCGGTCTCACTCTGGGCTCAAAGAAGTGTTCAGTCCTCAGAGATAGCCTCCTTGATGACGGGGACTGGACAATGGACATCCGGACCAAGAGCCAAGGAGGAGAACCTACATATAATGTCACTGTGGGAAGAGCTGGAAAAGGTAAAAGTTTAGTTTCAGAGCAGTTGGCCTCCTCGTCCTTTGTATTATTGTTGAGCAAAAACATGCAGCTGTAGCTTGACTAAATTATTCCTGCAGATGGGATCTTCACATCAACTTCATCAATAATAGAGCTGTGGTTATTCTGCTGACGGTGGCTGAACAATAGCCTATCATCACGTTTTATATATGTTGCGACGTTCTTGTAATCGCACTGTTTAATCAACTGCAACAAAACGGCAACATCATGCATTACATTAGCATCGTCTTCAGGACGAAGTTCTGAGACCAGCACAGGTGCGTAGGCAAGAGTGCTTCTCACACAGAGGATAAGAAGCTGGACTATTGTTAAGAATGTTTTGTAAGTTATTAATAACTTCCTTGAAATGCTGCTTCATCACTTTCTGACGCGCCTGACCAAACCTGTGATGTTTTCTAGTAAGCCTGCCCGCGTGCTGGCACACGTGTGCATCACTAAAGGTGACATTCAACCATGTGTTATGAATAGTGCAGTGTCTGTAAATTGCGCACTGGTTCTCTCGGTGACTATTCAGTTTAAAAGGTAAAGTGAGTCGTTCAATGTTCACTTGGAATTTTTAGGAACTGAATTCTCATCATTTGGCAGTCCGGAATGTACTGTCAAGAGTTTGGACTGGTACTATACATGGTATCGATTACTCTATGTACCTGGTAGTGAAATCATATATTTCCATGTTTAGTACCAAAGGCTACTATTAGTCCACAAGCTCCTTTTTGTGTGAACATTTCTTTTTTGCAATCCAAATCGTAATTGTGCCTTGTCCATCTTCTCTTTCAGTTTTGGTTCTTGTAATGGGAAAAGAAGGCGTCCACGGCGGCGGCTTGAATAAGAAGGCTTTCTCAATGGCAAAATACTTGAGGGAATCAGGGTTTTAATGTTTTCAAGCTCATAGATGAAATTGAGAGACAAAAAAGAGAAAAGAAATATTGCTGTTAAGATTTCTCCTGCAAGCAGTCAAATGTCTTGGAAACTTTAATAGCAATGGAAGTGGTAAGATACTGTGTCACCTTTGTCCCCCCCCCCCCTTTGTTCTGTAGGGTTGGGGAGGGGGGAGAAGTTGTTCATTTCTCTTTTTTCCTTGTGTGCTCCAGTATTGGTTTTTAGTCATGGGGAGAGGAGGAGGTCCATGGTGGAAATCTTAACAACAAAGCACATACAATGGCTGGCTGACTACCTGAGGAGGTCTGGATAGCAACCTATCCATCAACTTAGCAGCTCACTCTCTCCCACCGCATTGTGTTGACACTACTTCCAGGATAAGATGGCATTCAATGAAACTTCCCCCTTCCCAGTCAACTTTTGTAAACAGCCTTTTGTTTGGTTAACTCCTTCCACACTCCTTTTTTTTTTTTTACGTTTCCACACTAAAATATTGTACTTCTCATATTTTTGGCCCTACATTAATGGCATGTTCCTTGAAATGTTTGTTAACCAAAAGTGTGCAAAGAAACGATTGTAAAATAAATTTCAACTCCCCTTGTATGACACTCATTTAGCAACTGGCAAAAATTCCAAGGGGAAGTACACATCTAATAGTGGCGATAGTTTGCATAGTATTGCTTTTTGAGCATTGCTACAGGATCACTTTTTTTTTTTTTTTTCCATCAGCATGAATTTAAAAGTTGCATGCATACCCTCTTAGCAAGCGCCCTGTTTACCGCCCCCCCCCCTCCCCCCATCCCAGCCAAAACTATCCTCTCTTCTGCCTCATCTTCGTCTCAGAGACTCTGTTAAACCACAATTTCCTCTGACAACGTCCTGTATGTGTATACCAGTTCACCATCCTCAAGCACAATGTCTTTTACCCCCCCCCACCCTCCCATTATGTGCTTTTGCTATTGTATCTGAATGTGGTCTTACATGTTTATGATGTGGTTTTGGGCTGTTTGAGTGTAGTTGCAAGGGCAGCATTGCTGAGGTCTCAAGATATTGTCACGAGACTTCCCCACATCCTGGAGTCTGACCGCTCGTTCATTTGTCAGTCAGCTTCTGCTATTTATACATTTTCTGTAAATCACTACACACCTGTTACCCCCCCCCCCTTCTCTCTCCTTTTCCTTTGGACCAATTGTCAGTATAAAAGAATTATCAGAATTACTTCAGCCTAATCTGATTGTTGGCATCATCTGTTGACTGTAAATCATAAAGCCAACTTCTAATGACTGTAAAACATTTAACTGCTTCCATAGACTTCAACACTACTTAAACCCTTCATCACTAATTGACTTGTTGCTAACTTTATGTCCATTAACCAATGAAACGGTAATGTCATTTGACTACGGTATGAATGCATTTTGACTGTAAACCAAGGCTGTTGGGCTCCAACACTTGGGAATTATTTGCCTTGTGCTTTAGTCATCAAAGGTGTATTCACAAATTGTCATAGTATGGTACTTAGAAGTATATTTAAAAGAAGAAAAAACAATGCTGTGTACACTAAACATATTGAAAATGGTGTTGGTTGGAATAAGAACATTTGTAAGGCGTCTTGTGAAATTTTTCTGAGAATAACTGTGTATTCTGTGCCATAAAAATTGATCTGATCTGTTGCTACTACGAGTTGGATTTTTAACTGCTGTCCCAGCAAGAAGTAACTTCTAATGGCACTTTCCTAAGGGATATTTTGAATCAGTAATCTCCAGACTTTGGAATATGTACAGAATTAAACAACAGAAAAAAAGTTTGCAATACTTTGTCTTTTGTTTTCTTTGTTGGAAATTCCATCTGCCACAAAATCTATTTCAAATGCCATGAATTGATGAGACATTTTGTTTACCGACAGATCAAATAAAAGTTATTCCAACCAGAGTTAATGCCAATATGTCCTGTCTGTTACACTATGAGTACTGAGATTTCATTTGAGTTTGAACTTGATGTATTAATGATCTGCCACATTAATAACTGCAATCGTTTGAAAAGCCTGAAAGCTGTCTGTTTCTCCTCATTCATTCAAAATCTAAGTTACAAACGTTTTCCTAACTAATAACATTTAAAGAGTTACCTTCCCGATCAGACCAAAGGAAAAGGGACACGTTGATATAATTAAAGAAATAAACTGTCGGCTTTAATTAATATAATCTTTAAACACAATTTAACTTTGTACAACACTTGTACATTATTTTAGTTGCATTTTCCCAAATCTCAAACTCACTTACAGTACCAGTCAAAAGTTTGGGCACATTTTCACATTAAATTCAATGAGAAAGCATGTCCAAATTTGACTGCTACTGAATTTTCATTTCCTTAGAAGTTGTGTAGGCAAGGAGAAAGCAAAACAGATATGAGCGTATGCCGGTTCTAATTGTATGACCAAAGGCCTGAAAACAAATACAATTAAGCTTAAAAGCCTTGATATGACGGCCAAAAAACCCTGAAGAACAGTCAACGGTTTGTCTTTGTCAGATGGTTACGCTATGAAAAATACATTGTTTTCTACATCGTATAATTTCATTAAATTTATAAGGGTATATTTTGCCATCTTGATATGTTACCCTTCTGACCACAAAGGCACGCCCCCACATCACTTGTTCTATTGGAAACATCTGCTGTGTTCAGGTGTGTGATTAGGTGTTATCAGGACCAGACCACAAAAACTCAGGCTTTAAAACCACCAGAGGTGGAGAGCTTAGTGTTTGAGGTAATTGGCACATACGGTGCTTCTTCGCTGTTCCAATGGCATGTAGAGAGAGCAGAGGCAGTAAGATTGTACTATGTTTAACACTTTTAGTTGTTTTCGGTTCACTTTGCCATTGTGCTCGACTGACAACGCTTAAGGCATTGGATAAGTTAAGGGGAAACTCAACACATGTCATGAGTCAATCTGAAGGAAGGGATGTGCGCCATGGAAGACTCTTAATAGGGAAAAATTCTATGCAAGATAATGAGCTCGGAGGATCTAAGGCCACAAATACTTTCCTGGATATTGATACAGATTATCAACAGGACATGGGTATGTAACAGTGAGATTTTAATCAAATTCCCTGCCAAAGTTGTTTTTGTGTTTTACTTTTAGGCCTGTGGTTGATCCGCATGTCTTGTTATCGTTGAGCCTAAACAAAGCCCTGTTCTTTGTAGGTTGGGGAGACCCTATTCAATTTCAACAAGGGAGAGCTGGCATTTCAAGCCCAAATTCAAAGCCAGAGAGTGAAGTGGTTGATTGTCTTCTTAAAATGGATCCACGGGTTGAATGTATGGGCAACTCCATGAAGCTTCAAATCCAGTACACTGATTCTACCCCTGGATCGCTGTTTTTTGTGGACAGGGGTACGTTTAATCTATTGGGAAGAAAGACACTTTCAATACAAATGATCATCATTTACATTGTACGCAACACTTGATGGTTAAAATGCTAAAGAAAAATGTTTGTTTCATTAACTGCTCAGGAAATGGTCTTTCTCCTCTGCCGCTGTCCAAATTGCCCCCGAGCTGTGGTTACACAATCCAGTCTACACGGCGTGATCTGGTGTTTGTTGCGCCTTATGATGGTTGCTTTGTCGCTCTTGAGGTCTGAAACTTTTATTCGGAGAACTTTGCACACTTGAACAATGTACATTTGAAACATCATGATTTCTGGATTTAGGATGATTGCTACGTTCTTCCATTGCGTTGGTCCGGGTTACCAGTGAGAATGTCATGCCCTTTGAGGCAGTCTTCACCTAACCCTCCAATGGTGGCATGCCATCCCCAGGGCATGGTTGTGAGAACTGGATGGACGGTATCCGTTGCGAAAATTAACGTCAATTGTAAGTGTTGGCCGCTTTTTATTCAATTGTTTTTTGTTCTTAATAATGATAGATCGAGGCATAGCATTTCTTCTGTCCAAAACGTGTCTGACAAAATGTCTGGATGCTTGGGATTGTCATCTGTTTTCATGTCAATATCTGCTTGATTTATCTGAAACTAAACTCTAATCACGCCCCATGCAGGGGCGCAGCACAACATTGCTGTGTGATTGATTACGTGTTAGTCAACCAACTCTTGCTGTTTTGTACACACATTAAATGTGACTTGTTTTCCTTGCTAAAATTATAACTTTCCCTAATGACTCTCCCAAAGGCATATTTTCTATTACTTATTTAGTTTTACTTTGACCAGGAAATTGGCCATTTTTGCCTTTTTACATGACTAGATTTTAGTTAACCTTATATTTTTTGGAACGCTTATTTGGCTCTACTGTTCTAGTGATTGGTGACTGGGAGCCACTGATGACTGCTTCATCCAGATGTGGGTTCAGTATAGTTGTACATCCTGAGGGTGTGGTCATCTCTGCCCGGTATGCACCCTGTCTAGAGAAAAAGGTAAGGCTGAATTTTTTTGCTGCTGATATTCCCCTCTAAAAATTGAGTGTAAACCATTTGCCTTTTGTCTTTCAGAATGGAATGTACACCCTTGACTTGGCTGGAGAACAAGAAATTAGAATTTCCTGTCCATCACTTTTGCCGCCTCAAAATGAACAAACCTCATCTGATGGTGGTAGAGAACTGCGAACTGAAACCCCAAGCCACCAGGCGTATCCCTCCCCACCATTTCTGTTAACTTATACACAATCTAATGCTCCCCAGGTAACTGGTTCTGCAGAACAACCCTCTGCCAAGCCTCCAGTCATCCAACAGCCTACTGGGCAACTGCTTTACCCTTATCCGTTCTATGTTAAAACGCCATACGCTCCTGAAGGGACAACGCCTCGGATTTCCTCTACAATGTCCCCCACAATACCTACTCCAGAGAACAAAGTGCCCTTAGAGCCTAACACTACTCCTTCTCCAATAGAGCAGCCCCTTTATCCTTTCTATCCACCAACTGCTGCTCCATGGCTTCCACAGACCGATGCTCCTAGGGGCCCAGTAGAGCAGCCATTCTATCCATTTGATCTGCCAACTGCTGGTCCATGGTCTTCCCAGCCAGAAGCCCCTCCTAGCCTACTAGAGCGCCCCCTCTATCCCTTCCACCCAAATCCAACTACTGTGCCAAGACCTTCCCAGGCTGAAGCTCCTCCTAGTCCAACAGAGCAGTCTCTCTATCCCTTCTATCTGCCAGCTGATGCTCCATGCCTTCACAGCCTGATGCCCCTCCTAGTCCAACAGAGCAGCCCCTCTATCCCTTCTATCTGCCAACTGATGCTCCATGGCCTTCACAGCCTGATGCCCCTCCTAGTCCAGCACAGCGGCCCCTCTATCCCTTCTATCTAGCAACTGCTGCTCCATGGTCTTCACAGCCAGAAGCCCCGTTTGGCCCAGAACAGCGGCCCCTCTATCCTGTTTATCTGCCAACTGCTGCTCCATGGCTTCCACAGCCCGAGGCCCCTCCTAGCCTAGTAGAGGATGCCTTCTACCCAAAGCCAACTACTGCTCCAAGGCCTTCACAGCCTGAAGCCCCGCCTGGCCCAGTAGAACAGCCCATCTATCCCTTCTACCCAAAGCCAACTGCTGCTCCATGGCTTCCACAGCCCGAGGCCCCTCCTAGCCTAGTAGAGGATGCCTTCTACCCAAAGCCAACTACTGCTCCAAGGCCTTCACAGCCTGAAGCCCTGCCTGGCCCAGTAGAACAGCCCATCTATCCCTTCTACCCAAAGCCAACTGCTGCTCCATGGCTTCCACAGCCCGAGGCCCCTCCTAGCCTAGTAGAGGATGCCTTCTACCCAAAGCCAACTACTGCTCCAAGGCCTTCACAGCCTGAAGCCCCGCCTGGCCCAGTAGAACAGCCCATCTATCCCTTCTACCCAAAGCCAACTACTGCTCCATGGCCTTCACAGCCAGAAGCCCCTCTTGGCCCAGCAGAGCACCCCCTCTATCCCTTCTATCTGCCGACTGCTGCTCCATGGCCTTTACAGCCAGAAGCCCCTCTTGGCCCAGCAGAGCACCCCCTCTATCCCTTCTATCTGCCAACTGCTGCTCCCTGGCCTTCACAGCCAGAAGCCCCTCTTGGCCCAGCAGAGCACCCCCTCTATCCCTTCTATCTGCCAACTGCTGCTCCCTGGCCTTCACAGCCAGAAGCCCCTCTTGGCCCAGCAGAGCACCCCCTCTATCCCTTCTATCTGCCAACTGCTGCTCCATGGCCTTCACAGCCCGAGGCCCCTCCTAGCCTAGTAGAGGATGCCTTCTACCCAAAGCCAACTACTGCTCCAAGGCCTTCACAGCCTGAAGCCCCTCCTAGCCTAGTAGAGCAGCCCTTCTACCCAGGGCCAACTGCAGCTCCCAGGCCTCCACAGCCCGAAGCTCTGCCGGGCCCAGTATGGCAGCCCCATCTCTTCCACTTTTACACTCGGCCAAATGCTGCACCGAATAAGACGCAACCAGAAGTCCCTTCCGGCCAGGTAAAGCCGTCCCTATATCCCTTTCCCTTCTACTCTTTGCCCAGGTCTGGCAGCATAGTCTCACAAAACCCTCTACCTGTTAACTGCCCCCAGTTTTGCCACCCTGTTTCCTATCATTGCTGTCCCCAAATTGCATTTCATCACCATATACATCAAATTATCCCATTTGGACTTCATGCTCAAGATTCACCTTCACTCAATAAAGGACCACATCAACCTTCAGGTTCATATTCTGGGTTTGGCAATGACTTAGGTTCTGTTCCCCTTCAAAAGCCAACTGATTCAATGACGACGCAAGCTCCTGACACTTCCACCCCTGTACCCATTTCAATTTCATCCCTTCAATCTGGAAATGCAAAGAGGACACATATTCTGCCACCAGATGGCAACCCTGCTGCACCACAGTATATTCCTAGCAAGCCTGCAAATCGTGGAGGGACAATTTACCCCTATGATGAGCCACGGTATCTTTATCCAACTTGGTCATATCTACAACAGAGCAAGGAGCTGCAGAGTTTGACGCAAACCCCATCACCAGCTTCTGAGAGTGTGCCCACGATACCGCAGGTTCAACGTTATAAACAAGAAAATCCAGTGCTGAAATACAAATCACATAATGTACAGCCCCAAAAGCAGCAAAACCTGAAACTATTGGGTTGGGATATGAATAATAATCCATCTGGATCTTACACTGGCCAGTTTCTTCAGCAGAAGAAAATGGGAAAGCAGCAAATGCTTAAAGATGCTGAATCTCAAATGAATGAGAAATATACGTCCCCCAACAACACATCCGGACTACAGACCTTATTGAGCAGCTCAAGAGAACCTACCAATCATGGATCAACTTTACACTCTTCTGCTGATCCAAAGGGTTATGTACTGCTGCAGCGTGGCCCACAGGATGGGGAGCCAAACCGTTACATTGACTCTCCTCTGCCTTCTGGTGACCTGGTTCACGATGCAAACTTAATGGCACATTTTTCAGGGCATCATGGTCAAGAACCTGAACGTCTTCAGAATTTAAAGACCCCACAGAAAAAATCCAAACTTCCCAGATTGCTGGGGAGAGGAAGGTCCAATCGAGACTACCTGCCAAGGCATGGCGATGAATTGGGTCAATCATAGTAATCTCCTTGGCTCATTTTGGGCCTTGGAACTAGGATCCTTGATTTCTTGCGTCATTCAGATTCTTGTAGATAATGACTTTTAGACTCAATAGTGACTTCACTTCATGTTCCAGGAAATCAATTTCAACAAAAGTACTCTGCAGCTGCTCACAATCTAACAGTATGTTAAAATGATAGCGTTTTAAGCAAGCCTCCAGGACCACTGTCTCTTGCAGGACTGAACCAAGCCTTTGTGGGGAACTGAAAAGCAGAAATGTGTGATCTTCTAAATAAAACATTTAAACAACTACTTTTTTTTTCTCGATGTCTAGTTTGTGAACCCTTGGTACTTGAAAGGTGCATTGCCCTTGTTGAATAAATTTGTCTCGTCATGACTCACTAGCTGGTGAACATTGACCCATTTGTGCAAAAACAGTGAATAGAATTTCCTCATTCAACAACTTTGCACCTTTAAGTAATCTAAAATGCGTTGTAGCTTGTTTCTCAAAGGATGTGTATTTTCAAAGTCCTTTTTATTCATGCACTCCAACCGGTACAATTTTTCCTGATTAAGGCTCTTGTATTGCCATTTGGAAATATATCTACATAAATGCCTGTTAAACTTAATGTGTTACAGTGAGTAGTGTTAATGTTCATATATATAATTTACTGACTGACCTTTGCCTGTTAAAGGAATACATAAACATGGAAGTAATGTTTAAACTTGTTTGGGACCAAATTGGATAACTTTTCAACTGGTTTGATAATATACGGCAATGTCAGCATGATTCAACAAAGACTTGTACGTTTATTTCTGTACCATTCTTTGATATCGTGTAGAATCTTCATTCAAGCTGTAAAAGGCCTTGGGTAACATTACCGGTCCTTGACCGCTACCTTAAAGTATATTATGCCACATATTCAAAGACTGAACACCAAAACCATTGACTTCAGAGGTGTATCCATTGGAATAAAGACAAATCTTTAATATACATTGTACAGTAATTCTGTTTGCCATGCATCATGAGTACCAAATTGGTGTGTTAAATCTGCTTATGGGAAATGGTAATCAATTACCATTTCCATGCCATGTCAGTTATTACTCTACAGGTGTAGCTAAAGCAAGTGGGTTTAGGATCTGTGGGAATTAACTCAAAATAATCTGACCCTTCCTGGGCACACTGGCACAGGAGTAATGGGATTGTCCATCACTGAAGCGATGGTTGCAGCAGGTAAATCTCTTTTCACCACGACAACGGGGACCTCTGCACTTGCTGAGGAATCGGAGGACGATCCAGAGATACTATCTGGAGAAGGAGGAGCAGCAGCTACACCAGCAACTAAAGAGGCTACGGTTACCCCTTGAACTGACTCTGCTGATTCTGAAGACAGAAAATCACTTTGGTGAGGGTCATGTAGAGCTGTTAGTTTGTGGTGTTTCAGACCATGCTTGGGTGACTGGCTGCTTAGGTGTATGTGGACCACTGATGGCATGGCTGCAGTGCTGTTGGAATCTGCTGCAGTACTGTTGGAATCTGCTACAGTCTTGGCATCAACGGGCATCTGAAAGTGTATGCATCAGCAGAAGCTTAGGATATATTATCCATATAATTGTAGCATATATTTAATTGGGTTTCATTTTTGGCTATGTTAAAATATGGTACTTTACCAGAGTTGAAAACATCTTGCAATCCACTGTGTGATCAGTGCTCAAACCTTCTGCAGTGCAAAAGCCACGCACCTAGTGGGGAAAAGATACAAACATTCAATGAATTCAAATAATAAATAATTTATTTTAACCATTTAGGGGAATATTTTTGTTCAGACGTATCTGTGTTCTTTAAAGCGCCGCATCAGGGCTAAAAATGGTGCTCTGTGTACTTACAGCTGCGAGGTCATGCAGGGGCGTGCAGGCATCCTCAGTGCAATTAGCCTCAGCAATAACATATTCTGCTGAATAGATCGGTCCACGAGATACAACCTGAAACAATGTATTAAGAAGTATTGATGTACTGACGGACTCTATTTAAAACATACGTTTATGGAGGATTGAACCAAACAGTTTCTGGGCCCACCTTTGATGACATCCTTCCAACCTCCTTTACAGCGTATGTTACATTCACAGTCCTGTTGTTGAAGGTTGCCAAAGAGGCTTGGACAAAGTCCAGGGCTGCGGTGTCATTTAGGGGAAGGAGGGTAGCACAGCCAACACACAGGTCTTCCGTGGATTCTGTCATCAAAGAAAGACGCATGCAGGTTTTTGTCTATAGAGTGACACTTCTGGCAACTCCTGAACGTGTGTGGGTGTCACGTTGAGTGTGATAAAGTTTTACCATCAGTTTTACACTTAAAAGCTAAGACCGTCAGAGCTCCGCCAACCTTCTTCAGCACCACATCACAATCTCCTTCTATTGCCTGATGAGACACACAGAATCAGTACAAATAACAGAATATTCAATCTGGAGATTTTCTATCATATAAAATCATCAGTAACTTGAGCCTTGTTTGAATTAATCTAGCTGTGTTTTAGAACATCTGTGCACTACTGGCACACAGTCTCACCGTAGATATTTTTGGCCTGACTGTGCAGTTGGCAAGGGGTGTGGGATCCAGCACATGACAGTTTGTCTCCAGCAGGTCAACTTCCAGCACATAGATGTCTCCATCAGGCTAAAGAGAGTTAAAGCATTACTACATTACATTACAGCAGTATACAATTTCAAAATCCACCACCTGTGATGTTTTTTTAACAGAATACTTGAAATTTTGAGGATTTTGAATCAATTTTGTATTCCTGGACAGGTCCAACCACACACACTGTTTAGGAATACACATAGATGGATTGTTTTTTAATTGGGTAATGAAATACACCTAAATAGAACATAAATGTGTAAAGACATTATGTACACTTCAAAACACGATATACATTACGAGAAAGTATTATAACACAACCCAAAATGTAGTGCTTCACAAATATGGGGAAATAAATGTTGTTTAGTTTTGTACCGTATGTCAATTTTTCTGTCTGTCTAAAAAGCAGGAAAAGAGAATGATTAACTACTTGTATACATGTTTTTACCTTCAACTATGTACTACACCTGTCTTACCTTAGTATATATCTTGATATCTTCAACCCTGTTCAGTGCATACTTGTAGCCATGAGTGTGCTGGGCATTGAGGTAATCCTGAGCCACCAGAGCAGCCTCCTCCGCTTCGAAGGAGTCACACTTGGGCTTTATCACGTTCATCTGAGCCCATAACCCCGCAAAGAGTCCCAGAATCAAAGTGATGCCCAGGAAATTCATTTCTGTGAGAGATGCACACACAGAGGTAGCAGTTCAGCAGATAAGGGTTGGAAGGGGAATCTACGCTCATGCAGCCTAGGGGGTTTATATTCTGTTTTCTAACCAACAAAACTGAGCCAAGTCAAACACCATGATCATCCCTCATGACTCCCCATGTGAACTGTGAGTTCTCTGAGTGATACTCTGTTTTAGGATTGCTGCCAAAACAAATAAAAGGCTAAGGTATAATTCATTAATGATTTACTGAGTTTTATGTTGAGATATACAGGAACATCTCACACTGTGATTTCCAGTATAACGCTGTGAATAGATCTGACATGAATCCTTCTTGACTGCAATATCACAGAAAATATGTAAAGAAATTCATGTTCAAAGCCCATGTTGTGTAACTCGCCGGAAAAGTGACTTGCTCAATGATCTATGATCTTCAGCAAAGAGGATATTTGCCGACACGGGGCCATAGTTGAGGGACAGAGCCTCTCATCGCTTCCGCCCCCCTTATTTGGTCTGTATTTGTCAGTTTGCACAATACACAAGGGCCTTTTAGGGTTAGACTGAGGTTGCTGACAGATATACCGATGAAATAATTCAAGAATTGCTATTTCAATCTTGATTGCTATATCAATTTAGTTTTTAGGGTCAATATTGAGACGCCATGTCTAACTCTAGTTTCAATAATAATTTTGCTGTATGGTTTAGCTGACATTTCCAAATGGTAACAGCAAGCTGTCAAAACAAAATGTCCTCCAAGGTTCAATCAGGTCTTTTTCATTGATTTAACCGTGAAAGACAAAATGATAGTGCTAAATAAACACAAGCAGTGTATCTACTTGCTTCATAGTTAGACTCACAAATTGAGCAGATTTTTATGGTTTTGGATACTACTAAAAATGCACCACTTAAAAGGAAATGGAAAACACAAATTAGGGATTTCATTTTTGTACGAAGGAAATACACATGCCTTCAGCAACATTGCTTAACGCAGCCATTGTCGCGACCTCTGACGACTTTTCCTCAGTGAGCTCTGATTGGCCAGCTGAACAATGACGCATTCCAAATGCGACTCAACGTGGAACGCGTCGTATAAACGCTGCTAAGAGCGCTGCAGGTTGAGAGGTTAAAACAGTTAAAAATTGTCTATTGAACTATGAAAGTACACTATTCACCAAGCAGTTGAAAAGGCTGGACTCTAATCTGTCCATAGTTCATCCCATTTCGAAGTTCCAATGAGGCAAACGAGGCAGTAACGGTAGGGCAGGCTGTAGCTAGCAGCTCACCATTTGTTACCCACCCATGTTACCGTTAGCACATTTAGCCAAGGTGTTTTCGTGTAAACACGTGTAAAGAAGAAAACGTCCCAGACTGGGTAAACCCCGAGTATGGAGGAGTGCAAATTGTTGTGTTAGCTAAGGGACATGCGAGTTTTTAAACTGCGTTGACAACTTTTTAAGGACATTTATAATCGTTACGTCTCTCTGCTCCTGGATTTGACTAAAATTATATGAAAATACCTGTCACTAAGTAATCTGTGCACACGTGTCTGCAAAGCCTTCATGTTTGTGAGCAGGTCCTCAACTCAAGGAGGAAGTAACGTTACTTGCTATGCAACAGAGTGGTCACGGTTTTATTATGGTACATATCATCCATATTAATGTATTATTATCACTTATGTGGCAACATGCAAGCAACCGATAAAAGGGAGCTGATTGTGCCCTCGAGTTGTACTAAATTCCTTTAACCACCGCTTAGTGTTAGTTAACGTCAGAATTCCGAGACTGCTACTGTCACTAGTGCAGCTTTGTTCAAAGTGAGATGAAACTACATAGGAGCCCGGTTTAAATAACGAACCCATTTTGTATTGCAGCAATTGTTCCCATTGTAGATTGCTCTAATGAAGAGGCCACCAGAAGGGGGAGGAAAAGCAAAGACGATCAAGTAAGCTTTGGAAATCTCAAGGTGCGAATCAGCCTCCAAATTCATCCGCATCCAAAAAGCCCACGCTGGCTCAGTTTGCAGCATCTGACTTGGAAATATCAAAGGAATTTAAATCTATTTCTTAAACTGGCATTTGGTAAAGGTGGACCATGGACGAGACGAAATTGACTGCTGTTCTTGCGTTGCTGCACATGAGCTGTTGCACTTCACTTCACAGCAGCTGAAAAGAAACCCACAACACTGTCACGTGACTCCCCATCGCCGACTCTAGCTGGCCTCTCCAAGATGCCCCGCACACAGACAAAAAAGGGATTCCTGTCTTCCGTCGAGGGAGTTTCCCGTCTCTCCAGGCCAGCCAAGACACGCGTGTGTTGTAAATTACAGCTTTGGATGTGGAGAAAGCGAAGGGAGGCCCGACGAATTGGGACATTCAGGAAAAAGAAAAGAGCTTGTGGGATCAGCTTTGGCCTCTCGAACACTGTAACAACCCAGTCAGAGAAAAATAAAAGCAAAGTCCGAATGTACCACACATCAAATGTAGAAAATTCACTTAGAGCATCGGTCCTTGTATCCCCTCTCGGATCTGATACTGGAGCTTCAGGCGTGCTCAAAGGGAAGAATCCCCCGCTGAAGCTTTGTGACTCTGTCAATTTGTCAGAACCGCTGAACGCTTCCACTTTGTTGCACACTCTGGTTATGGACACAAATGTTTCTGCGTGTGCCATCAGTCCAATCGTGCCCACAGCTACACGGCCTAAAACTTCTGTACAGCTCGGTGAAGTGACGGAGCCTTCAAAGCTTCCACACACCGTCCGAACCCTGTTGAGCACAGAGAGCCAGCCAGGAGTTTTAACTGCACATTTGAAAGCAAGAGGGGTAAAGGTACACGTTCAAAGGCCCGAGGTTGAGGGCCCTTCAGGACAAATCACAGCTGTCACTCCAGGTCAGGAGCAAGTGACGAACCAGGTCGCTCAAGAGAGAATCACTAGTAGAAAGACTTCTCTAACTGATATCAGCGTTCTAAGACAGGAAATCCAAGGTATGTGTCTTTTTCATTTTTATAATTTCTGGTTTACATTTCTGCTTCTCACTGCTTTTTGAAATAACATTTTTCCATGTTTTGATAGAATTTCTCAAGGATTTCTACAGAATGTATGGATGTTTCATCCCATTACAAAAAAGAGACGTTTTGAGACATCTGGAGAGGAAGTTTCACACAGATTTCAGCGACAGGTACATTTTGTCAAACATCTGAATCCTACGGTCTTGGATCACTTTGAATCATTTAAATCTCTGTTTACATGATGAATATCTCAGCGGTTGTTACCAGGTGCAATCACGTGTATTGTTTTCATCCTCTGTGTTTCAATGTGTCAAAAACAATGTTCCGGTGACACCTACAGTAGTTCTTCCACCAGCGGTTTGAGTACTTTGCCTGTCTGTCTGTCAATGAACTCAACAGTGTGGCAAGCGAACACGATGAAGCTTTGAGAACTTGAAAAAACTTTTGGGATTTCTATTTGAGATCTAATTTAAAGAGATTTTTGAGTAAATAGGGTGGTAGAAGGTGGTGAATCTGTCATGATTTCATCCCTGAACCGATTCTATTCTATTCTTCTGTCTGTGCAGGAAAAATTTCGTCATCTCAGAAGTTATCAAATCCCAAACTGTCATTGTTCAGAAGCCTGTTCCCTCCTTCCAGGTGGTCTACAAGAAGCACACACTGACACTGGATGACTTGTCCACACTGGCAGATCAGAACTGGCTCAACGACCAGGTCATCATCTAAACGTCTCCCTCAGGCTTTGATCGGGAAAACATTTGTGATGAACAGAGCCTGAATGTTTCTGCTCAGTGTAACTTTTGCTTACTTATGTGACTAATTGTTTCTTCTTAAGGTCATTAACATGTACGGGGAATTAATTCTGGAATCTTCCCATCACCAGGTAATCTTCTGCCTGGATATCATGTTTGTTCTATAACCGTCTTTCTATTTATTTTCTTAAACTGTTTATCATAATCTGACTAGTATGCAACCCATTTTTCCCAGACAAATAATTGGTGTACGAATAATTCGATTGACATTTTTCCCCTTGTCCCACCAGGTCCATTTTCTCAACAGCTTCTTCCACAGGCAGCTCATGACTAAAGTATGATGTGTTAGAGATGACGAAGCAGTAGGTCTAAGTGGTAGTGTTTACTGATGGTGTGATTCTAAATTTGAGTCTGCATGATTAAATTAGCATGAGAAGACACAGGTTGACAAACCTTAGGACTTTGCAAAAGATTTTTAACATGACTTTTAGTGACTTTTTTCATAACATACTATATACTATGACTTGTGTGTGCGATTCATTTGTTATTTTTGTAAGGCATGTTCTGGTTTGCTATTAATAACATCTCTCATATATTAACTTACTTTTTATGACCTATGACAAACTCTTTAACACTATAATATTACTTTTAATGACATTTTTGTCTAACACTACGACTGTTCATGAAATTGTTGAAAAAAAACTATTCCAATTGCTTTTTTTATGAGACATGCTATATCTCTCGTCTTAAAGCGGCTTTAACCTCATCTTCCTCGCACAGGTGGATTTGTTTTCTAAGAGTTTGCTTTTGGTGCCGATCCACCTGGAGGTTCACTGGTGTCTGGTGACGGCTGACATTGAAAAAAAGAAGATCTGTCTTTACGACTCTCAAGGAAACGCACTCCAGAAGGTTGCACGGGTAATTTGTTTGTTTTTGTCAATGCAACAAACTACATAAACATATCGTTGTCTTTTCCATAGTAAACTGTATTTATGCTTTTCTTATGATAGAACATCCTGAAATACTTGATGACCGAGGCAAAGGAGAAGCAGCATACTGATTTTGAAAGTGGCTGGGAAGTTTCATATGATGAGGTATTTACTTCACGTCTTTTAGGCCGTCATGGTAACTACAACATCCAAATGGCCCAAGGGATTAAAACATGACTGACAGCGATGTGTGGTCTCCCCCTGTTACTCCTTACAGATAATCCCGCAGCAGACCAATGAAAACGACTGTGGAGTTTTTATCTTGGAGGTACCAAGGTTTTTTATTTTTTTTAAATCTTAAAATATGTCTGATTCTCTAAAGTCACATGACTTAAGCTGCATATTGTGTTTTTCTTTTTTACAGTACTCTAGATGCCTTGCTCTGGCAAAACCCCTGCAGTTTTCCCAGAGGGACATACCAAAGATACGCAAGAGGATCTACAAAGAGCTCTGTGACTGTAAACTCCATGAACAGCCCTGAAGACTTTCAGTAGATTGTGTGCGTTGCTTTTGATTGTTGTAGGAAATCAACGATCCTCACTTGACTCAATGTAGTGCTTCTAATGAGCAGAAGCTGTGCAGCTGTATGGCTGCACTGTGAGGGCCACGGCTGGACCTGCACTGGCGTCTTCTACCAGGTGCGCTGATCATGCTAGATCATTGTGATGTTTATGTGGTCAGTAATGTTTCCTGAAGGAAAAACCTCTTCATGTTCCAGTAAGACTTTGACTTGGAGTTTACACAACAACAGAGCACCACCGAGCCTTCCCGAGAAACTGCCTCTCCAATTCGATCTCATCTTTCAGGGTCCTTGTCTGTTCTCACTCTGATATCTACTCACCTTGTTTGCACTTTTTTTTTTACTCTATTTTTCTTTGGTCATTTGTTTGCATCATAGTTTACCTGTATGCACCAGATAAATGAATGGAGGCTATTGTACTTTGTAAAGAAAATGTGAGCGATCCATATGATACATTCGTATTTATTTGCACAGTGGAATTCTGTTAATGAAGTTGTAAATAAATCAAGACAGTTTGCAAAATTACACAACACGTTTATATTTTCACTTCACCGCATGCAGAACAGCCTTTGCACATTATACTAGGGTACATAAAAATGTGTAAAAACAAATTCCTAGCAATGGACCAGTGTTTTATTCATATCTAGTAGATCATAACGGAATGAATGTGTCCCGTTGAGGACATTTGAGCACATACTGATAAGAAAGCTGTACTCCATATATAAAAAGTGGAAACTTAAGGCACAAGACAGTGACTATGGAAATTCAAATTAATACATATGCTTCCATATATACTGTATTGATCAATTCATATTCATTAGCAAACACATCTGTTCACAAGAGACTCATTTCTAAAAGTGGCCTCATCAGCACACTAGAGATAATAGAATATAGTTTTACACAATGTATACTGCATGTGTGCCTCTTTGCTACTGGAGAATTCTGACCTTCATGGGTTTGACTTTGAGAGAAAGAAATCTGAATTGACCGATCGATCATCTGGCTCTGTTATATAAGTATAAAGTATCAGTCTGGCTGATGTACCTTGATACTAGATCCTGATCACGTATCACTGGGCACTATATTTCAAATACACTCCAATTTCAATCTCTACCCTGACCAAGTGTAGTCCAATTTGATCATTCTTGAGTCAGGGCCCTAATCATTGATGTAGAATCCCCAATCAATTTCTGGATCATCGTCGAGGCGTATCACAAGGTAGGACACCAGCTGGAAGAGGTTCTGCCACAGGCCCAAGAAGAGGTACAGGTAGAAGTCACTGACGTCAATTTGGCAGTGTACTCCTGAGTAATTCATATCACACACGCACTCAAAACTGTTGACATAGTTGATGCAGAAGCCTCCGTTCATACATGGGTCCGAGACACATTCATCCACATCCTTCTCACACCTGCAGGGAAACAGCACACAAGTGGTTATGGAACAAAAATGACAAAATGCACCATTTAACTTGCGGTCATTCACATGTATACAAGTATTTGCAAACTGACTGACTGATTATTTAAATTAACTTTCCCAACAGATCCAGTCTGAGTGGCTTTGTTCTGGGTTTAGCGACCCCCGGTGGGGGCATGTGGTGTGGACCTCCAGGGTTGAGAAACGTCGAGATCAACAAAGACAATAAAATTTGATCATGCGAGTCCTACCACTGTCCTGTGAAACCGGACGGGCAGAAACAGCTGTCGTCTGCTTCCGAGCAATTTCCTCCATTGAAACAGCTGTAATCCCATCTTGTACCCGTGCATGTAGATACAGGCAACTGAGGGAGTCTTAACAAAATAAAAGAACACAGCAAGAAATATCAATGGCTCCCCGATTTGCATGGGTGGATCCAATATTTACTGGATTAATTGATACGATGGAGGTATTTAAAAAAAAAACATTTTCTGTAAAAGCACTTACGGATTGGTCTCAATGTACCACGGGACTTCAGGAATCTTCTTCCTGCAAGAGACCCGTTTGTAAATCAGAACAACTCAACAGCTTTATGCCACAGAGATATCGACCAATGCGGAAGAACTCACTCGCAGTATTCTCCGGTCAGATTCTGAGGGCAGAGACACGCGTAGCTTTTGAAACCTCTAAGGCACGAGGCGCCTTGGCTGCATCTGCTGTATTCACACATATCAACTTCCACCTCACACCGTTCCCCGCTGAACCCCGGCTCACACGCACACTCGAACGCCCCGGGCACGTTGGTGCAGTGGCCGAAGACGCAAGGGCTGGAGAAGCAGCTGTCCGTTGGATGTTGACAGAGTGGACCCGTCCACTCAGAGGAACATGTGCAGCGGTGCAGGTCAAACAAGTCCTCACACACGCCCTGGTTGTTACAAGGGTTTGGTGCGCACACGCTGGCTCCCCAGCAGCCGTGCCGTGGCTCACGGCCGGCGTTTGTCCTCGCAAACTTCTCTCCCTGAGGTCTGGGGAGCTTCAACTCAGTGTTCAAGTAGAAAGGGAGGGCGAGGCCTCCAATCTCCACTGGGCCCAGGCAGCCGGTTAGGTTCACTCCGGTGTCCACGCTCAGTCCTCCAAGGAAAATGTCTGCTCTCTCCCTGATAAAATCCAGGTTGCCTGCAGCTGTTGTGGACACGCCCCGCTCCTTCTCCTCTCCGTCCACAGTCAAGATCCACCTGGAGTGTTGAGAGCGTCTGGTTCTCCATGCTGAGCGCCAAAGTGTGCCACTCGCCGTCCCTGATTAGACCCTTGCTCTGAACTGTTGCCTTGTGGAGATCTTTGCCGGCCCCCGACTGGAGCTCCATGACCACATGGGCGTTGAGGAGGGAGACGGTGAGGTAGTCGGAGTCCCTCTGCGCGTGTATTAAGGTGGCTGAGGCCTGTCTTGTGCGGAAGCGGAGGGAGACGCTGCGGAGGCCGCGCTTAATCTGCCCGTTGGTTTGGTAGTGCAAAACACTGCTTTCAACACTAAATGTCACATTGGACAAACCTGAAGGAGAAATAGGGAAGAGACTCTATGAACTAAAATGACATTATCATTCATTTATCTTTTATTCCAGTGACATAGTACCCATTCTTACTATAATGACCCCAGCTGAACAATAAAGCCTCTGAAAACTTGGTTTCAAAACCTTAAAGAGTCACTTAATGTACAGTGGTCCTTGCTGTCCTCTCAGGTTGAAGGTATCAAGCATATTGCATCCGTAACCAGCGGTTACGTCAAAGTGTCCTAAAGTACAGTATCAAAGACAAGATTTTCAGGGGGTGTTGATTAAGTATTTTTATGTTTTTCTCAATAACATTTAATAATTATCATGACTAAATAGCAGACAATCAAAGTTAAAGTTCTGTAAAAAAACAAAAACATACTGAGTTATTATTCACAGCGGTAAACAAACAAACATGTCAAATAGAGAAATGCAAATTTGGCAAAATGTTTCAAGTTCACGTAGGTTTCCCGTGGTCAACGCCTGGTCTTTAAAGCTGTCTAGAAAGGGCATTTAAAGGAATCCACAAAAATGGTGGGAAAAGGCCTCCAACACATACAAAGAGAAAAAGGAGAAGCGAGAAGGCGCCGCTGAGTGCAGACTACTGATAAAACGTAATATGTGTAGAATACAGGCACTGTCAAAGTGCCTTTGACGGGCATCTACTCTGAACCAAAAGCTCCTTTTCTCTTTGTAAACATGTGACACCTCCAGGAAGACTAGCCATCATACACTTCCACGGGCATGTGGTCTTAATCCCACCAGGGATTACAACCTCTTACAGGAATCCTGTGCAGGATCTCTGCCTCGAAGCTGTTCTCTTCTGTAATCAGTCACACTGTAATTAATCGGAGCCCTCACCAGTGAGACTGTGGAGACTCCATTCAGTGGATCAGAAATGGGCCAGTATTATGAAAGCCACACACATTCATTGTGGATCTTGGCAATGTTTTTAGTGTCAGGGTGGCTGTGCACATCATACTGTTTAAAGCATATACCTCAGGCTTTCTGCGGCAGTCCATGAGACCCTTTTATCCCACCTATTTTAACACTCACTCACATTCAAAGCCCTGCGAGAGGGGCTGACAAACAGCCATGGCGGGGCAGGGAGACAGCTCACACCATAACACCTCCTCGCACCGCTGCCCTGCAGTGTTGGGGGGGCAGTTACAGATGAAATCGTCCCACATGGAGTAACACACTCCCCTGTTGAGACATGGGTTGACCTTATGGAGAGAGACAAATCCCAAACAAAAATAAAGACAAGCCACGTAACTCGTTATGTCGTTATGCAGTGCAGAAAAGGAACGATGATGTGACACAAGCTTGTTAAAAGACATTAAAACGACTCACAGCGCAGGCATTCTCACTGCTGCATCCTCGCGCAACGTTGACGAGGCGCTCCAGGCTGTAGGATTCCACTGGAGTTGCAATGGGATAGAACTGCAGCGGCTTGCTGTTTATCCTCAGATCCTGAACGCACCCTTTGAAGTAGCCACCAAATGAGGCAGAGGCCCTCGCGTCTAGTAGCCCCCCGACAAAAACCAGATCCCCGGGATGCGTTCGGATGGGCCTGATGGGCATAGAGCCCCGGCTCTGGGCTGACTGGATCAACACGGCTGCCATTCCTTCCAGCTTCACAGTCACCAAATGGAAATGGCCGTCATTGACCGCACCTCGACCAATGAGGGTCTCAAAGTTGTTGACTTGAACTTTGACCCTTCCCTCTTCCTGCCACAGGCGGAGGTACTGGCTTGTGCTATTGGCCAGAATGAGGAGAATCCCGCTGGCCTGTCTGGTGCGAATGAACATGGATATGGTCACGGCATCATTTGGGTCATCGTCCAATGAGAAGACAGCATAGCTCTCCAGGTCTTTATTTCCAAACCTGGCTGTTATGTACTCTGCATGGGGACGAGGAAGAGAGAGAAAACGCCATGAAAGTCACACTGGAACAAAACTAGCTTCCATCTGAAACAGATATTATGATATGCTTGTAAAATATGCTCATTTACTTTCTTAACACGATTCAAATGAGAGGATTGAAACCACTTATATGCTGACTATTAAATCCATTTAGCATCGCTTTTATTCTATCTTCAGCTGGCAACTGAAAGGATAGTCAAGCACATGATCCCAAAAAACTGCAAATTGTTACATTGTTTATTACACTTGAAACAACGTGTTAACAGAAATATTAATCCTTTGCATTTTTCAAAAGCATTAACACTCTAAATGGGGCCCTTTGTGTTTCCTGTTGCCAGTTTGTTGAGCTGACGGGAAGCAAACAGGAACCGAAGCGGTTTCCTTAACAACAGAATTGCAATGAAAGGGTCTATATTGATCTTATCTAATTGATTTAATTTCCTTTCAGAAAGTTAATAACTCTAAATTGCTGCAGTTGTCAATTAGACCATACCCATGCAGTGTTGACTGACAAGTGAGGTTCTAGTCTGTTTCCAGCTCTGCTTTGACAATGAACTAAAGTCAGCCTCTGAAACCCACGTTTTTTTAATCCCCAGCCCTGAGTGCCATCTAATTGCATGACTGCTGAACACAGTGCTATTTCTACTGACTCTTTAAGCTCCTTTAAAGTCTGACTAAATTTGTCATCCTGCTGGGAAGCTTTCCAGCTGAGGTATCTCCAATGACTGAAGTTCAACTTGACTTCACCTATATCTGCTTTTACAGCATGTCTTCTTCTCCCCCGATATCTTCCAGTAATTATGTCAGCAGATTCGACATGGGAATGCTGCCATTGATGAAAAAACACTGCACGTGCTTTTGAAAGTCAGTCAAAATATTTCAAAAAATATCTTGTTATACAGTTAAGAATGATATTTTATGTGAATCCACTCATTTAAAACACACACAGAAACACATCATAACTCAGTCTCATCATCCTTGAAGACTCTCGTCGTCATAGCTAAACTATTTCATAAATAAAACATGTGTCAGAGGTGTACGTGTGCCAAATACCCCCTCAGAGTTGAGCCCTTATCTTATTTTTGTGTGCTCGGCTTTTCTCAGATGGAAGATTTTGAGACCCGAACCTCCTGGTTTCGTTCATTTTGTTTCAATAAACTTGAAGCTATCTGAAGCGATTATTTGTTGTGTGTGAACATCTCACCATCTTCACAGTTGGTTCCCTCATAGGGCCTGTGGCACTCGCACCTGTAGCTCCTCCAGCCCCGGCTGACACAGCGCCCTCGGTTCTGACACGGGCCGTCCTCGCACTTGTCTTTGTCGCTGCACCCCGCCGTGATGTTTTCCTGGACGTCTGAAGCCTCCGCTGACACGGCAGGCCACACAAGGCGCGAGTCCACAAACACATCTCTGAAGCAGCCCAGGAAAGAAGATGGGTAGCCTGCTTCACCGGCTGCTCTGGCCGAAGCCCGGCTCCCGCCGACTGCTCCTATGAAGAGGCTTTGACGAACTGCTCCCGCCTCTGGGAGAGCCGAGGCGGGCTCGAGCAGCTGGACTTTAGCGCTGTGGTCTCTGGTGCAGTTTCCTTCGGTGCAGAGCAACCGGATGAGGCTGACCACGCCACCCAGAGATGCTTCCACCGTGTGCCACTTGTTGCCGGACAAGTGCTCCGGCAGCTCCTGGACCAGTGTGCTGGAGCCTTGGCCTCTCAGGCTGCGGAGGGAGAGGTGCCCATCCGTCAGCTCGATGCTGAGGAGCAAGTCGTCCACTCGGCGCTGCAAGAGGGTGCCGACCGGTCTCGCCGTCCTGAAGCTGAATGTCACATTGAGAGGAACGCCTTGGTCTAGAAGCTGAGTCTCTACGTACATGAAGCCTCGGGACTCCAATGAGAAGACGGTGGGCGTTTGGCATCGAGGGCCCGCGAAGCCAGGAAGGCAGAGGCACGCGTGCTGATCGTTGACAAGCGAGGGGGAGCATACTCCTCCATTCTCACATTGGTTGTCGTCACACGCGGAAAGTGCAGTTGAGCAGTTTTCTCCTCCGTATAGGCGCCCATTTTGGCGCTGTTGGGAGCAAAGGCATCTGAAAGCTCCGTTGTGGCTCTCACATACACCGCCGTTTTGGCATGGCAGCTGTTGACACCCGCGGATGTCTTCATCAGAGAAAGTCCCTGGAATGACAAATGCAAATAAATATTAACTTCTCAAAAGGAATATGTCCACAAAAGTGAAACGGTCAGCAATTTTTTGTTTAAAAATAATATAATTAAAAAAATAAAAAATAAATAAACTGATCTATAAAGACGAGAACCCAGAACCACATTTAAAATACATAAAATGAACTACTTAATACAAATGCTTTTGAAAATCTAGACAGTTGTAAAAGAACTGTGATTGCAGATGCATGTTGCATGTTTTGCAATGTTCTATACACTTGATAGACACCTCAGCCCAAATGTACATCTAAACATTACCTGGATGAAGCAACAATAACATCCACACTTGCAAACTGAATCTCAACATTGTCCTCAACCAGTCCTCCAAATAATTCGATATTTGGCAGTATCTTAATTTCCGTCAAAGACAGGATTGGAGGTCTTGTGTGTGCAGCTCCATCTTCAGCTATGCTCCTCCACCATGCGCTCACTGAAATGCTTTGAGCAGAGCAAGCCTTGTGGGATGGATTAGGCTAATGCACTTACGGTGTCTTATACATTAAATGTGTTTGCAAGGCGTGAGGTTCATCCAAGGAGGGCTAATTTGAGCAACTCAAAAAAATGTGAGGGGGAGAGATAGCTTGGACTTTGGCTCAGCAAAAAGTGTTGTCTCTTTATTTCAAACGCTGTCTTCTGTAGAAGGAAATACGCCCACATTCAATTGTTGCTCTGCACTGGGCTCTGGCTCTTTTTCTAGAGTATATAATGGCCCGGGATTTGTTAATTTTGGAAGTGTACATATTAATGTAGTCTATTTATTTATATTATATTTAAAATCAAGACTCGTATCACAAACCTTGACTTAAGTGTAAGAAGAGGGGTTGACTTGGTCATTAAATATTGAACTTAAATGAAAGTATTATGGCTACAATTTAAAACCACTGGGTCACTGCAATCGAAACCTATTTAATTGAAAGTAGCTAAGGGCACTCAAAGTTTAAGAGCAAACAAACTCACTATGCAGCCAAAACTGGCTTTTTCAGTGAAACGTAATTATAGCACTAGTAAATTACATTAGGGATGTGTTAACATGTAAGCAACATATGTATCTGGCTGCAGCGGCAGTAAATTTAATTTAATGTAATTTCCAGTGGTTGAATTTCTCTATAACAGTCTATATATATATATATATATATATATATATATATATATAGACTATATATATATAGACTATATATATATATATATATATATATATATATATATATATATATATATATATATATATATATATATATATATATATATATATTTAGACTGTTATAGAGAATTTCAACCACCGGAAACAACATATTTCACATGGTCATATTTCATACTAACGAGAAACATTGATTTGAATGAATTTAACTTTTTTTATTACAAGTATCATATTTACCTCAGAATTGTCCTCAAATGAAATAGTTGAGTCGATGTGTGCAGTTGATGGAGGTGTCTAATTACTACATTACCCATGACGCCCTAGTACGACAGCCCTTCATGAGCCTTATCATCACGCTCGACGGCACGTCCTCCTCATTTAATCCGTATTTGACCTTTCATACTTTACGTATATAATTAAATACAAATGAAACATCGTCGTCTTTTTCTCTGTATCTCTTTAATCTCGATGTATGTCTCCGCCTGTAATCGGGCGCGTTGCAGGACAAACAGCTGCGCGAGCCAATGAGCGGGCGGCTTGTTGCGTTGTTGGGGCGTGACACTTCCGAGGGAACTCTTATTCCTCCTTTTACTCCCCGTATGTCTTGTCAACGGGAGTGCGCGGGTCTTTATTTTTCCCCCAACAGGCTCGTATCGCTAAGGAGGGATTTGGTATTTTATAAAACGCCCCGATCAAAGGGTAGAGAGTCGACTTCCGGGCAGCGTCCAGGGTCGTTTGTCAACGCTCCCCTCGCAGGGGGGCCCCGTGCGTCGCACCGACAACATGAAGGTAAGGGGTCCTTCAAGTGGAGACGCAGTTTGCACCAAGATGAAACGTGAATAATTCAGCTTCATTTCAGTTTGCACAGACACGCACCGTGCTGATAACAATGAGCTGTTCCTTATGCTTTAAATGGGAGAATAGCACTTCAACTGATTGCAATAATTCCCAATTCGTGCACATTTGTGTTACTTCTCACCACAGTGCTTCCCTTGATGACAGCTTCCTGCTGTTTATACTACTGTTGTTTTGTTAAAGGACATGCCCAGTGCCAGTTGTCTCCCCTCCTGTCTGTCACCACCGTCTCAATGTGGATCAAACCTCAGCCGTTGAGAGGATCAGCACAGGACCCTGTTCAACCTCAGCATTAATCGTGTCCCTGTGATTAGCAGGTTCCATCACACGGTCGCCCAACGGACCCACCGATGAAGAAGAAGCTTTGCAATCCGCTGCGTGCCAAACGCGGCAGGCTGGCCAGCGCCAGCGATCAATCTGCCCCAGAAGAGAAGGTCACCGGGTCCACGGCCCAACCCAACCCTGAAACCGTCCCAGAATCGAGCTCACCAACCCGAAACCTGGCCATGATGCAGCACAGTCACGAGCTCCTCGCGTTCCTTAACGAGGACCGGGCCAGGCGGAGGTTCTGCGATGTGTCGGTGTCCGTGGGTGGGAAGCTCTACAGTGCCCACAAAGTGGTGCTGGCCCACGGGAGCAGCTACTTCCACGCTGAGCTGTCCAAGAACCCTGCCACGGCGCACGTGACTCTGGACCACGTGGAGGCCTCGGTTTTTCAGCACCTCCTTGGCTTCTTGTACACCTCCGAGTGCGCTGTTGCAGAGATGGACCTGCCGGCTCTGACCGAAGCGGCCCAATTCCTGGACATGATGGATGTGCTGAAGCTGCTGTGTGAAGAAGGTGACGACAACACAGGACGTGTGGTCCCGGCCCAGGGCGAGATGAGCGGCTCTCCCCGGGTGGCCTCCAGTGGCTCGCCGGGCGTTAACAGGGTCATCCAGGGCCCACATCAGTACGCCTCAACGGAGAAAGAGAAGACGCCAGATCAGAGAGCCGTCACCACGCGGAGATCATCTCGCAGGAGGAAAACCCCCACCAAATATCAGCCCACCATCGACACTCCTGAGGAAAAACAAAGGAGTGTCTCCTCGAGGGAGCAAAGCGACGAGAGAATGGAAGAAGCCGGAAAGTCGATGGTGGAAAACCGCTTTCCCAAACTGGACGCAGACGAGACGTCGAAAGTAGCTCGGGGGGAAGATGAGGTGGACGAGGAGGGAGAGGACGATGGGGACGCGAGTGAAGACTGGGTTGCCCAGAGGAAAGCTGTTGAGGCTTGCGCCGTAGAGCAGAACAAAGCTCAGCAGGTTTCGGACGTAGAAGGGGTCGAGCACGAGGCCGGCGGAGAGGTGGAGGAGCCCGTGGCAGCTGCAGGAAGCTCCACACAGAGTCCAGTGTACCCCGAAGGTCTGGCTCCTGTCATCATCCAAACCTCCAGCAAGAAGATTCTCAAGTGCCCCAAATGTGACAAGACGTTTGACCGCGCAGGTGGGGAATATGAAGTTAGGACTGGATTGTTTGTGTTTTTCCACAGTAGCTGTTCTGGTGTGTTAATCGGTCAGATAACCATGCGAGACTGACTGAGATGTTAAACCAAAGAATCACAAATATTTAGTTTTGGTTACTTATTTGGACTAAAAAATGCCAGAGAATTGTGAAAAATGCCCATTCTAATCCATCACAACTCGTACCATCTACTAATGCACCTTTCCTGCATTCTGTAGGGAAGTATGAGAGTCACACCAGAGTGCACACGGGGGAGAAACCGTTTCAGTGTGACGTCTGTCTCCAGCGCTACTCCACCAAGTCCAACCTGACCGTACACCAGAAGAAGCACGCCAGCGACGCCCCCTTCCAGAAGAAGGAGCACAAATGCCCCTTCTGCAACAAACTCCACGCCAGCAAGAAGACCCTGGCCAAGCACGTCAGGAGGTGAGACGCCTCCGGTCAGCGCCGGGTTTCTGGGGGGGAAGAACAGTCTCGACCCTCTGGTCCACAAAAAATATTACGGGAATGTTCTCGGACAGGAGAAGAAAAAAAAAAGACATTGTTGTTTTTTTCAGCTTTCAGCAATGCATTGTGTACGTTTACTGCGTAGAGCTACCTCTCCAGTGGATGTCCTTGATGACATGACCGTGTGCTGCAGGCCTTGTTTATGTAATGAGATAATGTGGGATTCTTCATTATCCTGTCAGGTTTCATCCAGACCACGTCCAAGAGTTTCTTACAAAAAGGAAGAGGAAGAGTGAAGGCTGGAAATGTGCAGTAAGGATTTCCGATTGTCTTATTATTAGGAGATGAAGCATGATGTTAAATAAATGAGTAAGTAGTTTATTTAGATTTTTTTAAATTTTCTGTAACCTTTTGAACGTTTTGAACCAGATTTGTCTGAAGACCTTCACACGCAGGCCTCACCTGCAGGAGCACATGATCCTGCACACCCAGGACCGGCCTTTCAAATGCTCCTTCTGTGACGAATACTTCAAGTCGAGGTTTGCCAGGCTGAAGCACCAAGAGAAGTTCCATTTAGGTGAGAGATTCATGGTGAAAATAAATTCTTCAGATCCTACAGTTAAACAATTGTATCAAGCGTGGTTACACTCGTCGTAGTGAAGCCGGCGCCGGAAAGCGACGCCCCAAGAACAAATACATAAAAACAAACAAACAAACAAAACAAGATTTTTGTTACAAATAGCTCACTGATCCACAAAAAAGATGTATTTCAACGACGATGAATCCGTTTGGAAAGATTCAGGCTCACTCTACTGCTCCCAGTGCGAGGAAACAAAGCTTGACATTTTACCGCTTTCATTTTGTGCGCCCTCATTCTCAGGTCCCTTCCCCTGTGAGATTTGTGGTCGACAGTTTAACGACACGGGCAACAGAAAGCGGCACATTGAGTGCACGCACGGAGGCAAAAGAAAGTGGACCTGCTTCGTCTGTGGTAAATCCGTAAGGGAGCGGTACGTCTCTAAACTTCCCCAACACACTCCTATCTTCTCCTGAACTGCAATCACAAATGTTTTACCCTGTGCTGCTTTGTTGAGAGATATCTTTCTCTTCTACATAGAACAACTTTGAGGGAGCACCTGAGGATCCACAGTGGGGAGAAGCCTCACCTCTGCAGTATCTGTGGCCAAAGTTTCCGACACGGCAGCTCTTACAGGTGGGTCCGCTGAACTGTGAAGAATGTGATTTAGAAAGTTTCAAGTTCAGTTTTTTTTTTTTTGGACAGGCTCCACCTCAGAGTCCACCACGACGACAAGCGATACGAGTGTGACGAATGCGGCAAAACCTTCATACGCCACGATCACCTGACCAAACATCAGAAGATACACTCTGGTGAGGACAAACGTTGACAAAGGAGACCCTGGTTTCTGGTCATAGTAGAAATAGTGTCAACCTTTCACTGTCTCCGGGCAATGCGTGAATTTAACCGAGGTTTATTACAGGTGAGAAAGCACACCAATGTGAAGAATGTGGCAAGTGCTTCAGGCGCCACGATCACCTGACGGTCCACTACAAGAGCATTCACTTGGGAGAGAAAGTTTGGCAAAAGTAGGATTACTCATAAATAAGTCACACATGCAATTTTATACTGGGATTTTTAAAGAAGGGTAGTTTTCTCTTAGCCTTCCTTTGTTATTGGTTTGTTCACAGGTATAAAACCGCTGTGCATCAGTGTGAGATTTGCAAGAAGGAATTTAAAGGAAAGTCTAGTCTGGAAATGCACTTCAGGACACACTCGGGTAAGGAAACGAAACAGTCGGTGCATTTGTTTGTCGCCTATTATTTCATATGTATGAGGACAGAAATGTGTCGGTTAGTTGCTTTAGGGGCAAACAGTTTATCTCATAATATCCTGATGAAATACTCCTCAAGTTCATGAAGTCAATATTCTTACCAATCGATGATCTATTTAGAAGACAAGGAAATAAGATGTGGCATATTTGTTTATTGCAGGATAGCTAGTTAGCCCGTAAGAACCAAATTTGGATCCGTTCGGATCAGTTCGAACGTAAGCGCTGGATTGTTCGGATGCTTACTACAGAACGACATGCTTGGATAAACAACAGATGGGTTGAATGAATTAAAAAATAAATAAAATATGCTTCAAATGAATAAGAAGATATATAAATATGTGTTTATAGGCCTACCTCATACTTTGGAAGCCAGTTCATTTAAAAACAAATGACCCGGTTCACTCTGTTGAATACTATAAAGCGCCATTGGATTGTTAAAATGCTGCAATTCTTATCGAAAAACCCAAATTTGCATTAAGCAGTGAACAATACCCTTTGATTTCCTCTTGTGTTCATGGCAGGTGAGAAACCCCACACGTGTCCAGAGTGCAACCAGACATTTCGCATCAAGAAGACCTTGACGAAGCACATGGTGATCCACTCAGACGCCCGTCCTTTCAACTGCCCCCACTGCAGCGCCACCTTCAAGAGAAAAGACAAGCTCAAGTACCACGTCGACCACGTGCACAGCGCCCGTTTCAATGAGCAGCCCCACGGCACTGGGCCCGGGGAGGACAAAGAGGTCTCCGTTCCCTTTGGGGAGGCCTCTAAGGTGTACAGCGCTGAACCCAAGTCCGCCGTCCAGAGCGGCCCTTCCACTGCCCATGTCTGCGTGCCGGTCACTTTGGTCCCCGTCCAGATGGCGGGTGGAGCGCAGGGGGACCCGAATGCTCACAGGGCCTCTTCTCTTCCCTCACACAGCGCTGCGAGCATGCAGGCTCAGGGGCCGCAGCAGAGCTCCAGCTTCCAGGCGGCTGCAGACCTGGCCTTTTTAGAGAAGTACACCCTCACCCCTCAGCCCGCCAACATCGCCCACCCCGTGAGACCCGATCAGATGCTGGACCCCCGAGAGCAGTCCTACCTGGGCACGCTGTTGGGACTGGATTCAGCTTCCTCCGTGCAGAACATTTCCAACTCTGATCTCACACACTGATGCTCCTCAGCAAAACCGGATTTATAAAATAGGAAGAGAAGCTACTGTATTCAGCACCTAAATATATTCACAGTCCATAGAGAGGACGATCATGGAACGTCATTACAATTGAGATAAGCATGACCTGGTTAATGTTTAGGGGGATCTCCGGAAACTCACACCTTATTATAGATTAAATTAAATAGATATATTCAAGTACAAAAAGAATAAAAGTGTGGATTTAAAAAGGTGTTTTTCTGCTTTAGCTTTGGTAAAATTATGACAAATATTTTCAGAATATCTACAAGTGACAAAGGCCTTCTCCTACACGGATGACAAGCTCCTGCCCAAGTCGAGAAGAGGCTTTCTCCGCCATGTCCAGACCCTAACAAAGTCCCGGGAAGAAACCAGAATCCAACTGTGGATGGAGGAGCTTGAGAAAGACCCTTCAACTGTCGTGGAGTTAAAACCTTCCCCTGGCCCAGAAGCACCATGTTCCCAACTGACGATCAAAAGCTGCTCAGGCCAGATGGGCTACAAGACCTGTCCGACCACCTGTGAGTGTGGAGGAGCAGATACTGTGGAGCACTGCCCGCTCTGCCAACACAGACCGTGCTTTTGTCAATAAAAGTGCAAAGGACTGTAGAGAAATGGGAAACTGTCAGATAACCATCACACTTCGGAAGAGGAATCAGAACTCTATAAAAACAGTTACAGGAGATGAAAACAAATATCTGGAATGTCAAGGCTTGACAGGAATTTAAATTTTCAATTTGGATAAATGATTGTAGTAATTCATCCAGTAAAATTGAAATAATTTGTTTGATTATATATTTTTGATTTTGGTTTTAGTAACTTATGATAAATCACCTTGAACCCTGGATAAATGGCCTTACCACATGCAGAACTAAATATCCATAGGTTGTATAAAATATTCGCAAGTTGCGTCTTTGTAATGCTGATTAAACTTAAACGGTGGCCTCTAGGAAATATGTTTCCACTCATGCAGTGTCCCGTGTACAAGAACCTCGTTATGAGTACCAACAATGAATCCATGAAATTCAATTTTAAAAATGAAATCAGTGGTTATTCTGAAAATATGTTTAGAAACGTATAAGCGGAAAAGAGACAAACTGTAAAGTGGAATGAATGCTGCCGCTGTCAAAGACACTTCCTCACTTTTAATTGTTGGATATTGCAATTTCAAACAGTTAATATTCACGTTCTGAATGAGCGGCAATACTATTCTAAAACTTTGCCTCATAGCCAATAAAATCTGATATGATAATTATAATACTTGTAAGTGATAATCAGGTCTGTGAAAGACGGATAGGACGTACCCCCACCTGCAAGAGTCCCGTTACAGAGAAAGTGGATACGGATAGAAGTTCCATGGATGAAATTGTGGAACTTTCAACTCAAACACTGCAGACAACGTAGAAAGATTACAGCTGGAATCCCAAGAATTTATTTAGAACTTATTTTTGCATTATCAAGCCTACAAAGAAGTCTACACTACGTTGCTGTCAACAGATCGCTATGAGTAATCTCATTTCGCACACTAGCTGGATGTAGCCGGTCCTGAAGGTAGCAGATTCTTCCCCTTGGCGATGCAGCCTTAGCACACACCCTGTGTGCAAGAACAAAACAATGCAAATGCATAAGATGACTGAATAAACAGTAGTAGTGGGTCATGTGAAATGATGTCAGTGTTAATAAATCCTGACTAAACACTCACGGTCCTTAACTGCAGCCGGTTACAACCTGCAAAGAATCACATGGAAGCACAGCAGTGAATGTGGAGCAGCCTACTGACTCCTCACTGGGAGGGCGAGTCTGTCTGTTCTGTGCATTGTTAACATGTAAATATTTAATTTATCATATAACTGAATTACAAACACCAGTTTATTGTGAGACTCATTGAACAATTATGGATGAATCATTAACTGCTATAAAGTTACATTTATACTTACAGGCCGAAAATTCAATTCTTCCATCGGTGCAAACACCGTCGGAATATTGAACAAAGATGCCCGTTTCCTCACATTCCAGTCTCAACTTCTCACCATTCCCTACAAATTTAACGCCGTCACTTATGAATTTAGGATCTCGATCAGTGTCCACTGAACAGAAGTTTGCTGCACAAAAGAACCAACCGGTTAAACCTTCACACACCCCCAGTCAAGCTCTTTCACTGAATTTTACAGGTGACATTTTTTTTTTTTGTTTACCTTTGCAGGTGGGTACTTCTGACCACAGACCGTTGCTGTAACACACCACTTTCTCTGGTCCCACTAGTTTGTAATAATTGTTGCATTGGTACTTCAAAAACATTTCACCAATTTCCACAACATCACCATTAGCAACCGTGGGGCGTTCTGCACAATTTGTGACTGAAAAACACAAAAAAAGTTAAGCTGTCATAGCAAACTCACTTAAAATTGCATCACAGTTAAAGAAATACTACCCACCTCTCACCACAGCCCGTGTCCCTCTGTCATCAGATGTGGTGTGTCCTGATCCACCAAAACATACATTAGTACTGGAGTGTAATCGATAGTGACATTAGATAATAATAACTGATAATTGATACAAATACACAGATGGTGAAAGGACTCCACCTTCAGGTTGTGTCTCAGTGCCAGTGGATGTACCGCGCCCCCCACCTGCTCTCCCCCACACTGCAGAACCAGAGAGCACAAACATTCACTCTCATGGATCACAAAATGAGGCAAGGTCCAATAAGTAAATCTGGTTGTTAATGAAAACATGCAGAAAATAAAAATATTACATCTCCCAAAGACGTTACGTGTCGTGATGCAAGTTTCTAGTTTCAGCGGCCAGTCCTAATATATATCTAAGCATTACACACATTTTAAAAAAGCTTCAGCGATGTTTCATCTCTATTTTTTACCATCTCATGCATCCATCGCCAGTCATGAGTTGCTTATTGAAACAAAGCTCAAATTGTTTAGAAAAGGGTTTTTTTTGGAAGTAGGTTGTGCACCAAGAAAAGGAAACAGCAATCTGTGAACACATTTTGTTAATGAAGAAGACAATTGTTACAAGTAAACAATTAATTTCACTTGTTATTGTTCAAAAGTGATTCCCAAAAGTTTAATAAAAGATACCCTCACCATTCATTAATTATTTTCATGACAAAGTGTTATGCCACTTACAGCATGGTGGGCTTGGAATCCAGTTTCCAGATATGCAATAGAGAGATTCTTTGGAGTTTGCGGCATCCACAGAATATCCATCCTCACATTCATACTCCAATTCTGTACTGTCCGGAAAGATTTCCTGGTATCCCCGATGAATGATCACTGCGTGGGGGATTTGAGGAGGCTCCTCACATGAATTGATATTTTCTGCAAAGAGGCGAAGGATGAAATACTACTTGAATTGGTGTAGCTATGGGAACTCAAAAGGTATATTTATTGTTTTTTCAGCTTGGTGGTATGAAACATCTGACAGACTTACTCTCACAGACCAGCACAGGGGACCATGTTCCATTGGTACATGTGGTAGTGGCAGCGTTGCCTTTGAGGTCATATCCGTCAAGACATTCTATCCTCTTTTTGTATTTATTATTGTACCAACCACTAGTGGTTTCTTTTACATTGGGTATATGTGGTTCTATGCAGGCGGTTTCATCTGAGGAGGAAAGAAGGTGTTTACCATGGCGGCTCTATTTTTTTTATATTAGTCTAGCAACAAATATTTCAAAAGACTTTAAAAGCAAATGCTCCACTACCCTGAACCTGAAAAAAAAAAAATTCCCAAAGTTTTTCATTTATTGACATAAATATTGAACACCATCGTTCAGATACGTAACATAGTTTTTACTCCACGGTGTCTTACAGCTACAGATAGAGGCCGTCATCAATTTAAAGGTTTTATACATTGTACGAATACAATAAAGTTTTCCAAATAGCGTTGGAACAAAGACATTAAAGGTGACGGAGAGTTTACTGTTCATGCTGAAGACAGACTGAAGGCTTTCTGCGTCTCCGACACTCACCTATACATTGTGGTTTGGGAGACCATATGCCATCTAGACAAGTGCTTGTCGCCCACCAGCCCTCAACTGCTGGTTTACGTCCGTTATCGCAGCCATAGTAGAGCGTTGTTTTATGATCATAAGAGCTCTGTTCAGGGACCAAATATCCACCGTTCAGTTCGGGGGCTGAACAAGGCTGATCCGACGGCCGCACTGAAATACAACGTCAAATAAAAGTACATATTAATTTACAAAGTCAAGATGTTTTCAAGTGACATAACATATTAATGTTCTTACCATGTTGCAGTCGTTGAAACCAAACCAGGAGAACAAAGCCAAAATATCTTCTCCAACCCATTTTGTCACAAACTAAATCACCAAGACGAAGCAGAGCTGAGAGCCAGTTTACATGCAGCCAGTTAATCATTTGTTGAGGGCATTTCCCCCAAAAGTTAGGAAACAGTAAACATTGCGCTGAGTTACTCTCCTCATGCAGCACACACAACATGAACAACAAGCTTTGGGTGCTTTAGTCAGATCAGTAACATGCAGCAAAAACATGAAGGTTCTTCAAATACGTAAACAAAGTAAATGGATCAATATTATGTTCTGCTGTTGCTTCATTTGCACTTTGTTTTTAATCCGTTGTCCCAGTTTGTTACCCAGTGGACACATTCAAGAAGAGGGTTAATAATATTCTACAAAGCACCGCTCTTGTTTTTCCCCTTTGTTCACATGTTTAACGCAGAATGAATCGTTTTATTTGTCAGACATGCCGTGTTTATAAAGAAATCGATGAGTTAGTTTACAGTCCAGATTCCAATAGATAACCTGAAATAACCTGAACCTCGTCCATGCTTCAGAGGTCAGTATCATGAAGCCACAATACGCAGCAACTAGTAACAAAAGATGGGATACTGGAATCATGAAGCACGTTTTCATATTAGCTATTTCAATCCGGAGAGACTTGTTGAAATTTGAACAATGCTTTATTATAACAGGTATAATATGATATTGCAAGTTGTTTGGGGCTTGGACTCCATCCTGCTGCAGGATAGACCCGGGGCCGGGATCTCGAGCCGAGACGAGGCATATCCCCCCCTTTGGGAGTCCAGACACTGGTGGTGGTGGTAGAGCCCAAGTTGCATAACTCTCCTGCTATGCCAGGTTCTGCTGTAGATTGGAGGTGTCAGGGGTGGTGGCGGGTCACCTTTGGAGCGTGCTGAAATGACAACTGACAGCACAAGAGAGGAGAACAGTTTTTAACGTTTGCCTGCCCCAATGCGATTGGTTTACGGTAACGACACCCACGTCTGATACTACCCGACCCCGCCCCTAATCAGCTGGCTGTGCGCCCCCAGGGAGAAAGGAGGCCACCAGGGAGAGAGGAGGCCACCAGGGAAGGGCACAGCCTGTCCAGTCTTCCTGACTGAATTTTCGCCTAAGCTTCATTTAATACATTGAACAGTTTGTCATTGAGTCCCTGAGCTCTGATTCTTATCATTCAGTCCTGATACTAAACCTCTTAAAAACACATTTGCCTGATCCATACCTGTTTTTGCTAATCTGCTCTGATATCTATGTTATCACACTAACACGCTAAGAAAAGACAGGTAGATGTGCTTAAATACGACGACAAGCTAAATGACCACAGTGATATTTATTTTTAACAAATTTAAATGGCCCTTTGTGAAAGTATTCACAGACAGTCGTACACAGAAAAATAAACTCCATTGTTTATTCATGCAGGTCTTTACAACAGGACATCTAAAACACACCTATTATGTTACACGATTCAATCGGATGAGTTCTAAGAGTAAAGTAAAAGCTGTTCACAGCCAATACTTTGCTTTGGTGAAATGTGATACTCTCTTATTGTCTTGACAGAACTCGATACCATGTTGAGATAACAACACCATTTTGTCATTTTTACAATCAGGAATCACACATTTTTGGGTACAGTTGTTTTCCGGTGGAGCCTCTTGGCTCTGAAAAAGGACGATCCCACCATGCATCATCCTCTGTAACGCAACAGCAAGCTCCCTGGTTACAACACAGACAATAAGCAATGAATAATCCCAATAAATAATACAGTCCAATATTGAGTGATCTAATATTAAATATGTAAAACACTTACACGATTATGGTCATAACCTGTACAACCTATAAAGAAACAAAAAACAGCAGTGAATATTTCAGAAGGTAGTTTAACACACAGAAACTTTGTTACTGATTAGTCGGATTCATTGATTCAGTCGGTGATTGCTGCACCTACTGAAAGAAATCAGTTCACACAAGATGGGTTTCATCCCATATTTCTGGCTATGTGGACAGATTTATTTACAATTCCATTTTTGTAAGCATGTTTTGAGGTATTTAGGAGCCATGCACCGTGCTTTGTGTAGTCGAGGGGCAACTCGACCTAGTGTGGTCGAACAGGAGATGGTCGCATGGCAGAAACGGTGTGAACTGGCAGAGGCTTACAGTTTTTTTTGGATTGCTAAACGACAGCGGGCACAACTGGAGTTACATGTGCAAAACTCTAACTACAGTCTGCACAGCAGCAGTTCATGTGGACCAAACTCTAGTTCGTTTTTTAGTGCTTAAACACAGTTTTCAAAACTCTACACACTTATCCCATGACTTATCCACAACCTGCACAACACTGGATTTACAGCACTTTGTTCAAATGCTAAAACACTCACAAATAAATAGCCTAAATAAACATTGTGGAAAATTTAAATATAAAGACGATACTTAAATACTTACACAGGGTATAAATCATTTTTCCATTGATGCACGTAACCTTTCTGGAAACATCATCCCAAATACATGGAATAGAATTCTCCTCTCCTTCCTTTATATAGTAATTTACAGATGGTTTTAAATTGGCCAATCGAGCAGGATCCAGGAAGCAAAACGCTTCTACAAAATATTAAGAGAAAAGAAACATTTAAAGATTATATTTGGGGATATATGGTTGATATGCTTGGGGAGTAACCAACACCTGTATTGGTTATTTTATACCTTTGCAGATGGGTAAATGTGACCAGCGGCCATTGCTGTTACACGTCACGGTGTCTGAACCCACTAGTACGTAATAGGCATTACATTGGTATTTCAGAAACACAGCATTCCGCTCCACAACATCACCGTTTGCAACATGTTGGTGTTCTCCACAGTGTACGACTGAAATGTAATGAAGAGGTTATTTAAAATGTGACATTAACATGAACGTTTTCATTTAGTCAACCTAAAACGTGGCTGTAATTTGACTTAATTCGCATCTTTTCCAATGTGTGGTTCTCCTGCACCGCGGTGTTTCTCTCCACATGACGTCACCAGCTGTCCTCAACCAAAAGTTAGTGCTGTGATGATGATGAAGACAAAATCCCTGAATCTTTTCCCACCAATAAAACACTTAAGTGATATCCCAATTGTAGTTGTTGCCTTTCAAACCAAGTCCCAGACAGATTTAATTTAAATGCCCAGTAGCTGTACATTCAATTTCTGTTGTTACAGTAACTGGTTGGCAAAGTTTGCAAAAGTTACACCAAGTGAATACATCAACCGAGTTTTATACATTTGAGTTAAAAACAGGGAAGTTCATTGATTATTTACCCTTTGTGTATAACGGTTTAATGTCTCCCTCATTCAAGCCAGGGGTGGTAGACATTCCTGATAAAGGTAAGACATACAAGTTATTATTACTTTCTTTCTGATTCATAATAATGACCGAAATGCTTTACAATGACCCTTTTTAATGTTTTTATTGATAAGAAATGTTCATAACTTACCCCCAGTGTCCTGTTGTTTCTGACTGTCAGTTGAAACTCCAGCATTTCCAGCATCCGGTCTGCTGGCTGATGAGTGGAATATGAAAAGACATTTGATATATATGTATATATATAAAATATTTTTTGCTTTTTCATATGATAATGCGAAATGTACCAAAAATGATCAGGATTTGGTACATTTAGCATTATCATTTGAAAAAAGCACGACAATATTCAGATAACCTTTTCAAACGTTTAGAGAAAATCTAAGAATGTTCAGGGGACAAATCTGACATGTAGACTGAACGCCCTATGTGAATCTGCTGAATTATTGACGTTGTTTAAAAGACAAATGAACACATTGACAGCAAACATAATGTGATGTTCTTACCATGAAGTAATCTTGGAAAACAAGCCAAAAGAACAAATCCAAGACGTCTCCAGCACATCTTGTTGGATAAGAATCGTCTCCCCCACCAAGCAGACCAAGCAGCGCAGTGCAATTGAAAGCCAGTCAATAATTGATATGAATATTTACCCTAGAATTTAGGAATGCAGTAATCGCTCTCTGCAGCGGTCTGACGTCACGCTGCTGCAAGCAAACAAACACTTGCTGCATATTGATTTCAGAGATGAATTTATCTGATTAAAAAGTCATCAACGGGACAGTTTTTTTAGTTCTTGACCATGGATGAAACCACGTGGTGCCAAAGTTGTAGTTTAAATGCCAAACTATGGTTGCATATGTAACATTTCAGCAAATAAACAGCACTGAACAGAGCTTCTTCCATGCTTGTTTACACAGAACTGAACCCACTAAAGGGAGACGTCGTCTGTCTGGAGTCCAGATTTCAAAATGATTTCCCGGATCGAACTCGTGACGAAATTAATGATTAATTAATGATGGTAGTACTAATGATGATAATACAATCCGCCGGACACCGAACATGTGAGAGCAGTTATAGTTTGTCAAGTTTGCATTTCTAACCATTTAAATACATTTTTCAAATTGCCTCCAAAAAGTTTTAGGGTCAGGGTTAGTTTTCTTCATCCTTTCACAAATTTAACTTCAAGAGTAAAATTACAATTTCAAATGCATAACTTTGCCCTCAGTTTGCTCGGAAGCTATGATTAAAACTTACATTAATACTTCCTACAGTGCAGGGAGAACAGTTTAAACCCTTTCTCACAGAAATAATTAAACATTGATCAGAGATGATTATTGAACCATAACATTTCAATGTTTTGGAATTATTTTTATTTTATATATATATATAAATAAATAAATATAAATGAAAAAGACATTGCTTAGCAGCACACCTGTTAATATTCCAGCCTGTTGATTCTCCACTAAATACGTAAAGCGCTTTTCTAGTCTTCAGACTTCTCAAAGCGCTTTAATGCTTCGTGTCGTCGTTCCCTCATTCTCACCCTGATGACAGGGCCACCTGCTACCCAGGAACCAACACACACACAGCTACAGCAGCAATGTTGTGGCTAAGCGTCTTGCTGGATTTTTTTCTCTTTTCAGGGGGCATTTACTCACCTTCAATTGTTTACTACCAGATGAAAACGTAATGAACCCACTGGAAAAAAGTGGACAACTGGAAATACTAATAAAAATGAATATTAACAACCTACAATAGGCGGGAGACAGACATTTTTTTTCTCTGGAGGTTTTATTGTCAATTTAAGGTAAAGACTTAAAGCAATACTTTCCAAACTGTTTGTCCTCTAGCACAACACCAACAAAGAAGAAGAAAAAAAAAAAGAAAAAAAAAAGACTAACGTGGCCATTGCATGACCAAGAGAGATGCCGATCCATCAGAAAGACCGACTGGCTGCTCTAGCGAGCTCATCCCACGGAGTCGGAGCAGTGTAGTATTACGGATCACTTACCTGCTTCCTTCTCTCTGCTTTGGATCCAACAGGGTTCCATCATATGTACATTCAGACCAGACACCCAAAAGAAAGCAAAGTGTGAAGGAAGTCTCTTTCCTCAAACTCCGTGGCCATTTGGTTTGTACAAGAGTCATTTCCACGTAAACCGTTCAGCGTTTAATTCAAAATTCAATTTCAAAATCTTCTCACCGTGAACCAAACTGAAAACCTTCCTTTTCCTTCGACCCCGTCAAGTTGCTTAACATCCCATTGAAATAGTTTCCACAGTATATTGCCTTTTTTTAATATAAAACATATTTGTTTGTTTTTTGGTACTACATGAAAACATTAGAAAACATTGACAGCAAAAAAAAAAAAAAACATCCCCTCAATCTCCTCTCCAGTGTCCAGAGCGACGAATCCAGCGCTTTGCATCAGGACTCCTCCGGGATGTGCTGGAGGACGTCCACTGGACGTGTTCTCCTTCTGTGGAAGTGGGGATTATGTTGGGAAGTGGGATGGCACCTGCAATGAAAGGGGCTACGTCTGCAAGAGGTGGACCGAGGACAGTTGGAGCGGGGGGGGGGGATAGGCAGGGTCGAAGAATTAATTTGAAGGAATTCCGTGGATCGCTGCGTTGATCTGAGCTCAGAACCGGAGGTGAGCTTTGTGTTTCACCAAGTATCTGATAAATAGGGAAAAGAAGGGAAAATGGGTGAGATTTTTGCAACGCCGTCCACTTAATGAATATAACGCAGATGGCGGAATAATGAGATGAGAGAGGGGAGCGAATGAGCCAAATGAGGATACATGAGCATGCTAAATCCAGACGGACCTGTCCAGGGTTTCCCAAAAGCGCAGGAAGACGGGCCGGTCCAGATGGCGCCTGTGGCGGCTCAGCTCCAGCACGGTCACGTCCCACTTCTGCACGTTGGGGTCAGTCTTTGCCTCGTCATACTTCAAATGAAAGGCTCGGACTGGAGGGGAGACAATTGAAATGGTCAGTATTAAGTTAAAAGGCGTGTGTTGGTTAGTTCAAGGTGACATTCTTAAATGTCTTTGATTGCAAATCAAAAATTATTAAATAAAAGCTGGAAAAGATGGACAATCTTAAATGCTGAGGTAAATAAACATGTTTCTAATAGTCTTTATTTTCTATGTGACCAAGTGAGAATAAATATTTGTTATATTTGAGCCAGCGTCAGCATTACCCACCATAACAAAGTACGGTAATCATTTCAGCCATAACTACTCACTTTTGGCAAAAATGTCGACAGGAGAACCATCGGGCAGCAGCCACGGCCAGCCTTTGAACTGCCAGGCCGGACCCTGGACGAACACCGCCACCACCCGATCCCTGCAGGAAGACGCACGCATTGTAAAATGGGTTTTGCTTCAAGTCTGGTTAGGAATCTTTATGTTGTAAAAGTGAAAGTGAAGTGAAAAGTGGGCACCGTGAACCAGTAGCCCCTCAACCAAAAGGGCTAAGACGCATACACTGGATCTCAAAGGTTAGAAGCAAAGGAAAATGAATCCACTGAACGTAAACTGGATTAACATTCTAGAGAAAAGTTCAATATTTTCAGGGGTCCAGGCGATGGAGATGCTCACCAGTCCTGTGGAGCCAGTTTAAGCGGCTGATCGATGATGCGGTACGGCACAGTGACACTCAGGGTGGTGCCTCCGGGCTGGATCTGGTCTTTACGCCTCTGAAGCAGGACTTCGTTATCGCGCTGGATGCCTTGCTTCTTCTTCTCTTCTGGCGTGACGAACCTGGTGTTTCAACCGGAGTACGATTTTTTTTTCACAATCTCGCTCATTCAGCGATTACACTGCAGGCGGAGACAACGGTCAGAATACACACTTACTTAAGGTCCTGCAGGAGCTCCTTAGCATTGAGCATTGTGATGAGAGAGGTGGTGGCAGCGGGGATGATGACGATGGGTGTCCGGGAACCTGTAGAGAGAGTCGTGATAGTGCTTAGAGACGGGTCGGACAGTGAAGACAATAAATACAATGCATTTGTATGTCAGACAAGAGAACAATGAAAAACTCGTTTACTGCCTTATGCTTAGAAACTCCTAAAATGCCATTTACCTTTCTTCTGATTCGGCGGAGGTCTGGCTTGTGAAACTAAAGGAAACAGGAAACACATTTCACAGAGAGGTAAACGGACCAGTGGTACAGCTACACATACCGAAAGGGTATCGCAATAAACTGCCTTTAAAATGTCACTTCATTACTTTTCCTTATTATTTGTATAATTGGAAGATATCGTATCAAGCGGAGCTCCACTGTCTCTGCTGTGCAGCAAACATGCCAGTTAACCCCTAGTAGTCATCTACTACAAACACTGATGCTGCTTTGTTGTGCGCTCACATGTTCTGCGCCTCGCATTTCCTACGCAGCGAAAAAGACCTTGGATTCTTCTCTACAAAACAAAAGCCTCTTTCCAAGAGGACGACTATTTCCTCCAGGAAACATGTTCATACTTCCTGTGGTACGGTCATGTGTGGCAGTTAAGTTACACAGACTGTGGCATTAGAAGTTGTTTGACCCAACCCGAGGTAATTAGTGAGTGTATGAAACCTGGTTTTATTAGGTGATGTTTTGACATGTACTTGTTAAAAGTACCACTCCGTTGACCGGAGTACGTGAGATGCAAACCACCGCTGTCAACAACGAATCGCGGTTTGCATTTGAGTACTTTAAGTAGGTGTGGTTGGCCTTTGTGTTTCTAGATTCTGGACTGGGTTTCTAGTGAGTGAGGTGTGTGTCCGTATGGTTGAATGCACTGCAAGTCGCTTTGGATAAAAGCGTCACCTAAATGACATGTAGTGTAAACTAGGCTGCACACTGAGGAAAGTCCGCTGCAATAACAGATTTCCTAAAAAATAAAATAAATAACACTTGTATAACGCTCCAATTCTGTTGGATTGCGCAACCTTTACCAAAACATTGTATTACAACGTAAGCACACAAGTGCACACGTCAACTTGGGCACCAACCTGGTCGCGGGACCGGCTGCAGCGCCGGGGTCTGGGCCTTCCGAGCAGATGCTCCTTCCTGGAAAACACAACATCTTACTAATAAATGTACTATTCCTCCAACCGACTGCTGAAACAACACAACTCATTGAGACTGACGAGGGAATATTAGGGGTGGGAATGGAAAACAAACATTGTTTCAGCACAGAGTGCTGGATTTATAACAAAAAACGACGAACAAGAGCACCAGGAAGAAAACAGAAATTGGCATAATAATTATTTTATCTTTATTATTTCACAGGGTTAAATAAGTCTGAACATAATTTGAGTTGAGTGAGGATATTTGTGATCAATCTAAAATGCAAAAGATTTAAATGTGACACGCAAGAGACCAAAAGATCTTCGTATCGTGCTTAGAAAAAAAACAAACAAACAATGTAACTGAATATTTTACTGGAGTCATTTAGACTGTCTCCATTATTTGCCCCTGAGAAAAGGAAAGAAGGCCGGATTACAATTCTGACAACCGTTGCACGAAAAGTTCACAGACCCACTACTTATAAATTATTTAGTGAATACATGGCGCTTCAGTAACACACACAGTGCAAAGTAAGTTCAGGTTGAGTAACGAAGCATGAAACTTGAAAGCGTCAAGAACCGAAAACACTGCACAGGAAGTATTGTGAAGAAAGACTCCGGTCAGCGATCATGGTGACAACCACGTAGGGAGCGACTGCTGGGCGGAACGCAGGTTGTGATAACGCTGCATTGCATTAGCCTCAAGTTAGGCAGTCATTGCACGGTTTTCCATTCGCACGCAAATGTGAAGCTAAGTCTAACCGTCTTATACGGAGAACATTTAATCATGTCAAAGGCGGACAGAGCGCAAACAGAAACACCCCTCTTCCTCCCGTCCATGCTGCGGTAGAATTAACATGACAAGCAGACCTCCACGGCTGAAAGAGCGCAGCGGGCACTTTGCTGTCCTTATTTGATTTACAATGATCGTCCCACACAAGAGACAAAAGAAGGGGCCTTTTGTGTTTCGCTGTCCAACAATTGTTGGTATCCGGGTGTTTTACAGCCATTCAAATGATGCCGTGAGCAAACATTGACGCGCCAACATGCCTCTTACTCCGCACCACACGGCAGATTGCGAGAATGCTTAACTCCTTTCTGGGGAGTGGGCGTGAATACAAATTGCCCCCCCCCCCCAAAATCAGGCGGCAACAGCTGCAGAAACGGGGTGACGTGGTGGGAGAGCAAAGCCGTCACCAGGCCAACAGCCGCCTCAGAACGAACACTCCTCTTTATTATCCTCCTCCTCCTCCTTCCCCCCCCGCTCTAACGCAGACAACCCAGCGACGGCACAGAGCAGAGCGCGCGGGGAGGGTGAGAAGAGGCACATGTGGGGGGAGTGGGGGGCGTTAACATGAGAGCCTGTGACTAAAAGACAAAGAGCGAGGAGAAAAGAAAAAGAACGAGAACAGAAAGAGTAAATGCTCGGAAACCGAAGAGAGACGCGAGAGGCTTGTGCATCATCCACAGCCGCGGCTCGTCTGACGAGACACAATCCGACCAGCGAGGACAGTGGAAGGACTCTGCGGCTACCGTCCAGCCTCTGGGGACAACAACGGCAACATGGCAGCTGTGACACATGTTTTGCACATGTGGCAGCCCCATTTCACCGCCATTCTGACAAACAGCCTTATGGAAGCAGGATCGTAAATACATGGCGGTTACTGCGGTTCCAAGGGGTGAGTTAAAAACGGCAAACGCACATCAAAACAACGCTGACTAAAGGGGGGAGGGTGCTGCTGCTGAACCGCTGAGCAGCTTGCGGATGCATTGCTCTACAGGATGTGGAGGGTGTGCCTCGACTAAAAGGAAACGGGTGCGTCAGCTGACCAGCAAACAGACAGAGACGGAGGTCTTCGGCATGTCAGTCGCCACAGAACACGCTTTGTGCTGCCGGGGTAATTTGAAAACGTTGTGTGTATTTCGGGAAGAAACTCCATTTGCGAAGCCTGAAACAGCCCGGCCCTCCCGGCACCGCTCCCCCCCCCCTGGATGCCGAACACACAGTGTTGAGTTGAGGGAGCGTATTCGGTTTGTTCTCGCCCCAGAAACAACAGAAGCTGAACAGAAAGAGAAAGTGGCCTAAGACGGCAGTCTCTGCTGAACAAGCTGAAAAAAGGAGCTTCTATAATAGTCTTTGGGGGTTAGCATGCTGTAAAAACACTACAATCTTTTTATTTTGGGTCTTTTTGGCATTTTGATCTAGAGATTTGTGCAGTGATGAGTCAAAGCAGGAAGGAAAGTGTATTTTTAATCCATATTAGGAGTTTAGAAAGAAAAAAAAGGGGGGGGCCGAGGGGGTTACTGATGATCTCTCAATGTTTATAAATTTTGTTAGCAGACGGCTTTGGATTTACACATCGAGCAATACAGAGCGACATTATACATTGAGCTGCGTTTCTGGCTGCATGATGAATCCCATCATCTTTTCAGCTCTGTTGTTGGACTTAACCAATCATTTCCCTCTTCTTACTCAAATAGGTTCCCTCCTCTTTGGTCTTGCAGAGAATCAGAAGACACGCGACCACAGAGAGGACTGACACCGCTCTCCCCCAATGAGATACGAGTCAATTGATTACATGGAAAACGAGCAATCGAGAGTGGGGGCCGAGTTCCTGAAGCAATTCCCCACATACGCACGCCTTCCATCCCTTCCAGGGGCCAAGGACTAGCGAGCGGATTGTCATTACAAGCGTCCGAGGGAAGCAGCCCTGCTGCAACAATGCAGTGGAGACGACGCCATTGCTGTGCGCACACGGCTAAATTTCTCTACCTCCTCTCACTGTTGGGTCTGCTGGTCTTTCTGGTCCACCAGGTGTGGCTGCCCAAGCTCACGGGGAAGCCGTGGGGGGGAGGCCATCCTTTGGTGTCCTTTGGCGGCGATGAACTTCGCGCCACCAGACCCGAATGGAACCTGAGCGCGCCGCAATCGGCATGGCGGTTCGTCCGCGTTCCTCGGCAGGTGCTCACATCCGACGCCAACGTCAGTTCCCCCGAGAAGGAGGGTGTCCGGTCTCCTCAGGGAGACGCGGGTTTGCAAAACACTAGCACAGGTGTGGAGGGAGAGCTCGGCGGCGGTGTGACCCACGGCCCTTTCCCTTACGTCATCAACGAGCCGGACAAATGCGCCGGGGGCAGAGCGGCACCGTTTCTGGTGCTGCTTATAGCCACGGAGGCTCGGCAGGTGGAGGCGAGAAATGCCATCCGGCAGACATGGGGCAACGAGAGCGGCGCTCCCGCCCAGGGACTCGTCCGGCTGTTTCTGCTGGGGACGAACGAAGGAGAGCTGGGACTTTTACAGCAAAGGATGCTGGAAGCAGAAAGCCGGAGGTATCGCGACATCATTCAGCAGGACTTTGTGGATTCCTACAAAAACTTGACCATGAAGACACTGATGGGAATGAACTGGGTGGCAGTTCACTGCCCACAAGCTGGCTACGTCATGAAGACGGACAGCGACGTCTTCGTCAACACAGAGTACCTCGTTCACAAGCTGCTCGGCCCCGACCAGCAGCTGAGGAAGAACTACTTCACGGGCAACAACATGAGAGGCTACGCACCCAACCGGAACAAAAACAGCAAGTGGTACATGTCTCCGGAGCTGTACCCGAGTGACAAGTATCCCACCTTCTGCTCCGGGACCGGTTACGTCTTCTCTGGAGACCTGGCGAGAAAGATCTATCGGGTATCCCTGCGGGTCCGCCGATTGCATTTGGAGGATGTGTACGTGGGAATATGCCTGGCTGAGCTCCGGATCGAGCTCACTCCTCCACCCAACGAGTTCCTATTCAACCACTGGCGCGTGTCTTATTCCAGCTGCAAGTACAGCCACCTGATCACGTCACATGGGTTTCATCCCAATGAACTGCTTAAATACTGGCATCATCTCCAGAGTAACAAACGCAATGCCTGCATAAACACAGCGAGAGGAGGAAGGGCAACTTTAATGCAATAAACAGAGACTCAGCAAATTCCTGGGAACATGTTAAAACCGCTGCATAAAAGGTTGTGTAAAAGCTGATGTCTGCTTTGTGCTTTTTGTCAAATATTTTGTACCAACCAGATGAAACATTTTCTGTATGTTTGAGTCAAACCATTGGAGAGTTAATGGGCACCATAATATTTTACAATGTTTCACTGTGGTGCAAAGTCATAATTTTGTCATAATGCAAGTTGTGTTTCGTACATTTTGCCTTGCAAATACAGGCTGCACTAAAACCAAATAAATATAAATAAAACAAATATTCCCACATCATTTCAAAAGACATTAAAACATGAATTATGCTACTAGATGTCAAATTGCTGACAAATCCATGTGGGACAAGCTACTTTTTGAGTACAAAATATATTTCTGGGAATTGCATTTGAGGACTTGTGGCACTAAATACTTATTGCTTTGTTTGATACAGATGCTTGATTGTGTGCCTAAACATTTTACGTTTAAATCACCTGTAATATGAATATAACAACTAAGTGGGTAAAATCTAAAAAAACAGTGTCTAGAACAATTTGGAGGTTTATAAATATGTATTATACTGTAATGAAGCCTTGTAAAGCAGGAAAAGACAATTTGGAGATGCTACAATACCAAAAAACGAAGGCAATACCTCGATCTGTTGCAGAGCCCTACATTGAGGCTTGGATTAGCAGCTTGTCTAGCAGATCACAATAAACTATAAATGGAACATCTGGATTGTGCAAAGTGACTTCAGGGTCAATCCACTCTGGATTAGTCTAAAAAAAAAAAAACTGCAAATGTTTCATAGTCAGCATTGCTTAAGACGACAAAGTCTGCGGTCTTTCACACACAGAGAGCACATTGTGTCTTGGATCAAATGAAAGTAAGATGTTTGTGGGTCACTGTCCGGCTAATGGTAGTCTACATCTAAAAGCAAATACCAGCATTTGGGTTTTGCCCAGACCCCCCCCCCCCCTCCCACCGCTTGTCTTTGTTTATCTAACTATGTATTCCCGCTGTAAAGAAGGAAAACTTTAAGTAGCCTTGAAGCATAACACTGTGTTTTCAATGAGTCTCCTGCTTGCAGTTAATATGTAATAAATGATTTTACGCTTTTGGCGAGTGAGCATTTTTCTAACAATTAAGTCGTCTAATCTTCAAACAGCCAGGTTTTGTTCTTACCGTCACTGACTTCAGGGTCATGCCGTGGTAGGTTCCCATGGTATCGATCTTGAAACCCTCCGTTTCTGTGAAATAACACAGGGGAAGTTCTTGGTTACTGGCAGAACAAAACAGTATTTTCAAGTGTAATTAAATCGAATGCCTGAATATGCAACTAACCAGATTGATTATTGGAATTGAAAGATGCAATCAAAACAAATATTCACTACTCATTTTTAGTTGCATGTCCTTTTTATTGTGTTTATTTTTCTGAAAAGTACAATCCCTGTAAAATGCAACCGAAAATGACTGTTGACGGCTGACAATGTGACTGAGAGCACAAGGTGACAGGAGGAAACAGCTGTGGGACTTTTATTGTCTGCAGGCCAGAAGATCTCTTCAGCACGACCATATTATATTTAAAAAAAGATGCAGACTGCGAATGTGTAAATTAACACGCTCATAATATTGCTGCCCCTTCAAGGGCATGAAAAAATGACTGATTACATTCAGGCACTCTGAAGTTTCTGGGTTAAGATGCTAAAATGTATTCTGACTGAACAGAACTATCACAACACTCATTGGGGAAATTATAGCATTTATGATCATTTAAGCATTATTCTTCCAGCTGCCCCCAGGCGCTGTAAAAATGTAATATAACAACATCGTTCAAGTTGTAAGCAGGCTTACTATCATGTTATAATCCCAAACAGCATGAATAAAAGCACCAGTAGCAAAGCGCTGCGTGGAGATTACAGGTGCACAACCCCGCTCTGTCGCACAACACGCAGCTGAAGATGATTAGGGTGTAAATTTGATAATCACGTATGCTAAAGATGACATAAGCAGGTTGTTGTTGCAGTTTTGGAAATGTAATTCATGGTGCTGTTAGATTACCACTGCATGGCCCCGTCTTTGTATGTGGGAGACCAAACTGCTGTGTGGAGGTCTCACACAGGTGTGAATCAAATCAAAGTTATGTTGACGCCCAGATCAATGATCAGTTAACAATGTTTTCCTTAAATGCCTCGCACACATGCAACTCTTTTAAACCTTTTGGATAAAAATTAGCTACAGAAGCACAGAGGAAACTCACCCTCTTTTCCTTTGAATCGCTCCTGATCGTATCTGTTGTAGGCAGCTGGGACGGGCTGCTTGTTCCTTAGGGACGGGTCCTGGAAACAAAAACATAACATTTTTTAAAGACATTGCATTGAAAATCTGTTCAATTGGTTAAGATATATTATTTGACAAAAAGAAATGGGAAAATTAACAATTTCCCAGTTCCCAGTAAATTACTGACATATTCCGTTTACATGCACACACAGAATTCTGTTCTCACCACTTGGGTCGTGTTCTGTGCGGGTCTCTGCTCTGGTGCTCGCCCTTCTTCTCTGGCTTTCACTGACTGAAGGATGGCAAAGATGTTCTTGGAGAAGTTCTGCAGAGGAGCAGTACAGAACAAAATTATTATCATTTAGTGAACACCACCCAGGTCTGAGAGTGCCAACCTGAAGATTTCAGTGTAAAACACTGTACCACATGAAACCGCTCTTCATTAGGATTAAATTTAAAACACACCTGGCTAGTAATTAACATGAGCCTTCACATTTTCTATTCAATATTACATATGAAAACATTGAATACCCTGTAATGCACAAGATACCAATATATTAGAGTTCAGTCAGACGTAAGTCTTCAGGCAACAAAGGTGATCTGAACAGCAGTGGGACATAACACTGAATTAATATTGTGAAAATGAATACAAAAGTTGTCCATTTCAAGGTTTCTCAAAAAAATGCTTTTTTTTTAAAGCAGTGGTCAAACGGAGCGAGAAATGTCAAAACTGATAAATAAAAAATCGTGGTGAGAGAATACATCAGGACAGTGGTAATTGCTCCAAGCATACAGCCATTAAATACTATAATGGTTAGGAAAGAGCATATTAAAAGTCCTCCTGTTTGCCTGTGAATATGTATTTTAAATACAAACTCTGAAAAATATTCTATTGCTGCCATCTAGTGGTGGAACTCGTCACCTCACTTGATTCGGTATTTACACAGTTGGGCTATTGTGAAGTATTTCCCACACTCAACCCCATTGTCCAAGGGAGTTCAGCAGGATTGCGTAAAATGTGTACAGTATCAACCTACTCAAAAGTGCCTTGACAGTGTGAATCGTTAGAAATGGCAATATTTTTCAAAATTGCTATCAAGAAAGAAAGAACATTGTTTGCATAGAAGTATCCTTGTGGTTCGAAGGTCAGTGGACTCTGACCTTCCCAGTGCTCTGGAGGATGGTTGTCCTGGTCCTCCAAACTCTCTCTCTGCTGACGATATCTCTAGTGACATCCACCTCAGCGTCCACAAAGCTTCTCTGCTTCAGGGTTATGTCATCATCCAGATCCGTTTTGATGGTGGATCGTTTTTTCGCCATAATCTTGGCTTTAATGGCTGCGATTTTCTCCACCGACATGGCCTCAGACAGTGACCTGAAAAAGAGAAGTTAAGACCTTGATCAGTTAATACTGACACTGAGGTATGTTGAATAGAGATCACAATTAATCTGAATGATTAACTATTATGAATGATTAACTATGATTAACCCGCACTCTCCGCTCTGCATCTGCAAAACTACTCGTCCCTCCCTCACTGAGAGCAAAACACTCGACTAGGTCTCGACTCTTCGCTGTCCTTGCGCCGAAATGGTGGAACGCGCTCTCTGAAGACACCAGGACCGCAGAGAGCCTTCACATCTTCCGCCGCAAACTAAAGACACACCTCTTCAGACTCTACCTCGACTAAAGACTAACAAATTGTAGCACTTAAATTGTACTTGTGACGTCACTCATCTATAGCAAATTGTAAATTCGCTTATTTGAGGAAATTGCACTTTCTTGTTTCTTGTTCTCCTGAGTTTGTACCCTATGGTTGAATGCACTTATTGTACGTCGCTTTGGATAAAAGCGTCAGCTAAATGACATGTAATGTAATGTAATGTAATGTAACTAATCAACTTTGGGAAGATAATGGCCAGGAAGCCCATTATGCATATCCAGGGGTTACAAGTCCATTATACCTGATCTGGTCAGTCTGCACGATGCCCTCTTTGTGACCCTCCAGGCGGGCAGCCAGTCGCTCCTTGTCCAGACGCACTCGTTCCTCATCCTGAAGAGGTAAGCAGTGCACACAACATCAACAGATTGCTGAATATTATAAGATGCAACAATAGATCCCCATGGTTTGCCCAAAGAAATGTTTTGCTAATTGCAAAAAAATACCGTTATCAATTACAAAAAGTACAGAAGGAACATTTCTGGTTTCTACCAATAAACTGTAGACTAAATGGACAATCAAACCTTTCAATATGCACCAGATAGAGAAACTACTCCAGAGCTCCACAGACCAACATTTGGGAGTATCGTGCTAAAGAAACTTTTGTGGAAGAGATTCATCAGTTTACCTCAATCCTGGGTTTTTTGGCTTCAGAAGATACCTCATCCGCTGCCCTTTTCACTATGAAGCAGAACAGTGGTATTAATTCAAAGCACCACGTTCCATTTGCTTTCATAGCAACTCTCCAGCCTGCCGACTACATCGACATTCCTAATACACATCTAATAGAAAATATTTTTGAAAATGTGACCCACTAGGAGGATTAGCAGAAGATACAATTCACTAAGTTGCAGCAAAGACTGCAATAACAATACATCTGTTCACGCAACAGATATGTTGTGAGCTTACCTTGCGTTGGCCTTTGCAAACCTATTTCTATGGGGGCACTTCTGTCGATACTTGTTGATGTAGCTATGAAAAGACAAAATAAGAAATGGCATCAATTAGTTACCGTGTAAACCAACTACAGTCAAGATCCTCCTCGTACGGCTTCATCAAAGTTACTTACAACTCTCCCCATTGAGATACGACAGTAAGCCTTTTCGATCGGGTCGTCTGACAACCGGGATGTTCTCGGTCTATCAACGGCATAAAAGGATGTCACACAAAAACACTTCTGGGGCAAAAAATTGGATTGAAATTAAAAGTCGTTAAGAGGCAGAAAAAGAGGATCAATTTACAGATTGCCCTCAAATAGGCACATTGAGGCACTGACAGGTTAAGGCACTTTGATGGTTTCAGTCACTTACTGCAGCTCTTCGCACGTAGGATGGATGCGGAAGATGCACATTGTTGAGCAAGAACAAGATAGAGTCCAAAGTATAGTACTCTTTGGGTTGCCCCTCTTTGCCAGTACTGAGGGTAGAAACAAGAGAGAAAAAAACATTTGGAAAGCACCCAAACCTCAACATTTCATCGTCATAGAACATGACTCATGTGCAGGTTACACCTTAAGTTAAATCTTCAGTGTAGAAATCCTTAATACGAACCTAAAGTAACGTTAAGTTTACTTGCTCAAAGTAACAAACACTGGATTCAAAATCAAATGGACGCAGAACTACGTTGCAGTTAACGTCAATAATTGGTGACTAAAGTTAAACCTTCGGCAACAACATTTTTGGCGTTACATGACCAACGTTGCCTTAATCAAAGTTGCTATTAGTTATAAGTGATATCACGAGCAAAAGTAACGTATACTCGCTCAATCCACTGGAGCCCTGACTCAATGGGAACACAACTCAAGGATCGGCAACGCTCAGGTTAGCATCACAATGCTAGTACACTTAGCTAACAGTAGATCTCTCAATAACAAGTTTAAAACTACCATTACATACAAACTAAAACAGATCTCTGCTAAGTGTGACGCGTTTTAATTTAGACACAATATCTATGTAAAACGCCAAAGTTACCAAAGAGTGCTTAAAGTTTCATGTAACGTTACAACAGTGAGGAGTCGAGTTAGGTTAGCATCTTAGCATCTAGCTAGCGAGCCTTCCGCAGTTAACGGCACCAGAAGGCACCTATGAGCTTGAGCCTTCAGGAGCGATTGAGAGCTAGTTTGGCACTGACATACCCCCAGATTATGTAGTTGGTCTTCACATTTTTCGGCCAGGAGAACTCTCCAAATATAACTTCATCTCCTTTAGCGACGATTTCTTTTTTCTGGATGTTATACAGACGGAGAACACTCAACACGTCCGCCATCTTCACTTGTCCTGATGTAGCGCGTCAGCGAGGCCCCCAGTTATCAACACCAGGTGGCCTCTCGACTGCCTGATCCGTTTAAAACTTCAAAGAATGCCCGTCAAAGCTAACATAATTAATTTCTTCGTGTTTTCCAGATCGAATAAAAATATACGGTGTTAGTATGGATGTGATTGTTCAGTGGTGTATCAAACCAAAAATAAAATGTAAATTTCCTTTAAGACAAAAAACGACATTATTTGAAAAGCAGCTAATTGTTTATTAGGGGTTTACATTGCCACTATATTCAAGTACTTACCAGTTTGGCCCCATGGATGCAGCAGACAATAATGAATCATGGTGGTGAGATATTTGTGATCTACCATGATACGTCTTAATATAAATATAATGTGCTTCAACTATGACAATTGTATTAATGATCCAATAAACAGATGTTAAATAAATTAGGATGAATAGGGTTCAGTGTAAAATATGAGAATAAGTCAATTTCTCCAAATTAGACAACCAACTTTAAGACCCAGAGATTGACATTATTGTTTAAATAAAGACAATTTTAAATAATCCTTCCAAAAAAACAGATCACATTTAAGAGCAACAATGATATTCTTTTATAGGATACAGTCGACAAAGTGCAAACAGACAACTCAGTTAAAAAAATAAAACTGTCAATGGGGAAAATAAAATGTAAATAACAAAAAGGGTTCCTAAAGGCCAAAAAGGCAAGAGTTGTGACATGAATATTACTATAAGAAACATTTTCAGTTTAAGTAACTTAAACTACTTTTCGCAGTCAATAGAATACATTAGTTATTTGACTTAAGGTGCTTTGTTTCACTTCCCGTATTTCACACTACATATGTTCATAAGTTATAACAATGCTACATAAGTCCCAGGGACAGGTTTTCAAATTCAAAATGTTACATACAACCTTCTAAAATCATACAAGGAACCACTGCAAGTCCTCATAAAGTAAACATATGTTTTCACTAAGCCTCAAACATGGACGCTTACGTTATTCCTCTTATTAAATCTGCCAACATATCGCTATATTAGGGCAGAAGTTAGTGTACAATGCATGCCGTCTCACTAAGAACCATCAATTTTAAACTCTTTCAAAATTATCGGAATATAAATGTAGAAAGCATTTCCAGTGTTGTCCACCCAGCTGAGAACGTTGTCAATTGACTTGTAAGTTACAGGATTTAAATACGTAAATCGGAATAGTAAATGACAAACATTATTTGGGTTAGTGCTGTTTTAGGGGACTCTACATGCCGAGTGAGACAAACTAGTAGACCGTGAAACATTCTTTTGTGCGCTAACGTCACGAATAAGAGACAGAGCAATTACTTAACTAGATCAGATCAAGGGATAGGTTACGAATGACACTCAAAGCTTCAAGGTCAAAGCCAAAAAGAAATACGCACAATCAATGCTTATTTCCTTTTGGTCTTTGATTTTGCAAAAAGCATATGTAGGCCTGCTCTTGTTTACTTAAAAATTGTCTCTTCAAAATGTTTTATTACTGATGGATGCCAGTTTGGGCTCCAAATGTTACACCTTCCTTATTAAGATGAAAACAACATTTCAAAAGGGAGCTGGGGACAATTTTTCAGTAACAGCCATATTCACAGAAAATGTATTGTCTCTTAAGAGATCACCGAAACATCAGCATTGACAGAAAAGGAATCTAATCCTGTTTGCTTCATTTGTGCCCGTCAAAATGAACTCTGGAAAGATAATTGCCTCATACAGAAAGTCCATTATGTGTTCACAGCCGGGACAAGTCCATTATCGCTGATCGGGTCGGTCGGCACGATGCCCTCTTTGTGGCGCTCCAGGTGGGAAGCCAATCGCTCTCGTTCCTCATCCTAAAGAGGAAAGCAGGCCACACGACATCAACGGATTGATGAATAATATAAGATGCAACAATAGATCCCCATAATTTGCTGGTTGGGCCACAAAGAAATGTTTTTCAAATTGTAACAAAATGTATTTATTAATTATAAAAAGTACACACAAATCATTTTTTTGTTTTTACCAATAAACCAACTAAATGGACAATCAAATGATTCAATACTGTAACTAATGAACAAATCTGAAGCCAAATCTTTGACCTGGGATGCAAAATGTTGGTTGTGCTGATATTTTTATTTTGGCCAAAACTAACCTCACGACGGTCTAAACCCAGCTCACGTTCCCTATTAGTGGGTGAACAATTCAACGCTTGGTGAATTCTGCTTCACAATGATAGGAAGAGCCGACATCGAAGGATCAAAAAACGATGTCGCTATGAACGCTTGGCCGCCACAAGCCAGCAATTTTGACACCTCCTGCTTGAGCTGGGTTTAGACCGTCGTGAGACAGGTTGTGTATATTTTTTCCACCTAATTGCAAAGAACATTATGTCAATAATGGAACACGTAGGCCTATTAATAGATAAAGGAAAAATAAATTAAACACACAAGTCATACATGTTAAGCCCCTGTCAAGTAAAAGAGAATTTTATTTTAAAGTCTTTTTCTTCCAAAACGCTTGACGTCCCAATTTAGTGCATCTCTTCCTTGAGCCGAGAGTTCTGCAACACTACAATGCACTGCTTAATCACCACAGTGCTTCCACAACCATTTTACTGTCAGTAAATGAAATGAGTGAAATAAAATGAAATGAATGAGAATGTGGTGTGAAAAAAGAACATTGTTTGCATAGAAGTATCCTTGTGTTTGGACATTATTATCCTCAAGTGGACTCTGACCTTCCCAGTGCTCTGGAGGATGGTTGTCCTGGTCCTCCAAACTCTCTCTCTGCTGACGATATCTCTAGTGACATCCACCTCAGCGTCCACGAAGCTTCTCTGCTTCAGGGTTATGTCATCATCCAGATCCGTTTTGATGGTGGATTGTTTTTTCGCCATAATCTTTGCTTTAATGGCTGCGATTTTCTCCACCGACATGGCCTCAGACAGTGACCTGAAGAAGAAGAGAAGTTAAGATCTTCTGAAAAGTTCACTGCTTCAAGGAACTGGTCTGTGGGTGTAGTTATGTAGTGAAACATGGCATCCAGCAACATTGATCAGTCAATACTGACACTGAGGTATGTTGAATACAGATTAGGGCTGGGCAGAACGGCCAAAAAGAGATTCTGACGGTATCCCGGTATTGCTTTAAGTAAATTCATCAACCCCAAAATGGACCGCCGGCTACCCGAGCAGCTGTTCGACGCTCGCTGGTCAACTTGCTCGCAACTGGCCTGCAAGCTTGTTAGCGTGTTATGGCCACCAGAGGCTCGACAGACTTTGCAATAACTCTTTTCTGATCTAATGTAACTTACGTTGGATTTTCCAAAACCAAAAACCCTCCAAAACAGACACATCTTCGCTCTTGCACAAGTGCACAAGTTGTGTTGGTGCATCTCTGGTCTCTCGTTGTTCCTCCTGTATCGCTCTTTTGCGTGTTTTCATGTAGGAACAGAGTTACTTCATGTTGTGAGCTGTACCAAGTATGCAGTTCGGCGGGCTAACTTTTATAAATGTACAATTATTAGTGTTTTCCAAATTGTTTATGTGTCACTCCGCGTGTTTTACCCTGTTAAAAGAGTCTTTGTTGTGGGTTATTCATTGTTGTTAGAACCATGACTCAATCTCAACACACATAAAACAAGTAGCTCCGACGGCTGGACGCTCCTCGATAACGGGACGATGATTCTGCTGCCTACCGAAGAGCAACGTTAGTTTATACCGCTACGTGAGAAATTCATACAGTATGGAAACCTCATACCGACATACTGTTAGAACCGGTATACCGCCCAGCCCTAATACAGATCAATTAATCTCAATGATTAACTAATCAACTTTGGGAAGATAATGGCCAGGAAGCCCATTATGCATATCCAGGCGTTACAAGTCCATTATACCTGATCTGGTCAGTCTGCACGATGCCCTCTTTGTGACCCTCCAGGCGGGCAGCCAGTCGCTCCTTGTCCAGACGTGTCTTGTCTCGTTCCTCATCCTGAAGAGGTAAGCAGGGCACACAACATCAACAGATTGCTGAATATTATAAGATGCAACAATAGATCCCCATGGTTTGCCCAAAGAAATGTTTTGCTAATTGTAAAAAAAATACCGTTATCAATTACAAAAAGTACAGAAGGAACATTTCTGGTTTCTACCAATAAACTGACTAAATAAACAATCAAACTTTTCAATATGCACCAGATAGAGAAACTACTCCAGAGCTCCACAGACCAACATTTGGGAGTATCGTGCTAAAGCAACTTTTGTGGAAGAGATTCATCAGTTTACCTCAATCCTGGGTTTTTTGGCTCCAGAAGATACCTCATCCGCTGCCCTTTTCACTATGAAGCAGAACAGTGGTATTAATTCAAAGCACCATGTCCATTTGTTTTGTAGCAACTCTCCAGCCTGCCGACTACATCGACCTTCCTAATACACATCTAATAGAAAATATTTTTGAAAATGTGACCCACTAGCAGGATTAGCAAAATATAGAATTTAATAAGTTGCAGCAAAGACTGCAATAACAATACATCTGTTCAAACTTCATGCAACAGATGTGAGCTTACCTTGTGTTGGCCTTTGCAAACCTATTTCTATAGGGGCACTTCTGTCGATACTTGTCAATGGAGCTATGAAAAGACAAAATAAGAAACGGCATCAATTAGTTACCGCGTAAACCAACTACAGTCAAGATCCTCCTCATACGGCTTTATCAAAGACATCTGTGATAATGTTTTAGCTAATAGCCAACACAACCACAGATTGCACAAGTGTATTACTTACAACTCTCCCCATTGAGATACGACAGTAAGCCTTTTCGATCGAGTCGTCTGACAGCCGGGATGTTCTCGGTCTATCAACGGGATAAAAGGATGTCACACAAAAACACTTCCGGGGCATTTCTCGGATAAAAATTAAAAGTGCTTTAAGAGGCAGAAAGAGAGCATCAAATCATGGTCGCCCTCAAATAATTAAACCACTTCGATGGTTTCAGTCACTTACTGCAGCTTTTCGCACGTAGCATGGATGCGGAAGATGCACATTGTTGAGAAAAAACAAGACAGAGTCCAAAGTATAGTACTCTTTGGGTTGCCCTTCTTTGCCAGTACTGAGGGTAGAAACACACGAAGAAAAACCCAAAGCACTCAGACCTCAACGATATTTTCTCGTCATAGAATATGACTCATGTGCACAGGCTGCTTCAGGTTACACGTTTACGTTAATCTTCAGTGTACAATCCTTAATACGAAGCTAATATAACGTTAGGTTTACCTGCTCGAAGTAACTTAAACACTGGATCTAAAATCAAAGCATGAACTAGGTTGCATTTTGGTGACTAACGTCAACTCTTTGGCAACAACATTTTCAACAGTAAGTGACAGCTCTAATAACGAGTTTAAAATTACCATTATACACGCTATGGTTAAACGTACACCTGCTTAGTGTGCTGTAATTTTATTTAGAACACAATAGACATTTAACGACAAAGTCTTATGTAACGTTACAACAGCGAGGAGCCGAGTTAGGTTAGCATCTTAGTATCTAGCTAGCGAGCCTTCCGCGGCTATCGGCACCGATGAGCTTCAGCAGCAGGCCATCAGGAGCGATTAAGAGCTAGTTTGGCACTGACATACCACCGGATTATGTAGTTGGTCTTCACATTCTTCGACCAGGAGAACTCTCCAAATATAACTTCATCTCCTTCAGCGACGATTTCTTTTTTCTGGATGTTATACAGACGGAGAATACTCAACACGTCCGCCATCTTCACTCGTCCTGACGTAGCGCGTCAGCGAGGCCCCCAGTTATCAACACCAGGTGGCCTCTCGAGTGCCTGATCCGTTTAAAACTTCTAAAAATGCAACACAACTTCTAACATAATTCCTTTCTTCATGTTTGCCAGATCGAAATATCCCTGTCCCCCAAAAGCCCAGGATCACAGGACTTAATGACTACAGGCCCGTCTTTTGAACCGCTAGTCCTGTCCCACCTGAAGACCTTCACTGACCCTCTCCTCTCCTGGACCCCCTGCAGTTCGCCTACACAGCCAACAGGTCTGTAGAAGCTGCTGTCAACATGGCCCTCCACTACATCCTCCAGCATCTGGACTCCCCAGGAACCTACGCCAGGATCCTGTATGTGGACTTCAGCTCTGCTTTCAATTTTGTTGATGATGAGTTGAGTTAAGTCATCTGTAAAAATCTTTTTGTTTCCACACAAAAAAGAAAGAAGAAATTCACACAAAAGCACCCTCAACTAAATAGTGTTGGCTTTACTGAAAGTACACATTGTTTGGCTGATGAAAATATAGAAATCAACAAGTAGAAATATGTATGTAAACGTCCCAAACTATAGCCTATGTGCTAAATAGTCAAGCTTTAAATTAGATGCAAAAAGGCCTCCTTGAAATGATCAAGTGGAGAGTGGTGCCGCTATGCATGCTGGGATATTGAGTCCGGCCATTTTCTTGGGTGCTCCGTCCCGTGATAAATTTAACTCTGTTTGCAGATATGCTCACAACTGAATGAAGCACTCTCCGTTAAGGTAAAGGCTGGAACTATAAAATGCAATAGCAAATGTGAAGTCCATTTAACAAACACAAACAGCACGATTGGAAATGACAAAGAGAAGCATTTAGAATCACAATCAACTATCACAACTACTGGAGCTTTTTTTTAGCTGTATGTTTTTAAACAAACTGACAAGTCACAAAATCTATTACGTGTTGTTGCCATTTTGAGCACTATGTGTCCATGGAGGTTTTTTCTAATCACCACTGGGTGGCAATAGCACATCAACTGTAAGCACACACGATACTTTGTTAATGAAAACACAGGTAGTTTAGCTCATTTTAAAAATAAAGAAAAAAGCTGCAAAATCAGTATGAATGCATCCAATAACTCAAATATGGAAAATTAATAATATCAAGTGGAAAATCACAAAATACCCAATCATCTAACAGTCACGTATAACATAACAAATATATACATTCTAGACTTTTCCCCGTCTCAGCCAGGAAACCCAAAGTGTTAAAACACAGTTTAACCTTTGGTGCGGCAGGTGCAGTGTGTGTTACCTCAATCACGCTGGCTCTGCTTTCAGTCATGTCAGATATTGTCACTTAAAACCATCAACATACGTGATATGTACGAGTGTGATAGAACTCACACAGCGATTGGCTGATTGGTTTTGAATCAGGGTGCATTATGACCGCGGTGCTCCTTATCTTCACGGCCTTCCTGTGCTTCTCAGCGTCTCTTAGAAGAGGAAGCATGACTTTGTGTTGCTCGGATCGGAGTGTAGCTCGGTAAGGAGCAGTTCTCCTTTAGGCCGTCAATTGTCCTCTGTGCCACAACAAGACCCGATGCACGGTTGCTGGAGACTCTGTCTGATGATCGCTCTTGTGTAGAAATGTATCTTTAGCTGGACAGATGGAAAAGGCTGTCTATTTTAAAGTATTGTGCAGTGTGTGCAACCACCTGCGTCATAACTATGGTTGGATAGAAACCATTTAAATGCTGGTTTATGTGAGTGATGCACAGCAAATTATTAAGGTAATCTTTCTCCAGACATCAACCTCTTTCTCAAAAATTGCAATTCTTCTTCTTTGTGCAATAAACACACTGAATATTTATGTGTGAAATAAAACGTGTTTTCCTTATGCTGTTGTTTGGTCTGAGACCATTTTGCTGGCAGAAATAATCCGGCTTTGAGTTACCTGTCTGGGAGACTCGGAAACGATGAACTCTTCATAAATTCTCTCTGCTTTCTGTTTAAGCTCCTGCAGACTATCAGAGGTTGTGAACTCTTCACAGGCGAGCCAGCAGTCAAGATTATCCTCACAAAACTCTGTTTTCAGAAAGCCCCATAATGCTATTTGTCCACATTTTACGCAAGAGAACGTAACGTCTCTATAAAGAGAACAGAAATCCACCGTGTTATTAGTTTTGCGTTGCTTGAAAGCGGACGGAAATTACATTTCTGGGCAAGGAGTGCCTCAAGAGCCGTTAAAATAAGCCTGACTGTGAATTATACGCACTGTACTTATTCTCTTTGCTTCCCATAGGTGGAGATATGTCTTACACAGCCTGTTCATTGTTGAATTTGAATCGCACTTTGTCCTCGGTGAATCACTATCTGACAGTATATTCCTCCGAATGCATTATGCTGCTGAATCTCAGAAGGATTTTCCTATCACTCAAGTGAGATTTCCACCCTCACCACTTGTTCCCGACTGCCTCTCCTTACGTGTGGTCAAAGCTTGAGTTTTTCTCTGACCTCCGGCACTCTTTGTCTTTCCCTCTGTTGACATACTGCCTGACTGTTACAAAATTATAAGAGTCTTTTGTGTGTCAAACCTTCCTTGATGTTTAATTATAAAGCAGACGTTTGCTTTGTATTACAACCTCCATCACGTTTTCCCCGGTTGAGTGGAAAGCCTCAACGTCATTCAAGTCTCTGCTATTCTTAGTTATAGGTTAAGTAGTTCCTGGTCACAAGTTTCTCTTAGCAGTTTTCTTTTTTTTCTTCAATATTAGGGATTCCCTCGCTGCTTTTTCCTGTTTTAACCTTGTTCTTTTATTAAAGCTAATTGAAAATACTGAAAGAGTCGTTAGCCGACGCAAAATCATAAAAATACAAATTATCGATTGTTTTGTAAAAACATGGGTTAATAATGTACTAGATGAATACCATGCTGTATGGTAGAATACATGAAACTCGTGTTTGAGACCACAAATTCATGTTCAAAATAAGGCAATAAGTCAAGTGAGAAGTACGGTCAATTTCTTATAGACTTACACACAATATGACTTATTTGTGCAACAAGAAGAGTCACCTGCTGCTGGTTTAAGGCGCCTCAGCGTGCACTTTGTCTTCACTTTTCAGAACCTCAGGTTGCTGCCAGTACTTTATGGATATCACCAGTGCACACGTTGGAATCAGTGCAATTACTTCAGAATAAAACACATCAGTTATTTTCTCACCAAGTACCTCTTTAAAAATTTAAAGAGGTACTTTTGAGATGACTTTCAAGCAGCACTCAAGCAGATAACTGAAAATTGGCTAAGCAACTGCAACGCAGACAGAAAAATGGAGATTATTAAGGATTTTTACAAAATGGAGACAATATCTTGTAGCACATTAACTAGGAAGCCGTATACATTGAGAATTGGAGGTCAAATTCACAGATTTCAGATAAAATTGTTATTCATAAGACATTAGATGAGATTTTAGTTGCCGTATAAAATGGCAGATCTTTTGAATCCTTTGGGAAGTAGTCACTTTATTGAAGTATAACTATTACATTTATAAACCCACATGATTTCTTATCAAATCCTTGCCGAGGCAGATGTGTAGCCACATGTGAGCCGGGAAGCAAAACGCAATGGTTTGTCTAGTTCCGAGTGACCGTCCGTATGACATTATTTCCTAGATCTGAACTGTTCAAGCCTATTTAGGCCACAGGGGACCACAAAATACGACAGAACTGTTACTGTTTGACGCATGAATGAAACACGCAGTGGGTCAGCATCCTCTTTGATCATCCCCATCAGTATTTCTATTACTGTAAATTGAAATACGTATTTCAATTACATTTGAGTATTTTGTAGCTTGTATTTGATAGGGCCAATTGAAATACGTATTGAAATACGTATTTCAATTACATTTGAGTATTTTGTAGCTTGTATTTGATAGGGCCAATAAAAATCCAAACGTAACTTGCAACAAAATAGTTTATTAAAATCTTGTGCGTACCTGCATGGTCAAGTTGTTTTTTTCATGTGTACTTTGGCTGACTTCCGCAGTGGGAGCACCTCCGGCTCACACCGCATGGCGATTCTTTGTGTGCGTTCTGGCTGTTTGCGTGTCTTCCAACTGATGCATGCTGGGATACATTTGAAAGATTAAAGAGCAACGATGGGGACTACGGTGCCCGAAGGCAAACACACACAGAAGGTGAGGAGCAGTTTCTTCCCTCAGGCTACACGTGTACTGAACCACTGACGTTCACTTTGGAAACTCACTAAATAAAATGAACATAATCCAGCCGGTCCGGTCACTTTTCCTTGTTTCACTGTTTCATTCTATTTCTCTGGAATGTATGATATGTTGTTTAACTGTTTCAATTTTGTAACATTTTAATAATTTTTCCTACATTATTTTCTTCTCTTTATCTGTTCTATTTGTCAATTGATGATGGCATGAAAAACATTCACATAATCTATGAATGTTTTTATAGACACATAAAGAAATGCATTTATTTTTTAGTGAAATATATTGTATTCTACATCTCAGTTTATTACAGTTTGGCCCTGAGGTTAATATTCTCCAAATGATGAACTGTAATAACTTCCCTGAACCTTTCATCCAGCGTGTTAACATCGTTGTTAGCATGCTAGCATGCTAACATGCTCACAATGACGTGTGAGCATGTGAAATACGGTCTACAAAGCTACAGCTTCACAGAGAATCATGGCTGTAGACTGTTTGTCTAAATATCTTTCAATCCTAAAAATGATCCTGTTTTTAATTTGACACGTTAGACTCACGTAGGTTTTAATCAAGCTGAACACTTCCACGTTGGATCATTTTTGTACCTTCCTCTGAAAAAGACCTGAAACAAGGCGTCCTTTGTCGGACTGGTTTAGCGACGTCACGTAGTCATCCGGAGACCGCGGCCCATGTGGTTGCAAAAGGATGATTTTGGTTTCATGACACACAAGGCGGCCAAACCGACGGTCTCGCTGACTGATTGGTATCTTATAGTGGATATCCTCATAGTTTCGATTTCTACGTTTGCGTCAAACTCTGCGTCACCACTCAAACGCCCCGTCTCTCAGACTTGACTGCGTATTTTTTCGGTCTTCTATTGCACTCTCATGGTCATATCTATTGTTGGATCCTTTGGTTACTAATAAACAGAGTATTGCAAATAAGTAAAAGATGAGCGGTGGGAAGTGAGTAATCTGCGGTAAGCTGCAACTAAGTGAAAAAAACGGATGTTCTCAAAAAAAAAGGATGTTCTCATTCTGCTGAAAGCCATTTTGGCAAAAACACAAAACGACTGCTTTTACACTGACAATTTCATCTCTATTGCTCTCTAAAGGCATGAAAGCGCTTCAGAGGCATTTCTACTTGTCTGTGTTCATCCACCTCAGTGTGTTTGCTCGCACAAATGCAAGAACGAGGATTCGGGCCGAGCATTTGGGTCTTAACACTTCTCCCTAATTGCTGTGACCTTTAACGGAGCGATACTTGACAGGTTTCCCCACGTAAACTTCCCTTTTGGGGAGTTATTTTATAACATAATCCAGTTTCATTTCTAAAACTAAAGTTCTATACTGATTAATGAAAGACTGAATCATAAGACAAAGGCAAGAATGTGCTTGTAAGACATTCAAAAGCATTAACGGACACATTTGGCTGCGTAGGTGAGAGCATTTATGCAACAGTCTTTCTCACTCATGTCCTAATTGTTAACCCTTCAGATTGTGAAACGTGTGGGCTACAGTGTACAACGCTAAATTGAAGCTAATGGTATTTATCTCAAGCTGACAAGCTGATGTAAAATACATGATAGTGTAAGACAAGTGAATTGTTTTTCCAAACTTAAGGAGGTTAAAGGGGTAAATGGGAGGAAACTGTACGCTAAAGCTTGAAGAATGATTAAACAGTTTGAGAAGTATGTATGTTCACTTTCAGAAGAAATGGTTTGCAATTTAAATGCTCGCTGCCGTGTAGCAGAGAACATGAGGGGTAAATGCTGGTGTGCTGCTGAAGACTATTCAATATTCAAACAATGAGTAAATATTTGAATGAACAAAAACTGAATAAACAAAAAAAAGGAAATGATGAGTAAATTGTTGCACAGATGCTTCATTGTTTGTCATGTGTGAGAAGAACAAACTTTCGTCTTTGTGCCCCTGCAGGTTCAAAGCAATTTGTTTTCAGTAGATTTGAATGCAAATATTTAGTTTATTATCAAAAATGTTCAATATCCCCATTCCCATAATGTTCTTAAGCTTATTACTAATTATAATACAATTAACACATAACCCCAAGTCATATCAGTGTGTTATTGTGGTCAGAATGTTTAAAAAAAATTACACAGTGCATAAAAATAGGTATCTTGATAGTGTACTTTCTGTTGCTTTAGTGAAATAACAATAAAAGTAACATGGTGATCAGTCTTTAACTCGAGCTCTTGCATCTTGGGTGTTGTTTGCACCACACGCACTCTTCATAGCATCTTGTACAAAAAGTCCCTCGCATTTTGTCTGCATAATCGTGGCATCTCCGGGAAGTCCTTTGCTTTACAGCCGTTATCACACGATCTGACGATGTTCGAAATCGACCCTTTCCGGCCTCTCTCTCTCTCTCTCTCTCTCTCTATCCGAACCTTTCGGTTACACCCTCTGGTTGTGAACAAACTGTCTTCGCCTCTTTGATGACGAGGTTGCGTTCTCCCCTCTGACGCAGTCGCAAGAGGCCAACGCAGACACGGGTCTTCTCAGCCACAGGAGGGACCGTGTTGAAATGTCTTTTGGTGCTAAAGAATCACCACCAGCGGCGCTCCGACAAGCAAAAACGCAGTTTCTCTCAGGCATCCAGCGCATCAGGCTCAGCTTCACAGTTCACGATGTCTGCGGCATCCGTTTTCTTTACATCTTAATCGATTCTGATGTGGAGTCTAGTAGGGCCTGGTAGATGTCCGACCTGAGGAAACGTGGGTAAGAGTCCCTCTCCATCAGCCCGTAGACGATCCTCCGGGCGTCGTCGAAGCACACGGCGGTGGGCGTCTTCATGTTCCGTCTGATCATCTCTCTGGTCTTGTGATCAATGTTGATCTGGAAGCAGAGACATTATTAATGAGGGTGGTTTTCGAAAATAAAGTAAACTCTGTAATACAGAAACCTCTGTGCTTACTTCTCTCGGAGCCTCGGCTTGAATGTAGCGTTTAAAAATCTTTTTGGCCCTCGAGGACATCCTGAAGGAAGACTTGATCTTCTTATAGTCCTCACACACCAGCCAAAAATCGATGTTTTCATCACTAAACTCTGACTTTAGGAAGGCCTGGAATATCTTCATGCCATCTAAACAGACAGGAAAAATAAGAAGATGGTTTGTCAGCGTTATGGAAAAGAATACTGATTACGAAACCTGCCAACGGGGTTGGATGTAACTTACATTTGGATGATAGGAGGCCTTCCAGTGAGTGTGACCACTGGGATATCTCCTCATAGCAAATACTGCAAAATGGGAGAGAGCGCTGTCACTCACACGAACAACAGGTTTGCCAAAACTTCAGATCATTTGGAGAGATTCCCTTCACTTACCCCTCGGTGGTGGCGGCTTGAGACGATCTGCACTGAAGCCGAAGCTTTAGGTTTCCTGCCCTGGTTGACCAAACAGAAAGCAGCCAGGTTCACTTACTGGCACGTTGTCCTTGTACTAAAATACTTACAAGCAATGACACAAAAAAGGGGGTCGTTGTGATCAAATATTTACCTCTTCTTGTTATCAGTGTCCATGTTGAGGGGCTGCAGCTCCCGTGGTGGTGATGCAACTAAACTCAGCATGGCAACGTGTGTGACTGCGACTGTGAGATCTGTGGCCGTGTCTGTTAGACGAGTTGGTGTCCACCTATATATGTTCAGCGGAAGTTTGAAAATGAGGTTGTTGAGTAGCGTCACAACATCACGCTGAACAAACCGCAGAGAAAGAGGAAGCTGGGGGGGTGACGCGGGTGCAACTATAAACTATGTGTACTGTACTTAGATCTGCATCGATACCTGTTTATTTTTAAATTCGGCCATGCAAATAGGGCAGTGGAAAAGTCAGCAGCAGATAGGCAAATGCTTTGGGCAGTGTCCCGAGCAGCCTCGAGAACCGATGACACTGTTTGGAGGATTTGGAAATACTTTATTCTTCCCTTTACCGATGAAAAGGTGAATTGATAAACAGTGCATGTTCGAGGCTTTTCTGCTACTCGGCCTGGTACTATCATCCGCTCTTGATCGCTAAATGTCAACTAGTTAAATAACCTAAAGCCACAGACAAGGAAAACCGTTCCTGTGCCTTGTTTTGTCCCTGGCAGAGCGTCAGTGCAGCATCTGGCTCCGGGTCAATTTGAAAATGACTTATTAAAGTTTCTCGCCATCACTAGATATTTGAGAGTGGAGGCATACAAGATTTGTGGGCGGAAAATAGGTGAAACACATGTCGACTCCCGGAAGCAAACCACTGTATTTATCAGGCACGCAGCGAAGCCGCCCCAGCATTTCAATTTATAGACATTACTGAAACTTGGAGTGAAAAAAAATGCCGTATAGGGGAAGACGTATTTCAATGAAAGGTCGTCAACTAACCCGTCTGAAAACGTCATCGCATAAAACATTCGAAAAACAAACAACCTCTATTGTTGCTCAATGTTGTGGGCCATGTCTCTGTAAGGACTTCTTTTATTCAGTTCCTGTTGACAGGGAGTTCTGCCAAAACAAAAGCCTTCATTGTTCATCTGGACATTCCTCCGACTTTGTAAAGACTTAAAAAGAAAAGCTGATCTGTCCCATTTCCAGTTCCTCCTCTTTCTGCTGTAGTTCACTGCTCATCATATGAGCATTGGGGCCGCGATCAAAACTACTTCTGTCGATGAGGACTTTCTACAGGACAGCCTCCAATTTACAATTTGTTTAAAACGTGTTACTATCTATACATTTGCTTTATCCACCTTATCTTCTTAAATCTCATTTCAATATCATCCTGCTTTTGAGCCTCCGTCAGCTGCCGGTTTGATGAATGCGGTGACATGAAATTTACATATCAAGTCAAGTTTTAAAGTAAACTTAGCGAGCTGCTGTGCGCCGTTCCCTGTCACTGTCTATGTTCATGTCAGTTTGCGCGACAGGAAATGCTCGTGTTAGGAGGCAGCTGCTGGAGGCCTGTGGTGACAAACTGTTATCACAGACATATTCTTTATCCGTTGCAGCACTTGTTTGTGAGTTTCCTCCGTCAACGTTTGTCCCTCTTAAAAATGATTTTCTGCTCGGTTTCCACCATTGTGTGTCCTCATCGCTTCCCGCAATATCCACAGCAGTTTGGCCCGAGCTACACATTGCCTCAAATCAACAAGGGCAGGTTTAACGCGAGCTTTGCCCGACTTGATCTTTTGCGGTGAGCCGTCTGCATAACGTACAACAGCACCTCTTTGAATGAACCCTCAGCGCGTTCTGTGCCACCAACACAAGCAGAACTAAATGTTTGTCTAACACCCTGCGGCCTCGTGGAGAAACCACACTCTGCTTACTTCCACTTTCCAAACATGAAAAACGAGGCAGACAATAGACACGTTAAGATGCACACGCAGGAGGGAACAACAAAACTGCGGCATTTATAGAAATCACGTGCATTTAATGTAGATCCTACGCGCTGATACACATTGAGACATGACATGATGTTCGGTTCCAGATCTGAAACTGAACAACGTCATGTCTCAATGTGTAACTCCTGCTTTGTATCGCTCTTCTGTATTTGCATATGTTTTACATACAAGAGTTTTACATAGAGGATTACATAAGTCTTTAAAACACATCATGTCCTCGCTGGACAAGACAAAGCAAAAACCCCAGCGATAAAATAGTGAATACTGTATAATTCTCTGCATGACACAACCCACGCTAATCTTCCTTTGAGTGGGGGATTAACATGGAGGACAATGAGCTTAGTTAGAGAGGATTTTCCCATCACATCAGATTTAAAGTTGTGGTTTAAATCTTTTTACGTTTATTTTCTCACGTTGAATGAGCTCCAAGCAAATTGCCACCGAAAGTTCCCTCCCCTCCACACCTTTGTCTCTGAGAAATAGGGGATTTACACAGTTCCTCTTGAGAAAGTACAAACTTCCGACGCAACTGAGATGTTGCGGAAATATACCACACGGACAGAGAGCGGATGCGTTTTCTCCTTTTCCTTTCGCTGTTGTTGTTTTGTCTTCTTGATCACTGATTAATGCTGCTTGAAGGACTCTGTTGCCATCTGCTGTATCTTTTGACCCACGACTGGGTTTCAGTACACAGACTAAGCACGAAGCTGGTTCAAAAACACAGCACGCAAAGTTCCCTCCACTATTTAGTTTTTAGTTTGTGTCCAAACCAGAACAAGGAAACACAAAACCGAGACAAATGTTTAATACACTCACATATTTATTTGCATGCGAAAGTAAAGTAAAAATGTGTTTTTTAGAGCGTTATAGGGTTCATATTTGCGTAATCAATCAAGGGTTTATAATACTTTACATAGAGGGACTCTTTTTAATATGAACTCATTGGGTGGAGGAGAGAAAATAGATAATCATAGAAGAATTACATGCACAGTATAGATTTTTATTTTTTTTTCACCGTGAAATTATTAAAGTGATGATATATAATACAAGCGACACATTCTTTTGAGTTGCAACTCTCTACTAAAACACAAAGGTTGAGAAGCTATTTCTGCTAGACTTGGGATCTGGATTTTATGGCAAAAACATGTTATCCACGTTGAACTAGAGGAGTGGGACAGAAGATCAGAGTTGGTGAAACGATTTTGCAAGCCTGTATCTGAGAGGCTGTCGGTTTTAAAAGAGTCACCTCGAATCATTTCTCCTCAGGAGTCCCTGATACATGTGAGATTTTAGGAAACGCGGGTAGCAATCCCTTGCCATCAGACTGTAGATGAGCTTCTGGGCCGAATCAAACGAAGTCAGAGAAGGCTGGGAGATGTTCTTCGTTATGTTTTCTCTGGTGCCACAATCTATGTTGATCTGGAATCAAACAGCAACTATCCTTTATCATCATTCACTGTGAACTACTGGGGGCAGTGTGTACTTACAGTAAGCTTCTGGGGTTTTACTAAGAAAGAATACACAATTACACCAACTTATAACAGTCACAACATCATTACAGGGCTTCTAAATTCAGATAATAATCAATGAGCATATTTTTTAACCTGGAATTCTTAAAAAATGAACATGCGCTCACCTGTCGGGGCGCTTCTGTTTGGACAAACTCGGAGTAGATCCGGTTGGCAGAGGAGATCATCTCTGGCGTCGTCTTGATTTTTTTATACTCCTCACAGGCGATCCAAAACAGAATGTTCTCCTCGCTGTACTCGGACTTCAGAAACTCCCGAAAAGCTATCTGTCCGGCTGGAAATCGCAGACCTCAGTTAGCGCGCAGCGAAATGTAACAATCACATTCATGCAGAATTTGAGGAGACTCTCACCTTTACAACTGAGGACTTTGTCCACGGACTCACTCCAAGTCTCCACATCCTCCAGTGGATCCTTGGGGAAGCAACACAATCTACCCTTGAAAAGAGCATAAAGATCTATCACTAGCAAAGTTACCTGCAAACTCAACGGCACAAATCAACGGCGCACCACACCAGCAGGTCAAGTCTTTGACCCGACAGCAACTTCACATCACTACAAGCCCCATCAGAGATGGAGAGACTGAGCAAAGTGAGACTTACAGTGAGTGAAACTCTCCTTGGTACTTTCCACATGGCTGCTGTGAGCTGCTGCCTGTTGAAACTTTTAAAGGCCCCCCCAAAAAAAAAAAATCAAATGTGCAGTAACTCACTTTATCGCCATCTCCTCGTCCTCTACAAAGGGAGAAAGAGATAAGATCCTGCAAGACCGAAGATGGGGTTGTGATTCTTTGGAAAACGAGGGAGTCAAGTGGCTGAACAAATCCGAATTACCCCCCCAGTCTACATGAATGGAACATATGGAAATCTGCATGCAAAGTATTGTTGTTGGGAGACACCTGGCATCCTTCCGTGTGTGTGTTGCACCTTGAGGAGGAGGGAGCACCGGCTGTGATTCGAGCTGACCGCACTTGTCGCCCGTGAACGGTGCTCATCGTATATCAGTTAAAGATATCAGGAAATAGATTCGCTAAACCAATTAACTATACATTCCAGAACATGTGAACTACATCCATATGAGTATAATCGGGAATGTGGTCACATAATCTCTTGCAGGGCGGGTGGAGTACAACATGTCGAATTTCTAACTTGATTTTACTACAGCAATGTTTAATGGTCAGGAAGCATTGGGGAAGGATCCTGACCATAAACAAATGGCCGTACACAAATCCATGATTAAGGAAAGCACTTAATGTTCCGGCATTTGCATATCTGCAGTGTTACTTATTCATCATGCCTTCAAAAGCGCACCAATTTACCAACTTGGCTCGTAGCTCAGTCGACGCAGGTGATCACGAGCCCTTGAAACCAAGCGGTTTTAATTTGGACAGAGATCCCGCATGTTTGTGGATTTATCGACCTTGTCAAATCGGCTGTGGCTCTGGAATACAGAAGTGATAAAACGCCCTGGGTTTCTCACAATTCATCTTGAGGTGAACATGAACGTCAGTGAGAAATTTCCCAGCAGTCCATGTTGTCAAAATGTCTAAACGAACGCTTGCTGGTGGCAGTCAGATGATCGCCATACAAGAGCAGACACATTCTGTGCCATTGTATTTTTGCGATGGATCAACACAAGAGAGAGATTTCTGAATTGCCACTTCAGAGAATATTATTACGCGCGGGTTATACGTCCTCCAGTCCTCCAGTCCTTTGGCTCCTTTGGGTGTGTGTGAACAGCGAACATCACAAGTACACCCTGTGTGTTTTAACCTGCCCTGACCTCTCTGACCAGAGGTGGGGATGTGACCAAGCAAACAATGTAAATCACCTCAAGGGATGGAAAACACCCGGGCCGTCCTTATTTGCATGTGTGCAGACGCTCCAAGGAGAGGAATTTGTTTTTCAAAAAAGGAACGGCCAGGGAAGACATGACGACTTTGCCGGCGAGTGCTCCCTGTAGCATCCACGTTCTTAACGGCAAAATGAATTCTGAGCAGTCGGTTGTGACCGTCCGAGGACACCAGGGACTCACACACAGCCGTGACGCGACTCATTTGGTAAAGGAGCTTTAATTTGTATTCATATTGACATCTAAATCAAATTAGCTGAGGTTCACTAGTGATACAGCAAATTTGGTCGCACGTTGCAATTATTTACACCACACACAGGGTGGCACTCTAGTCATCTACAGGCTGCTTACAAGGGAAGCGTGCACCTCTCTCTGTAAATGAATGATGAATGCTGATCCTTCTACTGCAGGGTGGGGCCTGCAGGATATAGCTATAACCTGGATAAATATCCTGCTTGATATATATTTCAAACCCCTACACGTAAATTGGTAAGCAGGCTCTTTAATTTATCTAAAGTGTCTCTTTCACTTGACTTGCATATCTGAGGCCAGATTTGACCAAGCACCTATTTGACCTCGGCCCTTTTTAAAATTTGGTGGTGGTTTTCAACCTGTCTTTATTGTTCCACTGGAGATGACAGACTTGTCTCTGCCACAGAATTGGTTTGAAGGATAATTACCCGTCACCCTGCAAAGATTCTTCAGAAACACCCGGTCCGTTCATTGAGAAACATTCTGTCACTTTTAGTATCGAGGGAAACTGTCTGTCAGGCTGTCAACTGTGTCTTGTTCCCCCAAATGAACACTTAGAAGTACAGCGTGTGTTGATTGGACGGACCAGAGTTTCACCTTGAGCCTTTCATGACTTGTTTCTTACACTTATATCTTATTTAGGTTGAATAATATCTTTGCAGGCCGAGAGCATCGAGAGCAAACAGATTTGTGAGGGTTCATAACTCAGTAACTAAGACGGAGAGTTAGCAAAACCGTCTCTACCTTTGTCTCACGTTGAGTTTGATAAAAGCTTCTGAGACGAGACTGTCAAGGTTTGCCAGAAAAAGAAGATTTGAGATCAGCAGTTTGTCTTTTTACAACAAAAGTCCATTGATTTAAAACTACTGACACGACCCTGACGCCATGGCAAAAAACAGGGTTTGTTTTAAAGGAACCAATTTGTTTGAGCAAATCTTTGGACAAAACGTTTTGGTTTTAAACTTGGTTGGTATTCATCTTGTTTTTCTAGCCTCATTGCTGCAGGATAACTGCTTTATACTCTTTGGTTTCCCTTCAGCGGCCGTACAATACGTTGTTACCTTGTAAATTATTTCAGAGGCTTTTAGCGCAGACTGAGTCACACATTTAAATACCAATGGCGGCGAAACAAGAAATCTGCCAGCAGAATTCGTTGCGGGCAACAAATCTTAAAATGTGATGAATTTGGCTGGCCAGCGGAGCTCCTACCTTTGTTAACACGTCGTCACGTTTTCCCCGTCTTCTCCGACCATTTCTGTGAGATAACAGCAGGAGCTGCAGCACGCGCATGCCGCTGTGTACATCGGTGCATTATGAATCTGAACCCGGAGGTCTTTCTGTTTTGGCATTTTGAGATGGACTTCATCCCTCTGCAGGGCCGTTGAAACCCCGGCATGTGTGTTAATGAGATGGACCTGCTGTGGGTATTGGTGCGTCGACAGCTTGGATTTGTGCTCATGTATGTACATACTCGAGAGTTTTTAGGGGCCGGCGTGATCGCTGACAGTTTCTAATTAATATACATTTGTCTTTGTAAGAAGTATAGCTTGTGCATTCATATACAGTACCATGAATAATTATGTGCCAGAGGGGTTGGTATAGATGACATCCATTAATATTCCAGCAATAAGGGATAGCGAGGTAAGTACACATGATCCCAACTCTCCCGCTGGTGTAATCAGCGAACATTATTTCTCCATTTGTCACATTTAAACATAATAATTCATCTACAAATTAATGACACTAAAGGCATCATATAAACATTTTCCTAAGTGTTTATTTGAATTTGGTATGTACATTTTACAACAGCAAAGCAACACATATGAGCACAGTAATATAATAAATTATATTAGATGAAAGGAAAGTAAAAAAAACAATTTTATTTGTTATAATGTCATATTAGTATTCAGATAAGATAAATGCATTTTCTGTGTGGAAGTGGAAACAGAAATGAGAGATATGTATCCCCTGTTAAAAAGTGTATGTGCTTTGCAGTCACCATGGGTGCGAACTTTCTCTGCGAGTTCGCCTGGAGAAGTTCGCCTGGAGGGGGGTTGGACAACGCGAGGCCTAAAATCATGAGCCCATTTTAATGAGTTACGTTCAAATTAGCTTGGATGGCATATCAACTGTATTAAAGTTGTATAAGTTGGTGTTGCGGGGCTGAAACACAGCACATTGACTGCAGTGCGGCTGGATGGATACTGTCAGTAGCATGAAGGCACTTCAGCCCAGATGTGGACCCGAACCTTCCCAATGATATTTGAGTTTTGCAAGATTTTTAAGAAAATCTTAAAACCATCAACAACGGTTAAATCCACAGGCTGTGCGGTGCCTCAGAGGAGCAGAATGCTTAGATTGTTCCATATGTGCAAAGTGAATACTCAATTCTGATTGGCCAGAGGGGGTCCGTTACGGTCATGTGACCACACTGCTCTGACGTAGTGGCCTCTCAACATGTTTAAACATACTCTTTTGTCCGAAAAAGGCTACTGGTGTCAGCTGTTATCCAGCGGTGTAGTATAGGTTTGATATCTTGGGAAATGTGTGCACTTTCTAGCCCGGGTGAGAAGAAGAAGCTGCGTGATAGGCGAGTGGTGTCAGGCCTCTCGATTCGCTCTCCGCATGAAAGCAAATAAGCGTATTTCCCAAGATTTAGAACTATTCAAATCTTTTTATCATTGGCAAGCTGTCACGGTGTTATGTAAGTGGTTGCAAAAAATACCACACGGAAGCAAACTTGTGAATTACAAGCCTCAAACCACACGTTGCATTTCCACAGTTGTGCTGCTAATCACGGATTTGCCTCCTATGTAACGATCTGAGTATGCGACTACTCCAGCGCACGTCAGCCCGCCGCTACCAGGCCGAAGGTTCGGTCGTGGCCTCGCCCCTGTCGTTGAACACACAGGAGCGTGACCGTCTGCGAAACATGTTGGTCCCCGGGCCTTTCCTCCTGGTGAGACGCAGATAAATGTCAGAGTGGAGGAACCTGGGGTAGGAGTCTTTTTTCATCAGGCTGTAGACTATCAGCTGGGCGGCTTCGAAACAGCTCTTTGTGGGCTTTGCTATGACCTTCTGAATGGCTGCCTTGGTGTTGTAGTCAATGTTGATCTGAATAATAAAAGAAATGAAAAACAGAGCAGAATAATGACTTCTGGTGCATCGACTACATGCATTACATCGACACTGTTTAACAGTTCACACATGTTCACATGTCTAGGTGTGAATGCATGATTTTAGGGTTTTGTGTCAGGACTGGAAAATAGTTCATAACAGCACAACAATAGCACATGGATATGTCCGTCCATCCGTCCATATTGGATTCTGGCTGTCACCATGATGCTTTTTTGCAACCAGTAAAGTGAAGTGACCATATTTGGACCCCCTACTAGCCATTAAAGGGAATGCAAGATTCAGGCCCTTTTGCATCGCCTTCGCTCTTTTAAAAAAGGAAGTCGCCGCCTGCGCAAAGGTTTCGGTTAATTTGGTGAGAATACTTCTGATCTTGACAAGAGAGAACGAGTGGAAGCGTCAAGGTCCAAGGTGAGACTGGAGTAAAGAAAAGCCGGTAAATCAACATGTGCAGGTTTTACGCACATAAGGTAAAATATGTACTGTATTAAATTAATTTCCAATTGTCAAGATGCTTTTCAATACTTTTTCTCTTGTGAAATTAGTTCTCCCCCGGCTCGATTAAGAGGATTGTTTTCCTCGAGGACACACGTGTCTGCGTGACGTTCTTAGATTTGATCGTTTTTTCTAATCATGTGAGAGTCACACATTAATACAAATCATCACCACTAACACAGCTCTCAAAGTATTCAAGTGTATCAAACTCCACCACCAGCAATACTCAGCACACATTTACATCTCTCTGCAAATCATTCCAGCTGGTACACACTTTCATATTAGTGCAGAATGTTCCATTTGTACAGACATTCATCTTAGACGGAAAGTGTGTGGGTGACGCTCTCTCCACTTCTGCAAAGGCATGTGAAAACCTCAAACCAGACACCAAACTCTTAACGGTCACATCTGCTGCAGGTCACGAAATTATATCAGATGGGGGTCGCTTTGTCGTTGCGAGGCAATGGAAACCTTTTAATCTGCAACTTCCTCGCACAGAAATAACCCGACCTGCTTTGCAGGGGTGCGTGCATTAGATGCACGACCTCCGGTGGCTTCTGCTCTCAGCCATTGTTCGGAAAGGTCAACCTGCTGCAGGCCCGTGACTATGGGGGCGTAGGAGTTTACCCACCGTTCCTTTTATACAGTGACAACATTTCAAACCTACAACAGTTGTTTGAGCTTTTGCAGCTCTGCTCTACAGCCTATTATGTAGCATTACATATGTGCAATGTGTGATGGTTGTTAAATGCCTCACCTCTTTTGGGGCATCTGAATCAATATAAACCGTATAAATACATTTGGCTTTGGACAGCAGCTTGGTGTCTGAATCAATGGTCTTGTATTCTTCACAGGCCAGCCAGAACTCAATGTTTTCCTCACTGAACTCTGTCCTGAGGAACTGAGAGAAGCTTTCCACACCATCTGATGAAGGGAAACAAGAGTCACAGACACAGTGTCGGTTACTATGGTGACACAATACAGAGACAAACTCACTGAGCCTGTTGGGTAAACAAAGTTCACATTTGATTTTGGAGGATGTATGATGGAGGAATCAACTGTCATAGCATAACAAGTCATAACTTAAATACGCTTATTGAAGTATTAGTGTCAGCATTGACTTTACCATATGAGGACGTTCAGTCATTTGCACTGTTTCTATGACGCTCGAAGGTGCAACTTTTGTTCTTATGAGGAAGTTGCAGTTTCTGTCTGCTATCTACGCTAAAACATTCAAAGATGTAGTAAAACTCGCTGCTCGCTGCTCACTCCATTAACTATTTATTGCCTTTAGCATTTAGAAAAAAGTTTACAAATCAAATGCAGCGATTGTTTGACAGTAAAATAAACTGTTTTGGAAGGCGATTCGCCTCAACGTTCTTGAGAAGTTTTGGGCATTAATCTGACCTGAGTGCTTCAGCAATTCTTCAAAGGAGTCGCTCCATTGCAAAGCTGTTTCTGGTGAGATGCTGCAAAAGAAATTCAAATATTCAGAGTTAAGGTCAGATCTTTCCCAACGATGCTGCAAGAAATGTCTCGGATTTTCGTGACACGTTTAGTTTCAATGTGCAACGAGTCATGGAGCGTGCTGCAAACCCAGGTTCGAAAATGAAGAATATTTGTCAAACACAACTTTGTACGTATATGAAATCAATGGACTTTGCCTCACTTGGTGGTGGTATTCGTCTTTTTAGTGGGACTGACGTTTTCATGAGAGCCCGACTTAGTGAGAAAAAGGCTTAGTCGGCTCTTCCTCTCCTTGTCTTTCTGTCTGCCAACAGAGGAGAAAATACATCAAGTTCCACCAACTGTCTGTACGCGCAAGTGTGGCGTTGTTCACCATATCAGCAACTCATGAGAGAATTACGCCCCATAGACACATTTCTAAAGTGGCTTACAAGACAAGTGATACATTACACAACCTCTTTGTGGAACAAAACTAATTGCAAGACAAAACGGCAGCAGAGACAACTTGTAAAAGTCTACCAGCCTCGCATGATGTCGGCTGTGGTGACTTTCAAATGAATTCCATAGAGAAATAACGTAGCTCTATACACCTGTATGCTGTTTTTGAGTAAAATAAGGCATTTCTTTTTTACAGGGAGAAGCCGTTGCTCGACCTCCTCTTATGAAAAAGATGTCACTATTGAGTCATTTCTGACGTTAACTGCAAGTTGGACTAACGCACGCAATGAAACGACACAAAAAACACTTGAAAACAAAGTTTCGCACACCAACCTGCTACTATCGTCCTTCATCGTTGGTGCCTGCAAGTCTTCTGGACTCAGAATTTTGAAATACGCTTCCTCCTTTGGGGCCATGTAGTTGAATTGAGGAAATAGAAAAAGAAGCGCTTCCATGCTGGTTTGTCTGTATCTGATGTGCAAACCGGCAGGCCACAAATAGCTCTGTCATTTTTTTTTTTTTAACCCGTCACTCGATGAACCACCTCGCCTTTTATAAACCCTGCTCGCTTCACATCTGATTTCCCATATGTTGTCTTCTTCCTGTAAAGGGGTAACCACTTATTGCTAACAGCTCAATCAGTGATACAGAAAACCCCCCCTGGGTTCAACATCCTGTCAACTGTTTACTTAGAAATGTGAAAAAGACAGCTGGGTGCCCTTGTTCATTATTATTTTGTTTGTTTGTTTATTTTTTGCTTGGGGTTATATGTCACTGTTGCACGATAGCAACCGGTGCTAAAGCAATTATGACCTGACCGGGTAACATAAAAACAACTTCTGTTGTCGGACTTTATGTAAATGTCTTTTTGTGTTTATTCTTTGTCATTGCTGCTGTTGATAAATGTAAGAGATTATAAGAGATCATTGCTGTTATCCCCCAATTCACCGTGCACCACAATCAAGGACAGACACTGCAGGGATGGAAACAATGAAATGTAATGAATAATGAAATGTGTCTGTACAAAGCCTCAGCCGAGCTCTTTCCTGAACATCTTAATGGAAAAAAACTCCATGTGACATTGTGAGAAGCAACAGGGAATATGTGTGTTCCCCGGCAGATGGACACAAACGGGATTTATTTGTGAGAAATAAACTAAAAGATAACATGCAAGACGGCCTCAACAATGTTTCTTCACTTCTGACAAACAAATGAATATACTGCTGAAGAAAAACAGCAGGTGTACCAGACCAGTCATAGTTTCTTAATTTAAAGCCCCAATCCAATGAAAGATGTGTGTCCATTCCTTGTATGTTTGACCTTCGTTGTGCAGGAAGATGTATGTGCATTTATGTGAGTTTGACAGCAGAAGCCCTTTTTTTACTCCGAGATGAATGTGTACTCATGGCGGACACAAGTGTCATGCCGAAACTCAAACCCTCCAGTGCACATTGAAGATCATGACACCATAGATCTGCATTTCTTTGCTGTAATAGGTGCATACAGCAACCTAGCAAGGGGGAATTCTCTTACCTATTATTACACCCATGCGAGTGAAGAATTAATCAAATCCTTTGTGTATCCAAATATTAAAAACAACATTCAATGATTCAAAGAGACACAATCTGTACTGCAAAGGCGTTTACACAGCTACAACCCAGTGAGCCGATACTGAAGCTGCGGCATCCTTTTCCCTTCAGGTAAACAGCAGACTGACGAATCACTGAAACCAAATTAAAGAGCAGTCATTAGCTCCGCTGTATGTATTTGCCTCTTGTCAACATTCCGGGTGAGAGAACAAACCAAATCAATAGACAGACAGAAACAAAGAGGCTCTCCCACCAGCTGGGACCAACGATTACAATTGTGTTATTTTAATCATTTTGGAAGAATATTCTCATTTACAGTTTTAATTATTTAACCACAACACCAAGTCTTGTGTTTGGTTCTCCGTGCTGCGTGACTACACATTGCTAACAAGGACGGAAAGAAAAACAGAGAGTGTGCTTCTGCATTTAACGCCAGAGAAGAGATTTGTCTGAATTCAAGGTAGCGCAAGGAATAAGCAGTTTGCCTGAAGTGTCACTAAACATTCAGTGACACTATTAGAAAATCGCATAATACATTGTTCATATCATAATTGAAAACGTGCACCCGACATTGCTGATTGTCCTCATTCTGTTGCGGCCACCACTGAACACCATTATACATCTGTAAGTAGAGATAATATGCAAATGTATCTTTAGAAGTTTTGTGTGTCGCTTGGTAAAAAGGGGAAGTGATGGAGTTGAAACTGCTGACACGGGTGAAGGGGGAAGGCGGAGTATTGTTACTTCCTGTCTGAAAACATCTGCTCACATAAGTCTAGTCCGCCTGTTATGTTTGCATTTTCTGAAAATACGTTAAACTCAAAAATATACAATTTGAAAAAGAAACAGACTCCCCTGAACCAGCAAGATACTCACAAAAAAACAAAGCTTCAACAAAATCAAGGCTTGAAAGTTCTCCAAAATGTTTCATTTGCAAGATTCTACAGTATTTGTGTTGCATGCATTCCAAAGGAAAATAAACAATATGCCTCAGTGGGATTGCTTTCATCTAAAATTGGGACACTGCATATGTGATCAAGAGAAAGGCATGTGGGTGCAGAACAAAGAGGCTGGGCATTGATACGGCGTTGAACCTTCCTGTGAGAGAACATTATGTCAAACTAGCAAGGACAAGGAAGGATAAAGAACTTCTTCTATTCCTGTCCATCATTCGCCACATTACACATTCCATTTAAAGGCATCCAAAAACCTCGATGAAACAAGAAACAAGTCAGAGAAAAAGAAAATTCCCTTTTCACTTAGGCATGATTTTAAATTGTTTTGCAATTATGGGCAGAGGTATGGCGTCGTGGACAGGCGGGCTGCGTGTGGTATTATGTTCAGGTCCACTGGATAATACTCTCTTAAGTCCTTACATCATCATTCATGCGAGATGTTGTGGTATATGCCCTTCTATTTTACGCTTCTATTTCTATCGCAATGTATTTTGAAAGGTACGCTGCTTTACCTCACCACATTTATTGGATACTTTTTATTACTGTTTACTTTGCCAATAGAGGTTGTTAATACGACATATAAATTAACAAATAGATTATGATGAGAAAGCACTGTATATGCCCATAAAGATGTATTTTGGATAACAACTTCCCGAGTGCATTGAGCCCCGACCCGTCAGTCAGATCGGAGGATGAAGACGGAGAGAGCTTTCTGCAGTGAGAGTAAAACAAACAGACAGCAGAGGAATTACTGCACGTGTCAAACAGACGGGGGAAGAGTGGCAAACGGACCACTTTAGTGCCCGGAACACGTTGGTAGCTGCTAAGCTAATTCCATCTCAACATCTGCCCTGCGCGGCAGACAGTCTGAAGAGGACCACCGTGTCCCTGAAAGACAGTGGTTTGGAAAACGTCCCGGCTAAATGTGGGGAGATTGTTGGCACTTCAAGCACAGCCGTCCAATGATGGAGAGTCGAGAGCAAAGTGCACGAGGACATCAGGAGGAGTCGCTGGTTCAACGTGCTGCTGTGGAGATTATCGAATGCGTGTAAATTTGTGTCAAAAAACTATGATTAAATACAAAAATACACCCTTTCTAAAGTGATTACTCGTTAATTTATAAGATTTGGTCCTTAGAAGAAAAACAAACTTTTAATCGCGGTTAATGAATTTCAAAATGTAATGTTCTTTTTTTTTTTTTTATCTATTGACCGCCCTAATTATAATACTTCTTCTACTACTTTACGCACCTTATACAAATCTATATTGACTCCATTTACTGTCTGTGTGTCCGTGTTGAGCTGACCATGTTTGTTTATTTGTTTATAAAACTATTTTTTCAATTCTCTCCCACTCTTATTCAAAACATGTTTCAATATTGATTAGTTGCGCCTAGCTAACTCACTAAGATCATGATTCTCGTCTGTGTGGTGCAGAAGAACAACATTTCCCAGTCTCTTGATAGCCAGCAGTGGTGCCTTCCAGCTTCGGTTCTGCTGTTTTAAAGATAATGACCCCTACTGGGTGGTTTGGTTGCTTGTGCGGTAGATGCAAAACAAAAAGTTGCATGTTATATGTAACCTTAAGGGAAATACTGGGGTCATATTTTCTCAAACACAAGCCCAATTATAAGGAGACACACATTAAGGAGTCGATGTGAGGCCTGGGGTCTCACATGGACCTAACTTTAAGCTCTCCTCTGCTCCGGTTGCAACCCACATAATAATAATAATGACAATAATGACAACAATACACTTTATTTATCAAGCATTTTTCTTCAAAAAGGTAAAGAAACAGCACTTAAAGACAAAAACAATGAAAGCATAAAACACAATGAGACCCAAACAATGAGACCCACACAAACAAGGGATCATTAAACCAGAAAGAGAACGAAATAAACTTCAAATACATAAAACGGCCAAGAGGGACGATAAGACCCAACACCATATAAAATATTCACAACTGATTTGCAATGAAAAATTATATTTTAAAGGCCTCTGAAGATGCTAAAGTTGGCATTCGGAGCACTGTTGCAGCAAAGTGGAGTAAAAGCTCTCCGTCGGTGCATTGTAATCACCCGCTATTTTTCTCTCCAATATTCCAATATTAGTTGTGTGTCGATCTCTTGAAAAATTGATGAAAGCTGTTGTTTTCACAAAAATAAGCCTGATCACACCACGGGGGAAATAATGTGGAAATGATCATCACATTATCTGATAGCATTAGTTGAACTACTTGTAGGTGCGGTTAAATGAATATGCAGTGTGCTGGCTTGAAGGTTTAAATCCGCACACCGAATGTGTAAAGTGGCTTTCACAGCTTTGTGAGAGGGAGGTGTGGGATCTCCCTCAATAGACTTTACAAGAACGTCGAGAGCTTCCAGGAAATGAGCTCCACTTTCAGCTGATGTGTCTGAGAAAACCGACAAGCAGACGCGGCTGCACGTTGGTGACATCATTTCCCTGTGAGCGAGACATGCAGGTGCTCCCTCCACAGATGAAAGGCGAGCCACTTTCTGGTGCAAATTGTCGGCTCACAGCGTGCCGACGTTGGGGGAATGTACGAGCAAGCACAGAAATGTTTGCTCTGGTCTGCCGTGAAATGGCTGTGATGTGGGAAATGACTCAACACTCACAGTACGTGTGAATTCTCTTGTACTGAAGCAACAACGACCGATTCAGAAACTTACACTGTAGCAATTCTTTAGCAAGTAGGCTACTGAATAAATATTGTTAAAAGTTTTGACTTAAACTGTATCAGATAAGCCAATTTCACGATATCTAGTCATTTTAATTTGTTCCAGACTAACCGATGGACAAGGGACGTTCTTTGAATTTGTGCTGTCCGTCAGAGGTCATCTACTTCAAATCAACCATGTTGCCCACTGACCAACCCTAATGAACACGGCACAGCGAGTCGTTGTTTACATATTAGCTTTGGATGAGATGGAAAATGGAGTCAATGG